CGCATACCTCACTGCGACCCTAGCTTATCTCGGCTTTTGATGGGACTCCTCAGAAGAGGAGAGAAAATGGACACACCGATCCGAGTCATCACCAGCACTCGCCATTGGGAATTTTCTGCCAGACTTTTTGGCAACTAATGCCCGTCATGCATGTCGAATAGCAGCAGTGTCTTGCTGCTTTGTGGCACAATCCGCATACCGGAGAACTCTTATACCCTCGTCTCACGACGAAACTTTCTTGGTCTTCCCTTGATGGGACGGCTTGCCCCCCTTTTTCCATTTCATCATCTTTTCCTATAACGGGGTATATTCTCTTGCACATACACATTTTTTGAAACCCAAAAAAACCTAATAATATTACGGCGCTTCCCGAAAGCGCCTGGCTCTTCAACACCACTCCGGAAGAATTTCCAACGTGCCATGGCTGCCCAATGGCGGTACTTCAGGCTCGATCTGCAACAATTCTCCACTTCAGTTGCTTCTATTTTATTTCATTTTTTTTTTTTTACACTCCCTTGCTTGATGTTGCACAAGAGGAGAGATGGGATTGGTTGGCTTTATAGAAATGGGAATGGCATCATGGCGGAGAAAGACTGGGTGTTGGATTTACGTGGAGAAAGAGGACACAAATGCGCAAAGCTGAAAAAAAAGAGGAAGTGAGGGGGGATAAAGGCGACGTGGCTTCTGGCCTGATGCTTGTCTCTTTTAAGGAGCCCCTCATAAGAGAAGGATATATTTCTGTGAGGGAAAGACAAAGAAAAAAAAAACTCAGCATTAATTGAGGACTGGCCTAGCCAGATGGATAGCTTCCGGTCTCATTGAGGGACTCGATTATATAGAATGGAAGTATCGACCATTTCCTCAAGTTTGACGCTCTCTGATGTTTGGTGCCGTGCTCGTGATTGTTTTTGTTTGTTTTACGTGTCAGAATGGTATCACTGGTCAGTGTTGAAAGGTGGGAAGAGGCTGTTGCTGCTTGTATGCAGCGCACAATGCCGGCTAGCTGAGGCACAGAGGCAATAGCGTGGCGCTTCTGCAGGGAGCTGAGCTGAATAGCCGTGTTGGCAGAATGCTATGTAGACTAGAAGACGCTCGCTGAGTTGTCCGCGCAGATATGGCTACGATTTACGCACGGGGCAAGGAATTGCAGATGAAGATCAGCGAGGGGAGTGGATTTGACTTTTATGGGAGGGGAAGAAGGTTGGCGATCAGATGCGAGAGCCGAGAGTCTTTGGAGCGAAAGTTACTACTGGGTATGGCATGGGTGAGTATCCATCTGTAGGTACACATACAATGTAGCTACCTATCTATGATATGATATCAATTGGTGATGCTGTTGAGGAGAGAAGAGATTATGATGGGCATTCATTGTATGGGGATGTTGGGCTTTAAAAACATAGTCAAAAAGGTGGCCCTTGTGCGAGATGCGAGAGGGGAAATTGAAATGAACAGATTGTCGCAGCTGGGACACACACATAATACATGTAAGCTTAAAGCGACGGGCTATTGTGGTGGTATTTTTTCATGCAGGTAAGAAAAGGGCAAAAGATGGATGGATGGAGTGATTAGATAACAGGAAGCCTTGGCGAGCAATTACAAAGGTGCCTTATGCCCGGAAAGGGCTGGTGCCAAGACATTATATTATAGTCTTTTTTGTTGACGAGATATTTGGCCTTTCTAATGTGATGTGATATACTGGGGGAAGAACACTGCCTACGATGAAGCGGTAAAAGTTGCAGATTTTGAGACTGATTTGAGGTGATGGTCGCGAGGGCTCGGAAATACGACAAAAAGATCTACTGGGTTGTAGATACATAGGTAGATAGCAGTATAATACGGAATCCTTCCGAGTTACTTGGCCGCGTTTTTTATTTCCCGAAAGGCTTTCGTGCTTGCGAAGGAACAGGATTTGGTGCACCACAGCTTACTACATATTATGTGGTCTTTCATGATATCTGGCCCCTCGACCCGACTCGACTCAGGTACCCTCCGCCGTGACAAAGAGATTGTGTAATAGTACCTCGGAATTCCCAAAGCCAAGGGACCGTCTTCTCCTTTCTTATTTTTTAGGATCGATGCACTGCCACCCGCGTCTGGGAAAGTGTGTGTAGCGGACATGTATGTGTGTCATTGAAGAAACTGGTCGGCTCCTTGGCAAAGTGGCAATGTTGCTTGTTAGTGGGTTGTGCCCAGCTGAATGGTTGGTCTTGGCGATAGGGGGGACATGGAGTCTATTTGCTGCAACAGCCTTTTTTGGTTTACCGAGGGAGGGATTATGTAGTTACAAGAGGGGAGGGTGAGGTAGGAGGAGAAGAATAACAATCAATAGTCGAATATGAAAAGCCCGAGGGGCATTTGCAAGCGTGAACTGCACAGATGGATGGATTAGACGAGAATGAGTTCGTTGTTGGCTATGAAGCGGAATCGGAAACAGCAGCGTTGAGGCAATGGAAAGCAGCAATTAGCGATGCCTAGATCCTTAGTAGTCAGCATCAAATCGACATATGCTTCCTCCCTAGTCCATGGTATCGGGCCAATCTCTGATAGTATCCAGCAACCAGGTGTCAGATACGGAGTACTTGGATACTGAGATATCAACAGCATCAGGCACGAGTATGGGGTACTGCTTAATATTAGCCAGGCACAGGGTCAGGGCCCGGTACCAGTGACTGACCAAGAATTGCTCAATTGGGAAAGGAGGGTCCATAAAACCATTGAGAAAGCGCTTCGTCACGCAAGGCCTCGAGATGCGATCAAGGGTTTGCTGCGCCGAGAAGGGGTCAATTGCCATGGTAGTTCGTATGTACAGTACCAATAACAGCCGGTGTAGCTCGATGGATTTGGCAATTGCAAGGTGGCAACAATAAAAGCTGATTGCTCGTATTGCGGTAGTGACAGAGAGAAAGAGGGAGTAATGCAGATTACAGAGTACCCTAGCTCATGACGGAATGTGTAAAATATGCACATAGCCATAGGCAACCGGCTATCGGGGCTTGTCGGAGCTCGCTGGGTCCGTCAGGCCGCCAACAAAGGAGCTGAGCCACGTCTGCGCTCCGAAATCAATCGTTTGCAAACGAGGCCCTGCAGTTAGTCAGATCGCAATTTGACGCCGTTTTCCGTCCCCATTGCAAATGACCCCTGGTCCACCGAGCCAGCGATTCAGGTTGGAGGTGTCTGTGCGATGTGACTCTGCTGGACGGTTGGACGGGTTATCTACTGACCTGAACCGGGACGGATCCAACTTTTAGAGGCCGCATGAGCTGAACCTGAATCCAGACCAAGAAGATGCTGTAGAAACCGTCAATCAAGCCGTCGGCATTCGGTACCTGCGTGCGCGCAACAAGCTAACAGCATTACTACCAGCTTCTTTTCCATGCTGGCTGGTCCCTTGCACGCGACCTGGCTGAAGGGAGAGGCGCTGACGCGGTGCTCAGGCGCCAAACGAGGCGCTAGAGTTTGATTTGGGGAACATGACAAACTAGTGTCAGTCTCGGCGCACTTGGCTTTGTCTCTAATGCGGCGGAAAGCTTGATTCGGGCGTCTCGAGATATGCATAATGCGGTTCCGACTTGGCGAGCATATACAGGATCATCCATCCATCCATCCATGCCTCCAGTTGCCAGCCGCTGTCGCCATATCATGTCATCCGCACATGGTCTGTTGTTTGGAAATGACAGGCTTAATCCCCAAAATGCATTGTGTCTGTTGGGGCAAATGAGCGGGCTGGATTCGGATTTGGATTTGGATTTGCCACGGCCAAAGCAAAACGAAACGTGGTGAGACCTGCAGCGGCCGCCTGGACCACAAAGGAGCACGCCTGGACGGAGGATCTGACTCCGCATACGTTTTCGTACCTGTTACCAAGTGGTATAGTATTCGTAGTTGGTGCAAATTATTCCGTCCGGGCCACGGTTTGCTTTATTGGGGCCGCGTGACCGCTGGATATCGAGACAATTCGCGGGTGCTGCTGCTGCTATCCGTTGTAATTTCCATTGTGTCTGACAAAACGAGGTTCGTCCCGTCGGTCCCTTTTCTACTCGATGCTGTCCATTCCATATACGAGGTGCCTGCAGCGTTGGTGCTACAACGGATACATACCCGTATATACTCGTATGTACTAATGTAGACGGAGTACTACGTACATGCATCATAAAATCCGTGCAGTACCCGTATTATCAGTACAGTAGGAGGAGCAGCTTTGTATCACGCATGGCAGCATAACGGCACAGAGCAGAGTGGCACCGCCTCCCCGGAAAAAAAGCGCGAGGGCGAGATGAACCGATGGGACCCAGAGGAGAGGGAGAGAGGGAGAGAGAGCAGACAGCTGAAGAGAGAGAGGGAAAAGAGTTTGACACTGACATGTGCCATGCTTCGAATCCATTTACACAAAAGGTCGGAGAGGGCGGCCACAGCGACTGCGACAAGAGCGACGCTGGCGAGGGCCACGAGGCCAATCGAGAGCTCCGGGTGGGCACTGCGCCAAGGATGCCAAGTCTTGGCATTTCTTGGCATCGTATGCGCAGCTGCGCTCCGGTGGACTGGACTGCTAGGGGGGACCTGGGCGATACCTATACTCCCTAGCGAACATCACTAGAATTGCAAGTTCCTGCAGGTTCCTCTCCATCCGAACCGCTAGCCCAGCAACGCCAAGAAATGCCAAGAACGCCAAGACTTTCCGCTTGGCCCTCTCACGCCTGCCCAGGCCTTTGTGTCGATGTAAAGGGAGCCTCTGCCCCCAGAAAGGCTCGACCAGAGGCGCGAGTCTTTTCCCCCGATCATAATCGCATATTCCATATCCCGGCATCCCGTATCCCCCAGAATCCAGCGTCGCCTCGAGATAAAACCGCCCTGCAACCGCCCGTTTGCTGTTGTTGCGCATCTGCACCTGCATCCCTTCTGAATTTTCCTGCTGCTGCGCCAAAGCGCCTCTTGGCCCCTCCCCGAAGATCGCGGCCCTCTGGTTGACTTTTCTGCTGCCCCACCACGACAAGCCCCCGACAATGTCGGCCCAAGTCCCCGACCAGGCGGCTCTGTCCCCAAGCCATGATACCAAATCCGCCTCACCTACAGATGCTTCGTCCACCACGAGCCCCAATGGCAGCACCAGCAACAATGGCAGCAGCGCCTCGTCCAACGCGCAGGTGTCGCCGTCGCTTGGTGACGCCATAGATGCGCCCCGGCAGCTCGTCTGCCGCTGGAACCAGTGCGGCCAGAAGTTCACCAACGCCGAGACGCTCTATGTAAGTGATGACGGATGGGTACCTGCCTTTACCTGCCTTGGCAGCAGCAGACATCAAGATGGTCCAGATCAAACTTGCTTGTGCGTGGTTACTAACCGAGTCTCGTGCAGGAACACATCTGTGAGCGTCATGTTGGCCGCAAGAGCACAAACAACCTGAGCCTCACCTGCCAATGGAACTCTTGTCGCACCACCACCGTCAAGCGTGATCACATCACTTCTCACATCCGTGTTCACGTCCCTCTGAAGCCTCACAAATGCGAGTTCTGCGGCAAATCCTTCAAGCGACCTCAGGACTTGAAGAAGCACGTCAAGGTACTTATCCCTTCTGCTGATGCTCTTCGAGATTTGTATAGTTGGCTTACCCCGTCTTATAGACCCATGCCGATGACTCGGTTCTCTCCCGGCCTGGCCAGGATTCGCAACCCGGCATGAACTACAGACCACAAGCTCCCAAACGTGAGTAATCTGCTGCTTTACTTCACTGCCTCGACTTTTTTCGCCGCCACTAACCCGGTTACCTTTAGCCCCTAGCTATTATGACCACAATGGACAGATGCGAAGCCCGGTCACCGGCTTCCCTCAACCTCATGCTGGCGGCTATTATGCTCCTCAGCCCTCGACCAACTATGGTCTCTACTTCAACCAGCAGCATGTCAATCCGGCACCCCGCACTGAGCACATTGGCTACTCTGCGAGCTATGACCGCAAGCGCACTCAAGCTCATGAGATGGTTGACGATTTCTTTGGCAGCGCCAAGCGCCGCCAGATCGACCCGACTTCTTATGCTCAGATCGGACGCTCCCTGCTCCCTCTTCACAATGCTCTTGCTATGCCCAGCGGGCCCATGGCCGCCACTGAATCTTACTTTCCCCAACCGGCCGGCCATGCTGTAGGCCACGGTGTGGTCCACGCTGCGCCTGCGCCAGCGCCTACTCAGAATCCCTTGGCCCAGCAGTACTATCTGCCTATGCCGAATGCGAGGACGCAGAAAGACCTGATTCAGCTCGACCAGATGCTGGGGCAAATGCAAGATACTGTGTACGAGACCGCTCCGCAAATCACCGCCGGAATGCACCCCCATGACAGCCAATTCGCCGGATACCGCAGCACCCCGTCGCCCACCACGCTTCACCGCGGCCCAGGCGCCATTCACGTCGCCCCCGATGGCTACCACCAGCCCGTCTCGGCAGCAAGCATGGCATCACCGCTGACGGCCATCTCATCTACCGGTACCCCTGCAGTGACACCTCCATCCAGCGCCTTGTCATATACCTCTGGCCATTCCCCAAGCCCCTCAGCCTCTTCGGGATTTTCACCACAGTCCCGCCATAGCTCGACTGCCTCGTCCATCATGTATCCCAGCCTGCCCACTAGCTTGCCAGCCGTGAGCCAGGGATTCGGGCAGTCGACTACAGCAACTCTGGGCCCCAGCTTTGACGCCGGTGAGCGCCGCCGCTACTCGGGCGGCATGCTCCAGAGGGCCCGCGGTGCACCGCCACGATCTGTCGAGGAGCCCAGCGGCGCAGTCACGCCCAAGGCAAGCGAATCCACTCCACCGATTGGATCTCCATCCTCAGAATCATCCGATGTCAGTGATGCCACCCGCGAGCGGGAGGAACAGTACGACCGATGGGTAGATAACATGCGGGTGATTGAGGCCCTTCGTGAATACGTCCAAGGACGTCTTAAGCGTGGTGAATTTGAGCAAGAGTACCCTAGTGTCAACAGAATCCGCAAGGATGTTGATGCCATGGACCTTGAAGGCAAGTCCAGGAGCCCGCTTGCCAACGAGCGCCCCATGTCCAAGGAGAGCAACCCGCTGTACCCCGTCCTGCCTGTTCCTGGTACCTAAATCATTTATCCGGGTCATGATGTTTGTTGTATGAGGTGGCTTACTTTTCTTTTTCTTCTTTTCTTCTCTTTTAAGCTACCATGTTGGTGAAATTTGACGGATCAAAATGACGCACTGAGACGTTCATGGCATTTGGCGTATGTGGCATTAGGTTTATTCTCTATTTATTCCCAATATGTACGATTCAGACAGGCGGGAGGGATTTTTTTTATATACTGGTGTAGGGAACAAATTTGAAGAGAATGGAGTGAAGTGAATATTAGACATTCGATGGTGCTGATAACATGCAAGGTGAAGTCTGCGTAATACATCTACCAGCCCAGTTGCTTTGGAACCATAGGTAGGCACTTTGCTACCTAGGACCTACAAAGGGCAACGAAATCTTTGGGTATACTGTATTCATTCTGCATTGAGAGCATCTCTGCCAACTCTAAATTTAGAAGCATGGCGACTCAATCAACTCACGGGAACAAGCAGCAGTACAAGAAGGCGAGTCTCGTCATTTCCTAAACACTGTGCAACAACCACGGAGTGCATTGACGCAAAAAGCAACGCCCGAGAACAACACCGGCCCTTGGTGACGTCGATAGCAATGGCATGACGGCATTAACAAGATCAGCAGAGGCCGAGAGAAGTGCTTGGAGGCCCCCCCAAGTCTCCTTTTGGACAAACAGGCGAGAATGATGGTGATGTTGTCCAGGTCTGGTGCATATTATGTAAGAGTGGTCTCATGCGAAGGAGACGCCATGCAGTGAATCACGGAGCGGTACATCTAAATTTGGGGCTGGAATGCGGCTGGGGAGTCGAGTCGCACAGAGATGGAAGAGAGAGAGGCTGTGTGTAGGTGAAGTGAGGAAGAAGGCCAAGAGAAGGAAGAAGGAGAGAGGAGAAAGGAGCAAAAGGGCCGGGTGTTTTAGGAATGAGGATCTGGAATTGGGAAGGAGCACGAGGCAACGAGCGGGTTGTGCTTCGTCGGATATCCATTCACGTCAATAGACACAGATTGCATTTGCCTTCCCATTATTCTTATTTAAAAGCCCTCTCAAGTCCGGTGGAAAGTCGCTTCCCACTTACCTAGGTAACTAGTCTAGATCTCTTCATTTTCGGTCTTCCCCGGTCATCTCGTATGCAAAACTCATTTGTTTGCGTCCCTACGCCTGCCCAAAACTGATCACAGCATTTCAGCCCGAGACAAAGAGTGTTGGTGCCCCTACCCGACTTTGATTCTGAGACATTTGGCCTCCCTGCAGGTACTGACGGTGAGAATAAAAGCCGACGAGCCGCCGTTTGCACAAACGAAACAAGCAGTTCAAAAAACCAAGCAAACAATTGATAACCAAGGAGAGAAAAAAAAAAGAAGACATCATGAAGACGCTTTCGTTTGCCGCCGTCTCGGTGCTGGTGCTGGGTGCTTCGGCCCTCGTGCCGCCGGCCCACCCCCCGGCCGACTCAGGGTGTTGCTGCTGCGACATCTCCAAGAACAGAATCGACTGCGACAGGTCGATCCCGGCGTCGGATTGCTTCTGCGCCCAGGTCGTCTGCCCCGCCGGCGCGCCAACCTTTTGGCACGGAACGCCGACGCCGACGTCGCGATCCACTCATCCGCCTCCCACGCCGCTGCCGGTTTACAAGCAGTGCTGCTGCTGTGATCCCAGCATCAGTAAGATTGTGTGCTCGCTGAGGCCCGCAGAGGACTGCTTCTGCTTGGCTGTGGCGTGTCCGCCTGATGCAAAGACAATCTTTGTCAAGGAAACTCCCGCTCCGACCTCTTAGGGGTATTCGTTGTCGAGCAGACTTGCCTGAATCTTGGACTGGGGGCAGGGACAGGGATAGGGGTAGGGGGGGGATGAGAAAACACAAGGAAGGGCTGCTTTGATGGCTAATGCATAACTGGCAGAAAATTGGCGATTTATTGATTGGTAGCTTCTGAGCTGGCTGGAACTTGAAAAGGGGCATACCGGCTGGGCTACTTGACAGTATTTATACCGAGTTTCTATTCAATAATACACGGAAGTATTTATAAACTACCTATCATTGCTCTTTAAAAGCACACCACGGCCATGGCTACATCTGACATCTGAGAGAATGTTGTAGAGATGAATTTGCTTTTTTTGCATTGATCAAAAAGCCTATATCGAATTTTACATATTAACTCCTTATATAATTATTTCCAGCAGTTGCCTTGGTGCTGCCTCTAATACCTTGTAGACATGTACTTTTTAGTTGGCACGTGTATGGTATGGCCAACCTTATTGTATTGCTCTTCTCCCTTTTTCTACTCTCCGACTCTCCTCCCCTCCACATTCCGACTCCCAACGCCAACAGCACCAGCACCAGCATCTCACTACATGATCAAGACATTCCTGAACCGTGGCTTGCCGGCTTCCAGGCTATCAATTGCCTTCTTGATGTCACGGAATGGGTACCGCTCAATCATGCACTTGACCCCGTGCGTCATGGCAAACTGAATTGCCTCCTCGCTATCCAGCGCATGACCACTCGCCCAGCCTTGCACGCTGGCGCCTTTCATAATCAGCGTCACAGTGTTGACATCGATGGAGCCCACCGGGGCCAAGCTCAGGATCTTGCCATTGGGAGCGAGGCCATCAGCCAGGGCGCCGACGACTTTGGGGTTGGGCGCCGTTTGCACGATGATGGAAGCACCGCCCAGCTTGGTCAGCTCGGCAGCTCCATCGGTCTTCCCCGTGTCGATGTAGTGGTGTGCGCCCAACTGCTTGGCAAACGTCTCCTTGTCGCCGCCGTGGGACAGCACTGCCACCTCGTAGCCCATCTTGCTGGCATATTGAATGGCCAGGTGGCCTAGCCCGCCAAGACCCTGGATGGCTACGAGACGGCCCTGCTCGACTCTCTGTTTGCGGATGCCGTTGAAGACAGTGACACCGGCGCACAGCAGCGGTGCCGCCTCGGCAGGATCAATTTCCGTGGGGATGCGGACTACGGCCTCAGCTCGCAACAGGACATATTCAGCGAAGCCACCATCCTGCGAGACGCCGTTGATGGCCTCGTTCTTACAATACTGGAACTCGCCACGCTGACACTCCCGGCACACGCCGTCGTGCCCTCCGTGCCACGGCCCGCCCACGCGCTGGCCCACAGTGAGATTCTTCACGTCGGAGCCGAGCTCGACAATTTCTCCAACGATTTCGTGGCCCGGCGTACGGGGGAAGACGTTGCCAAAGTTACCCTTTGCAACTTCCATGTCGGACCAGCACACGCCGCAGGCGATGACCTTGACGAGGACCTGGCTGGCTGAGGGGTGCTTCAGGGGGACATCTTGGAGCTCGATGGGTGAATTTGGCCCGGTGAGGACAAGGGCCTTGTAGGTTTTGGGGAGAGAAGACGTCATTTCGACTGTTGGGTGTTGGCCAACAAGTATTGTATATACTTTGTCTTTAAGCTTTGAGGGCAAAGTGCTGACAGGCGTTGTTTTGAGTGATAGGCAGCTCAAGCTTGAGAGTTTGGAAGTGCCTGAATCACAACTCTCAGGGCACAAACTTAAAAGGGGGCATGGAAGCTGTTGGGAATTTATAGCTTTTCCATGTTCCTTTCTGCCAGAATTGCTCAGCTACAAAAGGTAGCTGGTGGTGCCATTGACTAATGCCAAAGCTGCCCTCCTACCTCTTTTACCACGGCACCGGCATCTAACAAGCCGAAACAAACGCTTCAGGTTTGCATATCCAATTTATCAAAAGTTAAAATGCCCATCTCATCCGGGCGAGCTGCTAGACGGAACGGGAAAAAGATCAAGAGCTAGTGCGCCGGCTGAAGTCAGTGTGACTTCACCAGCCCAGCGGGGGAGGTTGGCTGCTCTGCAGAAAAAGCTGGACAGCGGAGGAGCTCGGGAATAGGAGAGGGGGCAAAATGGAAATCTTCCTTATCTTCTATCTGTGCGCGTTGATGATGCAGGGAGCATTAGGATGATGCAATCGGGAGGGATTGGTGCCTTTTGGCCGTTGTGTTTGGTGTATTAACGATTATTTGAATAGTGGTTATGGTATTGATTACAAGGTGACATTCTTGTCTCTTACCCCCGGAGATCCTAACTTGCTTCTGCTAGGAGCCAACTTGTTCCGAATCTGGTGACATTTGGCACCAATGTGGTGACAGTGTTCATTTTTCTACTTTTGTTATTTTACTTGTGGTGTATGCCCGCATTGGACAACAATGTCGACTGAGTTGCTCTCCTCAGTTTGCCATCTCGGGAACAGAAGTAGCTCAGCAGCAATGCTCAACCTACTACCTACCCAGCTACCTTATCCATCGTTGCGGCTGTGGCTACAGATATACAAGTAACAAGCCTACCACTAATGACTACTAGACTACCAAGGTATTTCCTCTCTTTTCATTTCTCTATCTTATCACGCACCTCCAAAATCAAGAAATCAAGAAAAGCTCCAGGGTAGCCACCCCCCCATAGCAACATCTATAACAGCGGGGGCGAAATCACCCACGGCTAATCCTCGCACCTCCCATCCCGCCCCAGCCAATCAGCGCCCTCGCAATTCCGGCATCACGGGGCAAAGAGGCGAATCAATCAATCAACCTGTCTATCCTCCCCAACCTCAGCCTCAACCTCGCCCAGCTTCTCCCCCAAGCCGCGGCTCTTCAATCGCCCGCCTCCCATCTCCCTCCAGGCCGCAGTTGAAGCTATTCGCAGCTCCTGTCCTCCCCCTCACAGCAGCAATGTTGCCGGCAACGCGATCCGCGGCCTCAATGGCCCTCCGAGGTGCGTCAAATTTTCCAAAGCCAAAAGAACAAACACCCTAGCTCGTGGAGGCAAGACCAGAAACGAGACAATACAGAGCAATGGAATATAGCTAATGCAAATATCCCCGCCCCCTTCAGTCAAACCCGCCTCTGCGCTGATTCCCTTCCGAGCCGCTGCCGCCTTCACAACAACTTCTCGACAAGATGCCACCTCGCTGACCCCCCACTCCCCGAGCTTCGGCAAGGTTCGCAAGGAAGTTCCCCTCCCCAGCGAGGAGGGCACCAAGGGCGTCATGCAATATGCGCTGTACGTTTGTCTTCTATGATCCCCCATCCAATCTGCTAAAGCAACAATTCTAACGCGGGAGATCGCACTCACCAGCACCACGCTCGACATCGTCGCCAACTGGGCCCGTCAATCCTCGCTCTGGCCCATGACCTTCGGTCTCGCCTGCTGCGCCGTCGAAATGATGCACCTCTCGACCCCGCGATACGATCAGGACCGCCTCGGTATCATCTTCCGTGCCTCCCCCCGTCAGTCCGACGTCATGATCGTCGCCGGCACCCTGACCAACAAGATGGCCCCGGCCCTGCGCCAGGTCTACGACCAGATGCCCGAGCCCCGATGGGTCATCTCCATGGGCAGCTGCGCCAACGGCGGCGGCTACTACCACTACAGCTACAGCGTCGTCCGTGGCTGCGACCGCATCGTCCCCGTCGACATTTACGTCCCTGGATGCCCGCCCACCAGCGAGGCTCTCATGTACGGCATCTTCCAGCTGCAGAGGAAGATGCGCAACACCAAGATTACGCGAATGTGGTACAGGCGGTAAAGGAAGAGCGAAGGGAAAGAAGGAACCAGAGGAAGAGAAGAGAGACGGCCAACGTTGGGTGAGAATGTCATGGTGGTTTCACGAACCGGAGATGCTTTGAGGAAGTTGAAGGGGGAATAAAGGCCCCCCCCCCCCCCCCCCCCCCCCCCCTTCACCCCTTCTTGGAGGAAAGACCAAAGTTGGGATTCGAATGAGATTCAATTGGGAATCCAAAGAAAAGAAAAAAGGAAGGAAAAAAAATTCAAGAGTCAGCATGACGAAGGAAAGCCATGTCACATCTTGACTCGACGTCTCATAATTTTTTTTATATTTGACCTGTTTTATTTGTCGTCAAAAGTGTACATACACTCGCTGGGTTGTGGGACGTTAGACGTGTAGAGTATCTGGCCAAAATACTGTACCAATTCTAAAGGCTATACGCGATCCAAAAGGGCTAGTGGCTATGTGAAACCAAGATCAATTCTCGCCGTCTTAGATAAAGAAAAGCGTCACTGTTCCCCAATCTTGTCTGTAAGCATATTCAGCTCCAACTGATACGCCTCAAGTCCATCCATATCAAGATGTAAAAGAGAAAACGAGAGAAAAAAAAAAAATAAAGCCTAATTCCATTCAATGCTTGCCTTTACTATATATATATCGTAATACCTCCCAACTATTAATAAATACCGGCGCTCCAATCATTCCGCAACATCAAAAACAAATAAGCCCATGCAACAAGGCACATTGTTCATCGACATACGAGCCCAAACACCCTGGCCCATAGACGCTAGCCCACCTCTTCTCATCTAACATCATGGGCCGTCTTTTGATCGATCTCGCTTCTTCTCTTCCGCTCATGTCAATGACAGCGCTGCATTTCATTCCATCCCGTCTCGTCTGATAACAATAGATCCCACCAGCGCCAAACCAAGTATACCAAAGTCTGTCTGCTGACTCTTCAACCAAAGCATATGTACCCAAAGAAAACCGAAATACTACCAATGAGGGGATGTGAAGGGATCTGTGCTCAAAAAGCAATACTGCTACACAGCACTGTACAAGGCCGTGGCTTTGGAGGGCCCATGATTTGGGCACACCGTAACACCAAACCTCTTGTCTATTCTTGACCAAAGCCCATGGTCTCCTCAACGGCAATAGTAAGTTTCTGTTGTAGTGTCTCCAATGTCTTGTATGCGGGTAGATCAATTCGGTTGAAGCTGTGTTGATATTGTTAGCTTTTTTGCTACTTCTGCTTTATGGAGATATATAGGGGAGAAAAAAAAAACTTACCAAGTATGCGCCTTGGGCAGATTGGACAAGTCACCAGCCTTTTCGATAGTGAATCTCCTGGGGCCATCACTGCCCTGAAGATCCTTGAATCCGTTGACTGGGATTCTGGAGGTACCCGTGGTGAACTGCAGCAGACGCGATTTCTGCTCGCCATCCCAGGACCGCACGGTTGCCCAAAAGTTTTGGATAACCTCATCCGACTCAGTGTACCCTCGGTAATCTGTGTGCTTCTTCCAGTCATCGACGTCAATCTCAGCAATGCCGCCAATGAGAAGTTCGAGCTCACGCTCGTCAAAAACGTTGATGAGATCCTGAGGGATCAGCTCTTGGAAGCCTTCCTTGAAAGCTTGGAATTGCTCGGCAATGCGCTTCTCGATGCGCCATTTGACCATGAGCTCCACATACTCCTTCTTGTTCTCGTTCGTCACCTCAATGTCACGACCGCCAGGGATCAGATCCTCCGTCGTCAAAACTCCGAAACGCTCGTCTTCTGTGGAGAACGTTTGCTCAAGGATTCCTCCCGAAATGTCGTTATCCAACATCCACTGCAGTGAACGATGGAAGTCCGCATCCACACCCTCCATATCTGCCAGAGTAACACCCTTGCCAAGAATCATCTTGTACAAAGCACCGATGAAGAAGGCGTCCAAGAATCTTCGGTGGAAGATGGCCATACCAACCACACGTCCGATGAATTTGAAGTAGTTGAGATGTTCAGGGTTGATGCCAGAGTGAGGGTTGATTTGGAGGGTATAATTGTCGTGCGCTGAGTATTCGAATAAACAATAGAAGGGGTTGAACATTTCGTGTGAAAGGAGGAAGAAGAACTCTCGGGACAGACCACCGTAATCCAGACCGTCTTCGCCGTCAAACTTGATCATGAGGCGCTTCTTCAGGTCCGTAGCAGACTGGCGGGTGATTTCGGCGAATGAATCCTCAAAAATATGTGATCGTCGGACCTTGATGTGGCACTGCCCGCTGAGGATTCGCATGGCAGGCTGAGATCGGAAGTAAATGAGCTTTCGTCTAAAGTCTCGCTTATATTGGGGCACATTCTGATCCAACGAAGAGGGAAGGCGTGGATCATCCCAAGTAGTCGTCTTGGTATTGTGGTCCACAAAGTAGACTCTGGCAGTATTTGTGAGACGCATCTCCCAGCCGCTAGGCAGAGGGCCGAGCTGAGATACGGGTTGCTGTTGAATCTGGCCGTTGGTGTTGTTCTGGCCGTACATACGAATGAACTGCTGCCGGCGAGGGTCGACCCACGTCGTGGTCCGGGTGTTGTGGTCGACAAAGTAAGGTCGCCCTTCGGGAGTCCAGCGTTGTTCCCAGCCTGGGGGAAGCTCGCCGGAGCCGGGCTGGGTAGCACCTGTATGCATCATGGCCGTGTGGCTGCTGTTGGCGGCGGCATTGCCAGCGGCGGCACCGCTAGGGCTGCCTGCGCCAGAGCCTTGCTGTTGTTGCTGGAGAGTGGGTGAACTGGTGCCGGTTCTATCCTCGGGAAGGGTTCGGTTTTGGTGTCTCTGGCGTTCAACTTGAGTGACAGCCTCTCGTTCGTTTCGGGTTTCCGCGGCGGTCCCGGCAGCTGTCGGGCGATTCCAGCTAGTGGTACGAGTGTTATGGTCGACATAATACGTACGGCCGAGGTTATCCTCCCTACGTTCCCAGCCGGCCGGCAAACGACCTTGGGAGTCCTCGAACGGGCTTAGCTGACTATTGGGGCGGGATTGAGAGCCATTGACGCTCGCAGAGGCAGGTGCGGCACTGACACTGGCGGGATGGTGGGAGGAGAGGCTGGGTTGAGAAACAAGCGCGTTGCCATTGGGGCCTGACATGGCAGAACTCGGACGGTCACCGGCCGGAGCGGACAGGGTTGACAGGTTAGAGGCGCTGGGTGCACCAAGTGTAGGTCGACTGGATGACGCTTGACCTGCGCGAATGGGGGTGCTAAGGTTGCAGGATAGGTTGAGGATGAGCTTGCCGTGGACGACGAGGTTATCAGTCGACTTCTTGAGGTCTCTTGTAATCATTTGATCTGGAGAGTACTAAGCGTTAGCGAGCTGCTAGCAGGCTACGAGAAAATAAAGGGGGAAGGGAGGCCTGAGACATACCGTCGGCCTCGGGTCCGACTTCTGGAATCAAGTCGCCGATTCGGATATTGATAACGCCAAGGAAACCCTGGTCCTTCTTTTTGAACTTCTTTTGATCGAAAACCTGGACGGCCAGGATGCTCCCCTCGTCAACCCGGCTACACAAATATCAACATTTAGCTCATCAATGGCGCATGATGGATGCGGAAGGAGGATATTGGTCGTACAAATCAAAGCTCTCGTTCCAATACGGGTTGAGCGTCTTCTTGCTCACAGTTGTGGTCTTGGTCTGCTCTCCATTGATGGTCGCTACAGCAAAAGGATCGGGGAAGCCTGGGATTGTTAGCGAGAGGCAGACTGGTGAAGAAGGGAAAAAGAAGAGCGCGTAGCAACAAGAAGGAGGGGAGGCCACATACGAAAGACATCTCGCTTGTACAATCCATCGGCAGCGATAACTATGATGATGCATCCACGTTAATAAAGCTGGGGTCTCTTAGGCGGGAGTAGGCTTTGTAGCAAAGACGCACTTGTAATCCGAAGATTGGGTCTACTGTAAGACATGCGTGTTAGTCGACAACTCCATCGAGAAAGGCTGTAGGGCCTGTTATAAAAGGAAAACAGCGGCCGTGAATATGAATCTTACCCAGAATCGTTTCGACTCGCCATCTTGACGGGATCTCGGTCGTGTTCGCAGCGCTCCAGGCACGGCAGCACCAGCCTTCCGACAAGGCACAGCAATCAGGGCAATGCGGCCAAGTTGACGGCAGCAGTCCTCGATGGCGCAGTTTAAGGAGAAGGACGACGCTGCAAGTGACGACGATGCGAACTGGACTGAACTGAGCAAAAGTTGGGGCTGTGCAGCAGGCCAGGCTCCCCGCTCTATGGCTGGGTGGCGGGCGATAAGGAGCACGTGACGCGATCTCGTGCCCAGCAATCAGGGCAGCGAAGAGAGGCAGACGCGAGGGGCTGGAATCTCACTGCAGCAGCGATGGCAGGGCAATGGGCGGGATGGGATAGCTGATGATGGAGGAGATGGAATCCAGTCGAGTCGGGATTGCAAAGGCGGGCTGACAAGTGGAATCCCCTCTCAGCGTTACGGGGCTGTTGCGGCCAGAGTGGGGAGCCCAAGAGGCGGCCTCCTTTGGTCTCCTTTAGGCTTGCCGCTCCGCTGTGAGAATGGCTTTTGTGAATGAATGGGCGGTTTTTACACTGTAAGGTACACTTGACACTTGATACTTTACAGCATCTAGGTATTTATTCTGGAGAAAAAAAATCGTTCTCCATACTAGGTACTGGTCTATTCCATTTATATGTTATTTGGCGCTCCGGCAAGATTGATAAGCGCCGTCTGTCCGAAAGCAGCTACAGCACAAGCACAACTACAACTCGATGTTTTGGGTACATTACCCAGAACCACACGCCTTCTAGTCCTCGACACGGCCAGTCGGCACAGAACAGCCACAGAAAGCTTGCTGCTGCTAGTCGTGCTCTGTGCCATCCATGATTTGATTGGATGTCGCCCGGATGTACTACTGGCAACACGACAGTGCTGATGCTCTGCCTGCTCTGCCTTCTCCGGGCTGGTAGAGGTACCTCGCAGTGACCAGCGACGGCAATGCAGCAAGCACGGGAGCATGACCCCGGCACGACAAACACGCCCTGACAAACTCCAAGGCGCCCGACTGATTTGCATGTTTGCGCGTGGGAGCACGACATGGCAGGCAATTCCGCTGGCACTGCCTCTATTCAGGGTGGAGTGCCTTGTATCCTCCATCCTCCATCCATGGATGCTTTGGTACTTGTACCTACCTAGCACGGTAGTACCAACACTGCTTGTACCGCCCAAACCAACCTGTCAATGGAACCTCTCAAGGTGCTCGGATTAGTACATGCTGCTCGGCCCTTGTGGAACTTGACGAGACATACTGGTACACAGCCAGCCTTGACTAATGCTGTCAAATCGATTTTACTGGGGCATCGTCGTTTGAGAGAAGCCCTCATGGCTACAAATGATGACCAATGTTTACAGAAGGTACAAACGCCTAGGGCGCAGTTTGCCATCGAGGCAATGTCCCTACTCAGGTCTGCTGTAAGTAGCGGGTACGGAGCAAGCACCGCTTTACGGAGCAAATCCCCTCCATATTACTCAGACTCTGTACGTGTATTACTCTGTACTTTGTACCACCAACGGCCTCTCGTACTGTACTATTATTGGCATCAATCCTCAATCTGGAGACGGTGTGCTGGTGACCTCCATCATCCAATCCAAAGCCACATCGGTCCCCCCCCCAGTTTCCGGGTAGCACAGCAGAGAGATAGGTAACTAACATGGGTTGGCTGACACAAGCTCCCAACTAGATCATGATGGCGAGAAAAGGAATCGGAAGTGTGCCAAAAGGGATTAAGCGAAAGAAGGAAAAAAGACGAAAGAGAAAAAAATGGACTCAATGCTGTAGGCTGAACGGCAGAATCCATCAGCCACCTGGCCACAAAATGAGGCCATCTCGCTGGTGTGGCCGGCCGGCTTCTGCGCGGAGCTGTATCATGAAAAGATAAAAACGCCACCTGTGAAGCCGTGCCGCTTGGTTTGTCATCCTTTGCTCCAGTCTCACAGGATTTACCGTGACTCTGTCGAGATGACACTGCTAAGGTATGGATCTGCCCTGGAGTCTTTGTCTATGATGCGAGAATCGGGCAACGTCGTCAATAATAGGGCGGAAGTTGATACAGGAGGGGTACTGTCCCCTGCATCTGTGCTTTGTAAGAGACGCCCTAGAGGGCATGGTTTTTCGACCAAGTTTGAATCATCACAAATCACTATTGTATAGGATAACCTCGCAACAGGCATCGTCTAGATGTGATGCGCCTTAGCTGTGCGCCCTAGTTGTGCGCGAATCGTTCCAAAGCCAACGAGCAGAGAAAATCAAATTTACTTCCTCATCTAACCTCCTGATTAGCATCTGGCGTTAATACCAAGGCCTAAAACTCCAGATCCTTTCCCTTGTCGAATTTCTGATACTATACACGCAATCTCGTCGCCCATATCTGATCCTGTCTTTCTCAACTTGGACCCAGCTACTGAATGACACACAACTCTCCCATCAAAGTAAAGCAAACCCGGCGTCATCCCCTCCATTTTCTGGTTGTAGCCCCCTCCCAACCCTTCTCCTCAATTATGCCAACCTAGATGCTGGATATCTTTCGTCATCTGCGTAGAGAAAAGAAGGAAAAAAAAAGGAATCCGCCATGACTCTCCAAAAAAATCAAAGAAAAGCAAGCAACCGTTTAGTCGCGAGAAATGATGAACCTCCCCTCAGACCCAGTACCTAAAAGACTATCACACAATCCATTACTCTGGGCAGGTCGTGTGCTTGGAGAAACACTTCCTTGCTCCTAGTAAGGGGCGTAGCCTCGTCCACGGCCCCGGTAACCGCCACGGTAGCCGCCGCCGCGAGGGAATCCTCCGCCACCACGCCCATGGAAAGCGCCTCGGCCACCGCCGCGAAAGCCTCCTCTTCCACGACCGCGGCTCATGCCAGGAATATTGGTGCGCTTGGGAGTGACCTTGATGTTGCGTCCCTTGAAGACGCTCTCGTTCAGGACCAGGGCTTGGGCCACCAAGCTAGGTTCGGTAAACTCGACATAGGCGTAGCTAAAAGAGGGAAAGGGGCACCATTGTCAGTTTGGAAAATCCTCAACAATAGGAGAGAGAAAGATGGTAGAAGCCAGCTGAGATGGGGTTCGTGAAGATGCCATGCTTACCCCTTGGGCTGCCCGGTGAACTTGTCTAGAAGAATAGTGACTCGGTTGATGGAGCCGCAGCTCTGGAAATGCGCCTGGACCTCCTCGGGGGAGGCCGAGTAATCGACGTTGCCCACAAAGATGCTGCGCGCATCCACAGACTCCTTGTCGTCGGCGAGATCGGCAGACTGTTGCTCCAATGTCGCCTGCATTTCGCGGAGCTTCTTGGCCTCCTCCTCCATCTCTGCAACTCGGCGCTTCATCGCCTGAATCTCCTCCTAGCGGGCGGCGTGTCAGATCCATCATGTAACAGCTCTCGTGTCGAGCGCGCGTCAAACAAAACCCACCTCTTCACTGGCCGCAGTCTCGTGCTCCGGCTCACGCTCCCCCTCGGGGATACCCTCAGGCTTGTCTGCGTCCGACATTGTGCTTGACCGAATGAATCGACAGAGTCTCTGCTGGGATAACTGAAAGGACGAGAATGATATCAGCGACAGCTGTTCGAATACGACCAATGCGACGAATTGTCTTTTGTTGCAGCAACAAAGAGATGTTGACAGGACGGGAGAAAAAAAAAAGCTAGGATGCGAACACCCCTGTGCAGATTGGGAATAACCTTTGGATGGAGCCTGAAGCGCGACCGCTTTAGGCTTTTCCCGTCGAAAGAGGATTGATCGGAACGCTAAATGCCACTGACCTGGATTAACTGGCTGCAGCGATATCGGACGCGACAGCTCGATTGTCTACGGCGAAAAGGACAGTATGGATCTGGAAGGGCAATCGAGAGGAAGAATTCGAGGTCGAAACAATCGTCACTTGAGCCTCGTGTTGCCGCGACGCAGAGCCGAAGTTTGCCCGCCGTAAGGCTGCTTGCCGTGCGCGGCCCACTGGAGTTACTGCTGGTCCAAGGCCAAGGTACCTGGGCGCTGGGCTTGCTGGGGCCTGGCTTTGTGGGGGAGCAGATTCACTATTATCCACTGGCTAAATGTAAATGGATGGACCTGTGCTGGCTTCACATGGATTGATGCATGGATTGCTGTTGACGAGCATCTTGAGCTCAACCACTCAAATCACTGGCAGCTGACTCCCAATACCTGGCTAGGTAGACTAATGCGTTCCAGCTTCTCTTAACTTGTAGCGCCCATTTTTTTCACTGTGCCAAATCCCAGTCTTGCTCCTAGACTTGCGCTTGCATGCTGTAGCACCGCAGTTGTTTATTTGCGATTCATGTTGTCGAAACAACTGACATTATAGCTCGTCCGTCCACCAACTTCACACAAGCTATCCATCATGGCGGATCGCTCATCCGCCCCTTTGCTTCAACCCTACCATGGCGATGACAGTGACGATTCTGCCGCCTGGAACACGCCCTCGCGACAATCTCCATCTGTATCTCGCCGCTGGCAACGATGGCGCAGGTCAAGCCAGCGCCTCCTCGAGTCCCGCACCAAGCATTTCGTCGTCATGAGTATCGTGGCGCTAGATGTCGCCGCGCTCCTCGCAAATGTCTTCATCCAGCTGATTGCCTGCGAGATGCACCAGAATGATGAGCCCTGGGTGGAGCAGCTGACTGAGAGTCTGGAAATCGCTGGTCTGGTATTCAGCAGCCTCTTTCTCCTTGAACTCGTGGCGTGTTTATTTGCTTTTGGCTTGCGGTAGGTCCAAAAAAATATTTTTGATTGATTTTATTTCATTTATTTATTTATTTATTTTGCATTACTTCTCATCGTCTCTAACGCTTTTGGCACACTGAAGCTTCCTTGCCTCTTGGTTTCATGTCTTTGATGCTACCGTCATTATTGCTAGCTTCATCATAGATGTAACGTCCAGAGGCTTGACTGAGTCCATTGGATCTCTGATTGTCGTGCTTCGACTATGGAGACTGGCCAAGATATCCGAAGAGGTGGTGCTGGGCGCTACAGAGAGAATGGAGGTGCTGGAGCAGCAATTGGAAGATCTCGAGGCCGAGAATAGTAGATTACGAGCCCAGCTGGGCATCGGGTCCCCCAACCATTCAGGCAATGAGTAGAATTGTACGAAAAATGATATAGTTGACATATATTACAGATACAATTAGTCTGTTGCACAATCGATAGCCCCCAAAACAAATTCGTGTGTCCCAACAATTCAGAGCTGATATGTGAGCGCTGATTCACGGTACATGTACCTAGATTACTCCCATTCATTCCTTCTATTCGAGACAGACTCCAGGTATGTATGACAGAATCCTTCAACCATTGACACCGTCGATGCAGTTTCGTTTCCTCCAAAAATAAAAAAACGCCCCTGATATCTATGCTACCTCCCTCCCATGTCCCGCAGTTGCCCTATGTTCCCATCCTATGTATACGAAATATGTGGCGGTGCTATGTCTGTCGTCTCTGAATGACATGGTGATCGCTGGTAGAGAAAAAAAAAAGAGAAAGAAAGAAATGTCGCTCAGAGTGAAGAGCGGTCATGTATGTCGACTGCGTTTGCTTCCGTTGCCCACAGGATCTTTGCCGCCTAAACAGCCCCCAAAGAAGTCGTCAAAGTCCATCCTCCGTTTCGTTCCGGCTCCGCGACCAAGATGTGGTGAGGATCGCGGGCCGCTCCTGGAAGAGCTACCTCCGAATTTGGAACTGAAGGATGCTGGGAAGGCAGGTACCTCCTGCGGTCGTTGGTCTGATAAATCTAAGGTGGCGATATTAGGGTATGATGAATGGAAAGTGAAAGCGTCTTGTGTGGGCACAACAAAGTGAGTTGGTTCTTCGCTCATAGGAGATACATGGACGGCAGCGGGAGGGGAAACGGTTCGTGCTTGGATCTGAACTGGTGTCGAGGTCGATGGTTCGGCGCTGGCTCTGGTAATCTCGGGAGACGTATTCCTTTCGCCCTTGTCGACTTCATCCTCGCTCTCAGCGCTCTGATGTCCCGCATCTCGACCATCAAGCCTTTCCGTGGCCCATCTCCGAATCCTCCAGCCCTCCCCATCGTCCAAGCCAATGTTTTCCTTGTCTAGGAACATGAGCAGATCGTCCAAGCACTCCTGGTATCCATCTGCACGAGCGCGAGCTTCAGCCTTGGCGGAGGTCTTGTAGAGCTTGGTAACGGAGAGTGCCGCGGCCTTGAAAACGTCGAGAAGCTGTTCAGGTGAGTCATACTGCGCCGCCTGCTTCCCAACGGCGCCACGAGCTCTCGACGAGTCCATCTTCGAAGATATTTATTATCGCAAGCGCGTATGTGTGGTGTGGTCTAATTTCGAATTAGGGTGGCGTCAAAGCAAACCAGGAGCTTTGTGTTCCTACCTGAGGACTTGTATGTAGTCTAGCAAGCAGGCTCAGGGAGAGAGATTCCGCAGCCTGGTTCTAGGGGGTCGCACAGCAGAAAACAAAGCCGAGTTCTGGCCAGGGGGCCTCAAATCCGAAGATGAAGCTCTCCAAAAAGGGAAAAGAAAGAGTGAGAGGTCTGGAGATGTCCCCAAATCGGATCAAACGATGGAGGGGAAAGTCCTGGCAATTTAGTTCGGAGCGGCAAACTTCGAGGTCAGCAGGTTCGAAAGGCGGGCGAAGGCGGTAGAACGGCACGTGGGGTTGATGGGTCGATACCCTGGCATTTGACACGTGACTCTGATGTTGGGAGCAAGCTGCTAAACGAGAGGATGGGGAAATGCTTTGGGATATGGATATGGGAGTGATACGAGGTAATATTTTACATTGTGGCACATTAATTTTGTTTATCAAGCTGCGTACGGAGTATACGAGTGCGAGTAGCTGGACAAGACACGTGCACGCAAAGCTGGGTGATTTCAAATGTGCTACATGCACTCCGTGCTCCTTGCAGACCTGGGCTGAGGCAAAATCCCCTGTAAGAGCATGCCGCCCTGCTAATGGACCTCCCGCATCTGCACTTGCAGCGCTGAAAAGCCCCTGACCCGTTGACGTCGTTGGCTATGCCCTCTTGGGCGCCGGACTTTCCTTGTTCCTTTGAGCAAAAAGTGGGGGTCCCAAATCGGCTTTCTTTGGCGGAGAGACAAGGGTGGGACCTGCACAAGCGCTAGGCCTAAAGTCGACAACCTCTGGATGAGCACGTCGAGACTCTTGCCAGGCGCATTTCTAGAAAAAACATCTTCTCCTTTCCGCCAGCAACAGGGAAGTTGATTCACGGCTTCAAGCACCACCCAAAACTTGTCGAGAAGCCTGAGGCCCCTGCTAGATTTACGGAATTCCCCTCGGCCCCTCGCACTTCCGCCAAGCGGCGCATTTGAAGCGCGTTTCGTGCACGCAAGTCGCGTAAAGAGGCTCCCCTCTGAGATTTTAGTCGCAATGGCTCCGCGACCTCGAGCCAACGGCGTGGATACGGACGCGTCCATGTCTGACGCTCCGGAGCATCCTCAAGCCGAGGAAATGGTAAGTCCATCTACTTAATTGCCGTCTTCCGCCGCTCGGTCGATGTTTTAACCAGCTATCCCCCCAGGACGTTGATGAGACTCCCGACTATACCGACTCCGACACCAACCCCAATACCACAGCCAGCAGCGTAGCTGGTGAACCCCTCACAGATGGCAGGAAGCGACGCAGCGAGGCGAATCAATTGCGTCGGAGCATCTTCGGAAAGAAGCATGACCGCCTTGGAGAGTCAAAGGTTTGCTTTCCCAAATTCCCAAGTTATAAGCCGGTGTCTGCTGAAGGTTGCAATCGATATTAACGCTGTGACCCTTTTCTCTCTCCCGCAAATAGGAAGATGATACCATTCGAAGATTCCGTTACCTGCTCGGTCTCACCGATCTTTTCCGGCATTTCATCGAGACGAACCCCGACCCTAAAATCCGTGATATTATGGCCGAGATCGATCATCAAAATGCCGAAGCTGCTCGAGGCAAGAAAGGCGCTGGTAGAAAGGGAGGCGCCACCAGCGATAGACGACGACGAACCGAAGCCGAGGAAGATGCGGAACTCTTGAGCGACGAGAAACATGGTGGATCTGCGGATACCGTCTTTAGAGAGTCACCCTCGTTTGTGCAGGGTACCATGAGGGATTACCAAGTTGCCGGCCTCAACTGGCTGATTTCACTGCACGAGAACGGAATTTCAGGCATCTTGGCCGACGAAATGGGCCTGGGCAAAACTCTACAGACCATCTCCTTTCTGGGCTATCTCCGCCACATCATGGGCATTACTGGCCCGCATCTTGTGACGGTCCCCAAGTCGACCCTCGATAACTGGAAGCGAGAGTTTGCAAAATGGACTCCAGAAGTCAATGTGCTGGTACTCCAAGGTGCAAAGGATGAGCGCCACGAACTCATCAACGAGCGCCTTGTTGACGAGAAGTTTGACGTTTGCATTACGAGCTATGAAATGGTTCTGAGAGAGAAGGCGCACCTCAAGAAATTTGCTTGGGAGTATATTATCATTGACGAGGCACATCGCATCAAAAACGAAGAGTCATCTCTTTCGCAGGTCATCCGACTCTTCAACTCTCGTAACCGACTGCTCATTACAGGTACCCCACTGCAGAACAATTTGCATGAGCTTTGGGCTCTCCTCAACTTCCTCCTGCCCGACGTCTTTGGTGATGCTGATGCATTCGACCAATGGTTTTCGGGACAAGATCAGGATCAAGACAAGGTGGTGCAGCAACTGCATCGAGTTTTGCGCCCATTCTTGCTCCGCCGTGTCAAGAGCGATGTTGAAAAGAGTCTTTTGCCAAAGAAGGAGGTCAATGTGTACCTGGGTATGTCCGAGATGCAGGTCAAATGGTACCAGAAGATCCTCGAAAAAGACATCGATGCCGTCAATGGTGCTGGAGGAAAGCGAGAGTCCAAAACTCGGCTTTTGAACATTGTGATGCAGCTGCGAAAATGCTGCAACCACCCCTATCTCTTTGAGGGTGCTGAGCCGGGCCCACCCTATACAACCGACGAGCATCTGATCTACAATGCTGGCAAGATGAAGGTCCTGGACAAGCTGCTGGGGCGACTTCAGAAGCAGGGCAGCAGAGTCTTGATCTTTTCTCAAATGAGTCGACTGCTCGATATTTTGGAGGATTACTGCGTCTTCCGGCAATATAAGTATTGCCGTATTGATGGTGGCACTGCTCACGAGGACCGAATTGCGGCTATCGACGAGTACAACAAGCCTGGATCAGAAAAGTTTGTCTTCTTGCTCACGACAAGAGCTGGTGGTCTGGGCATCAACCTGACAACGGCCGACATTGTCATTCTCTATGATAGCGACTGGAACCCGCAGGCGGATCTGCAGGCCATGGACCGCGCGCACCGTATCGGACAGACAAAGCAAGTTGTAGTGTACAGATTTGTCACTGACAATGCCATTGAAGAAAAGGTTCTGGAGCGAGCGGCTCAGAAACTACGACTCGACCAGGTCGTCATTCAGCAGGGCCGCGCTCAGGTTGCTGCCAAGGCCGCTGCAAACAAAGATGAGCTCCTGTCCATGATCCAACATGGCGCTGAGAAAGTGTTCCAGTCAAAAGGCTCTACGGACGAAGCGGCAAACAAAGACAAGGAACTGGATGATGAGGATATCGATGAAATCTTGACCCGAGGCGAGTCCCGTACTAAGGAGCTCAATGCCAGGTACGAAAAGCTCGGCATTGAGGATCTTCAGAAATTCACTTCCGAATCTGCATACGAGTGGAATGGAGAAAACTTTGCAAATGCAAAGAAGAATATTGGCATGAACTGGATTAACCCGTCGAAACGAGAGCGCAGGGAACAGAGCTACTCGATGGACAAGTACTTTAGACAGGCCATGTACCCTAACCCCAAGACCGATGCCAAGCCAAAGGCTCCCCGTGCGCCGAAGCAGGTACCAGTTCACGATTACCAGTTTTATCCCCCTAGACTGCAGGATTTGCAGGATAGGGAGACTGCCTTCTATCGCAAGGAGATTGGGTACAAGGTGCCGTTACCAGATGGAGACGATGATAACTTGTCCGAGCGCGAGGCTGAGAGAGCACTCGAGCAGCAGGAGATTGACACCGCAACACCCCTCACAGAGGAAGAGCGAGCTGAAAAGGAAGAGCTTTCGAATCAAGGGTTTGGCCACTGGAACCGCCGTGATTTCCAGCAGTTTGTTAACGGATCTGGAAAATACGGGCGTAACGATTACCAAGGCATTTCCAACGAGATTGACAGCAAGACGACGGCAGAAATCCGGGCTTATGCCAAGGTGTTCTGGCAGCGATACACCGAAATTTCCGACTACCCCAAGTACATTAAAGTGATTGAAGATGGAGAGGAGCGCACCAGGCGCATTGACCATCAAGGCAAGCTTCTTCGCAAGAAGATGCAGCAGTATCGCGTTCCTCTCCAGCAGCTGAAGATCAATTATTCGGTCTCCACCACCAACAAGAAGGTCTACACCGAAGAAGAGGATCGGTTCCTGTTGGTTCTTCTTGACCGCCATGGCATCGACTCTGAGGGTCTCTATGAAAAGATGCGAGACGAGATCCGTGACTCTCCCCTTTTCCGCTTCGACTGGTTTTTCCTGAGTCGCACGCCCATTGAGTTGTCGCGACGATGCAACACGTTGCTCACAACTATCGTGAAGGAGTTTGAGGACGGCGCTGGAACTGGAAAGAGCTCTAACGGGGTCAATGGCAAGTCTAAGCGTGATCTGGAGGAAGAAAATGATGAGGATAGCATCTTGAGCATGGCACCGGCAAAGAAGAAGTCTAAGAATGGCGTCAAGGTATGTCAATGAATCGCAAAAGTAACTTGAAGAGGCTAATGCTAACATATTTCCCTAGAATAAGGCTCTTGACAACGTCAAATCAAAGTCCAGCAAGGCTAGCTCAGCTTCCCCATCAAGAGCTTCCAGCGTCGCTTCCAACGCCAACTCAGTCGCTGGTGGCTCTTCAAAGGGTAAGACGACCAAGACCAAGACCACGGGTAGAAAGAAGAAATGAGTGAGATGAAGAATGCAAAAACAAAGGTTATGGGCAAACAACTCGGGCTCTAGGAAAGGACGCGGGTACGAGTTTTAGAGAGGGGAATAACGTTGCTTTATATGTTGACAAAACTTATGGCGTTTTCATGCTTGGGGGCTTAATGCGGATTGCATCGAGCTTGGTGGTGGAAACTTCTGTCGGTAGGACAGTATCTTGGTCCCGGGCACTGACCGTGTAGTAACGGATCGATGATGCTCTTGCTTCTTGTGTCAAAAGAAAAAAAGATATAGCTTGTTTAGTTGTAAAGTAGTAATGCGATGAAGGAACCCAAATTAGAGAAGCCGTACACATCTTCTCGAATCGTCTACAACCCGACCCGAGTCTCTGAAACACCGGAATCTACCCATGGAAATGACACGAATAACCAGAGAACCGTCCATTTGTTCCCTATCAAAGTTGACTTGGTGCAACTTGACGACACTCATCTCGTACTCGTATATCTGCCGAGGCGGGACTCGATTCCCAAAACCCGGAACAAAGTGGGACCCGATCTCCGATCATCCCATCAAGTACCCGGAGAGCTCCAGACGTGGCACCATCCCGTTTCTGCTTCTACTCGCATGCTCGGCCAGAGCTCGACAATGATCAATTGAGCTGCAAACATGAGCCTTCAGCGCGCGGATGGCGCTGCAACGGCTCTCCTCAGGCTGTCGGCCGCCTGGAGGAGAAGCGCCGCCACAGCGACAACCCGAGCCGGCGCCAGGCGCATCCTGTGCCGCGGCTTGAGCTCAGCTCGCAGCTCGACCGACGATGGCGGTGCGCCTGCGAAGCGGAACAAGGCTGGGAAGCTGCCCGAGAACGCAAACGTGGCTGTACTGGGAGGCGGCCTGACGGGCTTGACGACGGCGTATTACCTGGCCAAGTGGCTGCCGGCAACGACCAAGATTACGCTGCTCGAGGGCAGCGATCGGCTGGGCGGATGGATTAAGACGGATAGGGTCCCCGTCAAGGTTGGCGGTGTTGAGGGAGTGGTGAATTTCGAGCGTGGACCGCGGTCGCTTTCGTCGTTGAATAAGAGCACCTGGCGGTTTGACGACTTGGTGCTCTGGGATCTAGTGCGTCTACAACTTGCCTTGGAGGGGAACGTTTTAAGTGAAGAATGGTGAAGAATGAGAAAGCTAACGAGATTTTGATGTCTCGACAGGCTCTCGACCTAGGTCTCAAGGTTGTCTCGCCTCCTGACCAACCACGATACATCTACTACCCCGACCATCTCGTGCCGATGCCACCGCACACCAGTCTGGCGGCATTCGCCAGCGAGCCCGTCGTTCTCGAGTCTCTATGGGCCGGGTTCGGATACGTGATGCGACGGCTCTTCAGCAAAAAGGACGGAGTGCCCGTCCAAGACCTCTCCATCGCTGACTGGATCTACCACATCACAGGCAGCAAAGCCGTGGCCGAGAACCTGGCCTCGGCCATGGTCCACGGCATCTACGGCGGCGACATCTACACCCTCAGCGCGCGAAGCGTCCTCGACCGGTTCTACTGGGTTCACTACCTGCCGGCCTTGGGGCCCAACGTCCGGCACATGGCCATCTCGGAGCAGACGTTTATGGAGGCCATGGGCCAGGATCCGCAGATCCGGAAGCTTGCGAAGCAGCCGAGGGGGGCGCTTTTGAACTTTGGCGAGATGGGCATGGAGACGTTGCCGATTGCGTTGGGGGATGCCCTCAATGGCCAGGCGAATGTCGAGGTTAAGCTCAATACCAAGGTTACCGATCTTGATTATGACTCGGAGACTGAACTCATCAAGGTACGACCTAACAACTTACATATATACCCTCATTCTCACTAAAACCATGAAATCCAGGTCAAAACCGGCCAAAACTCGTCCGAGAAATACCACAAAGTCATCTCCACCCTGCCCTCCCAGCATCTCGCCCGCATCACGGATGACATCCCCAGCCTCGCCTCCTCGCACACCGTCTCCATCATGACTGTCAACATCTGGTACCCCCAGACAAATCTCAAGCCCCCGGGCTTCGGCTACCTCATTCCCCTCTCCGTGCCCCCTGAGCAGAACCCCGAGCGCGCCCTGGGCGTCTTCTTTGACTCCGACGTCGGCGTCAGGGGCCCCGACGAGCCCGCTGGCACGAAGCTCTTCGTCCTCATGGGTGGTCACTACTACGACAGCAAGAAGGAGCACGGCCCGACAGTCCGCATCCCGTCCGAGGAAGAGGCCATCCAGCAGGCAAAGACGCTGCTCGAGCGCCACCTCGGTATCCCCCAGTCCACGCCCTGCTTCGCCATGGCCCGCCTCGCCAACGAGTGCATCCCGCAGTACAACCGCGGCCACCAGGACACCATGGCCGCCGCCGACCAGGAGCTGCACGACAGCTTCAAGGGCAGGCTCGCCGTCGCGGGGGGTTCGTACACAAAGATTGGCGCCATGGGCGCGCTGCGCAACGGCTATGACATTGCCAACACCGTTGCTAAGGAGGATTGGCTCACCACGGGGCTGGAGCAGCTGGAGTTTCCGACGCAGTTCTGCGGCGTGCCGACGGAGAGGATTCCCGTGAGGAGGTTTTCTAGAAGGTAACGCGGGACAATTACAAACCAAAAAGGGGGGATCTGTACGGATTTCTTCGTCTGTTGTCATTATATAGATGGGGGGAAACGAAGGTGACAAAGTACATATCAAAAATCGGGTTATTTCACCAGCATCACCACTTTATCGCTGTAACATAGACTTGTTATTTGACATATAAATTTCAACAAAACATGGCATTTAGAACCAAAGAAGGATTCCTGCCACGCGTTATGCACATGACATTAATTACCAGACATCTATCTCATAATACATCCCGCTTCCAATCTTCCTCCAACGCTTTAAATCAAGCCCCCCCCTTTCCACCCATTTCTCCATTTGCCATGGCTAAATTTTCTCTCAAGCACCGCGATTTCACCATCCCGCCAACTCACCCCAATTCCAGGGGGGACGAGAAACATGATCAGATAATTTTTTTTTTCGTTGGTTGAAAACAAGGGGGAGTTGAACAAAGAACAGAGTGAAACAAAGAATAATTAAGAAGCCCTGCCTAACCCCTTTCCCCCCCCAATGCTGATTGATTAACCTGGCTGATGATGCTCCCATTATCCAAATTCTCTCGCTGCGTAGTGAGCTTTTTGCACGTTTCACTCGAGGTATCATTAGGTAAAAAGACAAAAAAATAAACGAGAAAAAGAAAAAAAAAGCACGAAGGCCGCAAGCTCCCCTTGATACCGAACCAACCAAACCCTCCTAAGCTTTGTAATAGCCCTTGGTTCTTTGCAACCCGCCCCCTTTTTTGATATAAGAAGTCTCGACGGGTTAAACCGCCGCAAGGTGGCCCTTTGTTGAGAGCAGATATATATATACCTATGCCTTATACCGCTGTATGCTCCCCCATTCGAAGATGTAGTTAGTCTAATGTAATCACCTCTCCTTTCACACCACCTGATGATATAGATGGTGATGCATGTATAACTCCTCGAATCGCACCATCAATCGCACACAGCATATCCATGACAGCCTCATTGGACTGAGCTGCTGCGCCAGTGGTAAGACCGAGCCAGTTGTTCCCTTTGCCCTCCCACACAGCTTTCAAAGCCTGGTCAAAATCGTCGGCCACCGCGTTGGTGGTAGACCGCCAAGCGTGCCACCACCCTTCGCCACGGCGGGCCTTCATTCGGACATCTATGGAAATGTTCCGCTTCGTCTTTTCTCCAGCTTGACTGGTCGCAAGGTTCTTGTACTTGAGGTTTATCCATGTCATGGACTTCATGCTAAAGTCCAGCTGGCCCTGTCCCTTCTTGAACAGCTCAGTCCATTGGACATCCAGTTGGACAAGAGCCTTCATTGCGTGTAATGACATGGGAAGCCAGGCCATCAGCAAACCGATACCACCTTCCGTGCTCGCCAAGTTCCTTGCGAGATCGATAACCCGGACATGGGGGTTATCCTTCTCCATATGAATATCGATGTCCTCGCTGGATAGATCCATTTTTACTCTCCAGAGTTCGCGGGCTGGAGGAGGAGCGACAGTTTCCTCATTCGACGGCGCGGGTAGAGGCGAGCTATAGCAAAACACAACTCCTTTCAATGTGATCGATTCGCTAATGATCAGCCCCTTAGCCCTCTCCATAGCTTCGAGAAAGTTGACGAATCTGTCAATGGCCTTGATTCGCGACTTGAGAATGTCGAATACTGGCTCAGTGACGCGACGTTGGACTTGTAAGATGAATTCGCCTCTCTGGGGATTGTAGGAAACATCCCGATCCACCATGCCCTTCAGAGCCAAGAATCTCGTTGGCCGTCGAACTCTGATCACTACATCCGAGGTGCAAACGAGGCTATGAGTAGTCGTGTGGCCTCCTTCGCTCGTTTCTTCATGTCTGGACTCTGAGTGAACACCCTTAAAATTGATTGCCACCATATTTTCCGCCCACGGTTCTCTAGTCGAGGAAGAGACCCCCGCCTTTGACCGTAACAACGCAAGGACCTGCGGGTCTTCATTCAGCCCAAAAGCGATGTGATTCTGTGAGGCTATTTCATCCGTGTACTCCTGCATCATCGTTGGGAAGATAGCTGACAGTGCCACTTCGATGGATGGCATTCTGACTTGTTGCGGTAGTGACAAATCGATGCTTCCGTTCGATTGGCACTTGACCTTACGTCGATGGAGCTCTCTCATATCCACTGACTGAGTGATCATGCCACCCGCAAATAGATTCAGATTATCCCAAAAAGTGCCTGACAGGTGAGGTGCTCCCTTGTTAAGTGGAAGTCTGGTATGAAATTTGGAGGCGCCATTCGTTTGAGCGGGATCTCTAATGTTCTTGGTTAGCTGCGGAAAGCAATAAAGGGGGATGAACAAGAAAATATCGAGCGGATGGCGGTATATACTCACGTCTCGAGCAGCCACCATTCATCCCCTTCCAGGCTGAGAATCACACCGACAAACCAGGCTGAGCCCCATCCTCCGTGTTGTAACCATAATGTGCGGCTCCATCTCCGCATTTTGGTAATTGACTTCAACTCATCAATATTGATGGGCGCCTTCCGAACGGACCAGCCTCTAGCAGTTCCCATCCTACCCAGCTCATCTTCAATGATTGCACATCGCAGGTGCTCCAAGAAAGCGACTCCGTCTTCCGTTGGGTTTTTGCCATTGTTTAGCTGTAGCTCCGGCTGAATGGAGAATTTTGAATGTGGCTTCATCGCAAAGGCACCGCTTGTTGGCTCAATCAGTAGCGACACTGTGCCACCGTACCCTACCTGCAGGTTCAGGCAGGATGCCACCGGATCGGTTTTGGATATGTTTAGTACGACGCCGGTTTCGCGGTTCTTGAACCTTGGTGCTGCCAGCATTCCGGAGTGAATACTTGACAGGATGTACTCGATGTGTCGTCCAACGACGTCTTTCAACAATGCCTCCGCAGACAAATTTTCGGTATTCACCTCAATCTCAACGTCTTTGACCTCTTTGCCGTCACGATACCATTTTGCTGCCAAGAAACTCGATGCCTTCGGATCTATTCTGCCTCCCTGCTTTCGCCCGCTGTTTATCGCTACGATGATCCAATTTTTCAGACCAGTAGCGGTTGAGCGAGATGTCCAATACTGGATGGACAAAGCTCTGTTTAGAGGTTCCACAGCCAGTGTGCCAGTCCATGATGTTCGGCTCAGTTGCAATGCTTGGCGCTTCAGCTCATTTATCTTGGTGGTCAAGACGTATTCGTGCAAAAATTGATAGCAACCGGTTAATCCATCCTTTGCTAGTGCCTCGTTTACGCAGTTCTCTAGTGGTGCTCGTAACGACTCGGGAAGTGATAATGCCGCAGGTCGAAAGGCAAATCTGAAGTCAATGAACCAAAACTGCTTCTCGAAATCTTCATCTGCAATCGTCAGATCCACTTCGAATTCTCCGGCAACCTTGAAAGTAACCCGGCCTGACCCGATCGTGTAGTTTCGGAACTGATACGGAATTTTGTCAAAGTCGTCAAGGTTTAATCGTAGAGACAGCAGCGTATCTAGATCACCAATACCCTTCAGCTGCTCCTCTGTTGTCAAGGGGGGCGGTTCAATGTATTGGAGCTTGAAACATAGACTCGTAAGAAAGAAGATCAATCAAATTTTGGGTAGTAAAGAGCATTTCACTTACGTCTGGCATCCACGGCGCCGTTCCAGTGGAAAGAACTTGTAGCGCCGTCTTCAGGTCAGGGCTTGGCATTCGAGCGTATGTTAAGTCCCGCTTCACATTGATAATGCTGTCCAGGGCCGTATCGTAAAGGATTCGTTGTTGATCGAGATGGAATTTGAGATCGATGAGTTTGCTGACCATGGAAGCCTTCCTGCTCCATTCCACAATAACTAGAGCTTTAACCCATTTTGCATGCATGTCCTGGGTGAAATGTAGCAGTGCCGCCTTCTTCCTGAGGTTTTCGCTTGACGTATCATCTGGGGCGCTCTGCGTATAGTTTGTATTCCCATTCGTGGCAGCAGCAGGAAGTGGCATCTTGGCTAGCTCGGCGATCTTGTCTTGTACCATGTTGTGCGTAGACTGAGCGAGTCGTGTGAGGAGGAGGGAGAGCGGGACGAAGCCCTGAGTAATGTGAACGATTTCATCAGGGAGGTTGTTCATTCGCGAAACTTGTTCGGTCGGGGAATTTGATCGAGCCTCGCCCGCCCCTCCATTGATAGCATTGCTCCCATTGTTGGCTGTAGTTGTAGCTGGCGCCTTTCCCTTATCTGGCGCGGCTCGAGGCCCATCGACGCTCTTGACACCGTTGATGCCGTTTACGGCCGAGTCCTTGTGGTGGTCGGAAAGCGCGCCATTCTGACCTCCACTCTCCATGTTGACGACGCCAGGCATTTATCGAGCTGCGAAAGCAAATTCGCTGCAGCCCTCCACGCAGAAACTGATACTGCCAGCACCACGCCCCCTGACGACGCAATCGGCGAGGCTCGAGAAAGATGCCACACTATCGCGCGCGTATCATGGAAGATTTATGTTCTGCCTCTTTATGAACGGCGGCAGTGGAGCACGACCATGGAGGTCGTCTGCACCGATGCGGACGGTCGGAGGCGCGTTGGAAACGGGTTCGCATATAAATGTAAAAGCCACGCTGGGGGGTTCAAGCAGCTCTTCCGAAGAGACCGCTGCGAGTCACAGTTTTCGACAGATGGCGCAACAGAATCAGTAACGGCAGAGGGCGACTGCACGTGTTGGATCGCTCGGTTTGGCAATGGTCCTCTCGCGAGAGAAAGTGGCACGGAAACAGCTGAGAGGGCGCGAACGCGGCTTGGGTTTTGGCACCGAGTGCTTCAAGACTCGGCGATACTGGAGGTGCTCGAATCAGTGCACCTGAGGCGGGAGGAGGATGAAATACAGGCGCGGATTGGGTCGTGGTCGGGGGTTGAAGATGATGCGCCAACAAAGCCGCCCTTCTCCGTTTTCAAAAGATTCGAGGTAACACGGGCAAGGCGGACGCCGAACGCTACGGCGGGGTCACGTGAGTTGGCGCACGGGCCGAATGGACTTCAGCAGTGCCCATGATCACTGCCCAGTACGAAGTACCTGTACCGTACATAGCACTGCTGAATCTTAGCCAGTAGCTCGGCTGGTAGTTCCGATCAGTGAGTGCATGGTAGCACAAAATAACCTAAAGGTTAGGTGCGTGGAATGGGAGGTTGGCGAAACAGACCTAGTCGTGAACAGCAGTTGCTAAAACAATCAATCACTGAATTCATTGATTGCATCGTACGATACAAAACCCAAGTCATACCCGCCATTGAAAGGAATAGTTTGTTGGACTGCCACACAAATCTCTTCCATAGTCCTGTAACATCAGCTTTGTTGAGACTAATCGTGACCCTGCTAGTGTTCTTTAGTAGTGGAGGGGGGCGATTCACATCACTCGACGACGACTACAAAGACCCTCTCCAAGGTCAACACTACTATCACCTAACAGGTAGGTGAAAATGCGCTTCGGGGGAAAATAGTATCTAGAAATTTGTTTTCTTCGTATTTCGAAATAGAAGCTTCAGCTCTTAAGAATCCAGTACGTGCCACGACAGCTTAGACGACGCTCGACTTTTTATGAAATCCACACTACCTCACAGCCATATCCCGCCTGACACCCATGATACGTCCAATGCATATATTTGGGGACGATGTATATAAAGATTTTTTGATTTTTTTAACTGCAACAATTGTTACTATGCTTGTTCCATCTAGGATCCAAGGCAATACATGTCAAACAATGTGCAATACATTGCACCAGCCACTTACAACTTGGTGGGAGGGGCAGCCGAGGTCGTCGGCCACTGGTAGCCGGCAGCGTCACTGAACTTGTATCCATATGACGCTGTGAAATCATCCAAAACAGCGGGGCCTCGAGAGCCTGTACCGATGGGTTAGTTTAGAAATCAATTCGACTAGGGTACAAAAATGCCGGGAGGGTCGGTAAATATCAGAACGGAACTTACCGTAGGGGTATTCCATGGGGATGATCTCCTTGTTGTCTTCCAGGTAGTGCAGCAGGGGAGTGAAAATGCGCCAGCTGGAATCCAGCTCGTCGTCACGAACGAAGTTGGAGTGGTCGCCCTTCAAGCAGTCGAGGACAAGTGACTCGTAGGCCTCGGGGATCTTGAGGTCGGAGAATCGGCGTCGGTAAGTAAGGTCAAGCTCGGTAACGACGGTCTGGGTGCTGAGTCCGGGAAGCTTGGAGTTCATCTTGATGTAGACACTCTCGTTGGGCTGAATGCGCATAACAAGCTCGTTCCGTGGAATGTCCTTAAAGATGCCCGAGGTGACGTCCTTGAACTGGATTCGGATCTCTGTCTTTTGCTCATTGAGGGCCTTGCCAGCCTTCATGATGAATGGAACGCCATCCCATCGCTCGTTCTTAATGTAAGCGACAAGGGCGCAGAATGTTGGGCATCTAGAGTCCTTGGGCACGGTATCATCCTCCTTGTACGACGGCTTGCTGCCATCCAGTGACCTTCCATACTGTCCGATGATGACGTTCTTGGGCTCAATAGCAGGCATGGCTCGGAGGACACGGACCTTTTCATCTCGGATATCCTCAGAGTCGAAAGAGATGGGACGCTCCATGGCCAGAAGAGTGAGGACCTGAAGAAGATGGTTTTGCATAACATCTCGGATGATGCCAAACTCGTCAAAGTAACCTCCACGGCCCTCGGTGCCAAAGGGCTCCTTGAAGGTGATTTGCACGTTGTCGATGTGATGTCTATTCCAGGTAGCACCAAGGAAAGAGTTGCCGAAGCGCATGATGAGAATGTTCTTGACCATCTCCTTACCGAGGTAGTGGTCGATACGGTAGAGCTCCTCCTCCTTCCAGTCGGGCTCAAGAGACTTCTGCAGCTCACGAGAGCTGGCAAGATCCTTACCGAAGGGCTTCTCAATCTGCAGACGAGTGATTAGATGGAGAATAGATAGATAACAACGTGAACGAGAATGAGAGAATAAGGCTCAAGTAAGCAGAAGTAGTCAACTTACGATGACACGAGCGATGCCCCTGGTTGGGTAGCAGCATCTCTTCAGGTGCTGGGAGACAATAGTGAAGACACTGGGAGGGAGCGCCATGTAGAACAGGCGGTGGGCCTCTGGCCATCCCTTCTCCAAATCCTTGAGATGGTCGTCAAGAACGGCAAACGACTCATCCTTGTCGTACTGGCCGGAAATGTAGGTGCACAGGCTGGTGAACTCCTCGAGCTGCTTCTCAATCTCCGGGGTAGGAGTCTTAATGTATGACTTCACCCGTCGCAGGTACTCCTCGTGGTCCATCTTTGTCCGGGCATAGCCGACGATCTTGACGCCCTTGGGCAGAAATTGGTTTCGGTACTAACAATTGTCAGGGTAAGCCAAAGCACATCTCGAGGCCGGCGCTGTTGTGCAAAACAGCGCATAGCCTATTCTGCGGTTATAGTTAGGCTGCTTACCAGGCCGAACAGCGCGGGGTACTGTGAAGTGCTTGTGTCAGCGCAAAGAGATGCGAAATAACGGCTGGGTCAAGGCAGCTTCTCACCGTCTTCTTCTTGGCAAGATCTCCGGAGGCACCGAGAACGACAATCGTCGTGTTCTCCTTGAGTTCGAGCGCTTGGCTGCATCGCAATTGTTAGCAAACTGTGTCTTGGGGATGCCTTTTTTTTTTCTTTGCCAAACTTGGGCTCAACCCCGCCGTGCTCTGAAGCTTGGTCGGCGCAGTGACGATAGCTGGTGTCATGGTGGGGTTGCCGGTACTTACGGCTGGTTGGGGTCCATTGCTGCGGTTGCTCTGGATCTGGACTCGATAACGCAGGAAACTGAAAGCTGTATGCTTGTTGAGTATACAGGAGAAGAACAAACAGCTGGTCTGCGTTTGGACGAAGATTGGGAGTGCAGGCGCCGGTCCAAGATCAACGGTTCAGTGTTGGGTTGGGGGAGAGAAGAGGGAGAGCTTGGGGATCGGAGGGGGAGACGCGGTGGGCTGGGTTGGTTTTTTAGGCGACGGGGTTAGAATGCGCTGACGGACTTTGGAGCTCTAGCAATATACAGCGTTCCATGCTATTAGCGCAGTCCTGCTAGAGCGCCCCTCTGCCTCCGTCGCTGCCGTCAGGTACCTGCTGAGCTGCAAAGTCATCAGGAAGCTTGGGGTCCTGCTAGCCGCACTGAGAGAGTCACGTAACCTCCGGACTCCTTTCGAGCCAGGCGTTGTTCTCCACCATCCAGCACGTTAGTAATTTGCCCGGCTTGGGCCTGCGGTTGGAGATGGGGGGACTACGAGCCAGCGTAGGCGATGCCGGGCGGATGCAGATGATGGCCAAAGACGACGCCAGAGGATCGTGGGATTATAAAGGGACTGGAATTGGATACCAAGCCGCATGTTGAATACCTTAGTATTTTACTATTCAGAAGTACTACCTAGGCATAATCAGCTGGATACTTATTTGTTCAACTGCCACCTACCAATAGCGGTTGTACGAGTATGGAGAAGCATCTGCATAATTGTACAGTTCCGTCTTACTCTGCTTTGCGGTAGCTGGCAGATGTAAGCACCGAATGCCTATTTCGTACCGAGGGGGGGCATCCGTAGATTGGGTTGGAGATAACGCCTCTGCTAAAACATCAATTGCCTAAAAAGGCGTACTTTTGGAAAAGCCATCTTTGCGCCCCCTCGCCCTTGCCAAGAATACAAGACTTGATGCATAATTATTACAATGCGTTTGAATTATTTGCCGTTTTCCACTCATGGAACCCCATTGAGAAGCCATGTTGCTTACAAAGTCTGGGAGAATCCACCTGCTGCTGGACTAGCTGGCCGTGCGTGGAAGGAAAGCAAAGGAAGAGGGGGAAAAAGGCGCAGCATAGAAATGGACGGATGTTCCCGATCTTGGTCTGGCCCATCAACTAGCCAGCCCGCCAACACGTTGTTTTATCCCGGCTTCAAGTGACATCAGGTGGTGCCTCTCTGTGTTTCTCAGCATCTGTTGTCGCTACGGGAATTCGATATTTCCGCTGGAACCGCAACAAACACCCCTAACACCGCACCGGTGGACCGCAAAACAAGCGGACAGCAGTACCTTGATGAAGAATCTGCGAGTAATACCACACGAAAGGGATTGGTAATCTTAGTTCTGCCTGTTTCGAGGTCTGGTCGCCCCGGCTTGCCCCCTCATGGAGCCCGGGAACTTTTAGACGGCCTGTGGTTGATCAGTCGCCGCATCTTCCGAGAACAGCCCGGGCCGGACTAGGAGTGGCCTCGGCGATTTCTGTACTTTGACTGGAACATTGGAAACTTTGCCCGAGCATCCACGTTGCTGTAGCACTAGTATTGTATGTAAAAGCCATATAGCCTGCTTAATGCCGCCTCGTGCACTTTTCCCGCATATTCACTTTTCCCTCTGTCAACGCCTTGAATAATGTCAACCTTTCAAATGGCTGGTCTCCATACTTGGGTTTCATCTTGATGTGTGATAGCCTAACGATCGTGGATTACCTAGTGTGCATGCATTTACCTAGGTAGGTAGTCGGCCTACAGGCAGTGACGTACTGTCCCGTGGGCAGAATCATGTACAACTAATGGATCAAGAAAAAAGAGAACCAAAGAGAAGAGCGCTGAACGATTTGATCAAAGGGTTATGCAAGCGAGGGACCAAGGCGCTGCCGGCCGGCCATTAATGAGAGGACAACGGTGACCAATGGTTACTCCCCGCGGCCCCCAATATTTCTCCTCCAGAGCTTGGAAGAATGAGACGTTAGTATATGGCTTGGCAGTAGATACAACAGGGGAAAAAATATTTCCCGAAGACAGGTATTGATATAGTAGTTGAAAGAACCCCAAGCAAATCCAAGCCAGGCTTTATTTTGCAGGGCGAAAATATTCGGGGTCAAGTGCATGCCTGTCCAAAAGAGGCTAGTCTGTAGAACACTCTAGCGAGAAAGTTGTAGTGTGGCTATCGATACTCCAAAGCGTAGGAAATGAGGCGGTGCAGCGCAACTCCAGCCACAATCGCTTGACAGTAAAAATGCCCTAAGCCACCACGTGATGCCCAGGGCTCAAATTTTCGTGCTAGAGCCACCACACACCATATCGCATCCACCCCGTTGCCATCAGTTCGACATCACGACAAACGACGAGCACCAGACCTCCTTGTATATCGGTTACTTGAGAGGGCGGAAGCTACACAACAGACACGATGCCTTCCGAAAGTGGTCACAGATGTGAGTTGCCTTGCCGATGGACTTTGCAAAATTGGCATCTAATTGTACTAACTTTCTGGCAGTATACGTCAAGTAAGTAAATCCGATCGCGAATTTCGAATGGCAGCGGACAAGGGGGGAAATCGCAGAGATGGAATGGGGGGAGATCGGTGCCTTCTTGGCTCTAACGAGAATCGCCTCGTCACGTCGCGAAACACGTTCCTCCTCGAAATCTCCCGACTGCCTGAACCAGATCCGAATGAAACCGAACGTTGGCTAACGGAGATAATCATAGGGGACGTCACCTGAGCTACCAGCGCTCTCGTAACATCACCCACCCTGGCACCAGCCTGATCAAGATCGAGGGTGTTGACAGCACAAACGCTGCCAAGTACGTTTTGCAATCTCCAACGCTGAATGATGGAGGGTATCAGTACTAATTTCAATGCGAAAACAGCTTCTACCTCGGCAAGAAGGTCGCCTTCGTCTACCGTGGCCAGAAGGAGATCCGCGGCACCAAGATCCGTGTGATCTGGGGCAAGGTTACCCGACCACACGGTAATAATCTGTCCTCGATGCTGATATCGTTTCGATCCAACTAACGCTTTTCAACCAGGTAACTCTGGCGTTGTCCGCGCCAAGTTCGCCAAGCCTCTTCCCTCAAAGTCTTTCGGTGCTTCCGTTCGCGTCATGTTGTACCCCTCGTCGATATAAACCGGATTTCGGATTGGAGTTGGTAGTGAGGGCGGTTCTCATTTGGTTGCATTGGTCGAGGCAAGGGTAAAGCATATCGCCTTGCTTTGAGGCATTCAATTAAAAAAGACGTCAAATTCCCAACTTCGAAAGGTTCTTGGGCATCTGTGACTTGACGTATGTGGCAGAAAATTTTGCGAACTGCAAAAATGGAGACTCGAAACGAAACGAACTGAGGCTGTGGCAGACCAATTCTTCTTCCTTCTTCTTTTTTCCCCCTCAAAAAATTGGCGCCTGTCTTGTTACTCGGTCTCTGGGCTTTTTTTCTCGTGTATCCATCCAGCAGGAACTGCCCATCTTCTGATGGCTTGCAATTCGAAGAAATTGCGCATAAAAAGAAAACAAAGAAAAATGATACACGACAGATGGCGGTATACGTGATTCGATACCCGCTTAGTGTTTTTATATTGGCATTAATGGATTTTGCACTGCAGAGCGACAGTCCAGTCGCCTGTCCATGGCAACTCTCGTATGGAGAGGATAGCCGTTGATTTATTCTTACGACTTTACTGCTGCTCTGTCTTTTCCAATTCGTTTCTTCGCAATTCCACTCGAGACTTCGCAAGTCCCCCATAGTGAAGGCTGCTGCAACTCCCTTGAAATGAAACGCGATAGACCCAATGTTAATCGTAGTTGTCTTGATTCCAATGTGGCCATATCCTCCGAGACCTGATTCATTGTATACCATGGGATAGAACACGCAAAGGCAACACAATTATCCACGGGAGCGCAGTTGATATATTCCATGCCTATATCGGCCTAGACGTAATCGGCTTTGCCCTATTCTGCTATCAGTTATTACTCTACACCTCAATTCAGAAATACAGGTAATACTTGATAGGCAAAGATGTTGCTGGGCATTTTCACATGAAAATTACATCGATGCCATCAGCCCACACTAGGAAACATCGCTGCATCACAGGATAAAGGAAAGCAAAAGCAATATCGATTCACTAGGAAAGAAAAGCCGAGATATATATATAGAACGAAGAAATTATGAAGCCTACTCCATCGAGTGAATGTTCCTAAATTTAGAGCTAAGTATCGAACCCTCTTAAATAGTCGATGACCGGAGCTGCGATACTACGCCATCAAGATATGCTAGATCCCCAAGAAAGAATTCACAGTTATACTGCACAGGAGTCCAACCCAGCAAATAGAAAAATTGACCCATTGGCATGCTTGAGGAGGAGATACACAATTTGATGATCCTTCCGGGACCTAACCTCAATTCGAACCTGATGAAGAAGGTTAAGATCATGGCTTATCAAAACAACAAAACTAATGTCCAGTTTCTCGATACAAACTTCTTCTCCCGCATCATCAACATTAACGTATTTCATTGGCTAAGTTCCAGTAACCAGGGAAGCAGAAAACCAGCATCAAGTGACATGGCCATGCCTGTAGCCCAGATAAAGCAATGAGTGGGATCAATGGCCAACATATAACTAGTAACGACATTAGTACAATTAACAGCACTTCGCAGGCGACCGAATTCACCAGCTGGCATGTAAATGAAAATGAATGCCTTGCTGTAGATCATCAAGCCCGCATCGCTCATTATCTTCCAGATCCATTATTTGTTCACCTCTCAAGTTCTTCATTTGCGATATTAGCAGCAGTGTGAGCCTCAGCAGCAGCCAGTAGGCTTCCGGATCACCTCCAACTGCTTAGAAATTGATATTCGATGGATGAACCTCGCAGCGAGACATTGAGCTATTCATTCCATTTACCATGTCATGAAAGACACAGGGTGAAGCAAATAATGGCAGACGGTGCCACGTCATTCAGCACGTCTCACTTCAGAAAAACCCTTAAGCACAGGTATCTCAGACAGTCACGTCAAATTCCACTGAACATCCATGCTGAGACACATAAAATTCCAGTGACGCCAATTCCTTTCCAGGCTGAGTCTGTGCGACATCCGATGTCTCAAACAACCACGCTTATGCCATAACCACTCTCCATTATTTGAGTCAAAAAGGATCAACACGAGGTCTCTGAAACCTTGAGAAAAGTGGGCAAAGGGAAACCCTCTCGGTCTCGGTTCTTATGACCCCGCGTGGCTAACAATCAGCTCAATTGCTTTATGGAGACGCCGAGTTCTTCAACTCTAAATTTCAATTCCTGGAGTTTATGCATTTCAGTACAAACCTTGCCCGTGTCGAAGAGGGCAGTTTCAACGCAGGAGGCCCAATCTCTTCACACCCCAAGTAGTAGCAGCAAAGCATAACGTGTACATGTACTCCGTATGCTGACAATAAAAGAGAGGAGAAGATTCACCAATGAAAAACAAGGCTGGCCGCAGAAGCCAACGCCAGGCCACGTCTTTGAATGGGTTGGACGGATTGGCCAGACAAGGCAACCTAGTCCCTGCAGCTCTGGTCCCCTCTAATTATGTGTGTGTGCAACTGGGCACTCGCATGTGCCGAGAAAAGAAACAACTAAATAGAATCATGTCCGGGAGGCTCGGGAGAGAAGCCAAGGTGTGGCTTGGGCATCAATACCTATCCCTTCATGTTCTTGTAGCCGTGATTTATAGTTTGAGCTCTTGGTTCGTATGAGTTGCTTCTCGGCTCTCGTGTTGGTAGAGTCAGAAAGCGCCCGAAATGTCTTACCATAATACCTAATCTCTGTGGCTTGGACGCGCCACAGTAAATAATGCGTCTTAGGGGGAGGCGTCTGGAGAACCGCGTTTGCATTCCAGTCAACAAGAATAGCAACAAGTGCCTGTCTTGCCTGTCTTCTTGGGATATGATCGGCCCGTTCTAGTGTCACGGTTTCTGAACTAACATCCAGCCATTGCCCCTCAGTTGCTGGGATTCACCGAATGTTTAGAGTAAACAAAGAAACAAATCAACAGATGAGGTCACTAGCTTCGCTGAAGCACCTTTTAGCCGAGCAATAAAGGAGCTCAGATTTGGTACGCAGTATGACAACGGAGTACGGAGCGAGTACTCCTTGCTTCCTAGAATAGTATCCTACTCCATGGAATGATCGACGATGGTCGTGTCTCGGGCATAAGAAAAGGATTAAGACAAGCCTAGTCACAGCCCCCCGGCGTGGATCTACGATTCCAGATGATGGTTTTGTTTGGCTCCGGGAGAATGCAACATGTCGCAAAAATGACAATTGCATTATGCCGGGGAGGGTATTCGCGACAGCCAAGTTGATCCCATCGGGACAGCGCATGAATAGAGAACAAGAAAAAAAGGCAATAATGTCCCTGAGAGGAACAGCGCACCCTGGTAGCTCCTAGGCGCGATGAGGTGGAAGATACGTCAACGATATCGACGAGGGAGACAGAAAGACAAGGGACTGGTAGCGGCTTTTCGTGCCGTCAGTTCCCAACTGGCCCGATGGTCGAATCAGCTTGTGCATGCCTGAGATTAGTGCGCGCAATTTGAAGGCACCGGCTAGATTTTTTTCATGATTTTTTTTTTCCTCCTTCGAAGGATTCAGTTAGGCGCGCGAGTTGCCAAGATCCGCTACTAAGAAACTACTCTCAATCAGCTTTGTGGAGTGGAATTGAGACAGAAATGAGACTCTTGCAGCTGCGACTAGGATCGAAGAGTTCGATAGCTCCATGACGCCGCGATGCGCTCATGGTATTACTCCGTATTCCAGAGGGGAAATGAATTATCAAGACTTACCCCATATGGTCCGGTGGACGAGGCTCATGGTAAACGAGGAGCTAGGTAAGGTCGCTTGCAAGGTTGTTGGGAAAAGAGGGTGTGAGCAATGCCAGAACACGAAGCCCGGTGCCGACGCTTGTCCAGGAACATAGAGGCACACCTACTTGGTCGCGGCGCTATTGCCGTACAGGTCGCACTGCCAGCGGGAGAATGCAGGCCTGATAACGGGATATGATTAGTATTGCTCGTATATATCATCTCCAACGGCTCTTCGCAACCCGTTTTGATGTCGTGGAATCAAGAGCAGCCTGTGCAACAGCTGACTCAAATTGCCATGTGTCCGGCCGAGCGCACGTTTGTAGTATCCGAGCCTCTCATGTGACACAGCATCCGGAAGGGGCAAGAAAACAAGATATGAACAAGGTTAATGGATAGGAGAGAGGCGCCCTGTGAGGACGAGGCAGCGAGGTAGCGATGCCCCCGTGGCATTTCGTAGAGAGCAATAGCTCCTCTCCAAGTGTTAAGGTTTGGTTCGAGGCCAATCTGGTCCCCGCCTCAAATTGCCTATCCCGGCCATTTCCTACTAAAATTAAATCCGTTGACGATTGCGGGTTGGACGACAGCACGGGAATGGGGAGCTGTAAAAAAGCAAAAAGAGCGTGAGGCCGAAACCATTGTCAAGCCCAGGCAGGGCATGGAGAATTGGCCGAGCTCAAGGCAGCTGGCGATACTAGGTGCTCCATAAAAGCTCCGTCCAGCAGCCCTAGCAGACGTAACGTGAAGGTAACACTCCATGGGCTGCTGGGGCGCCAGACTGGGCAAGTCGAAGTAATCGTGGCCAGGCAGGGCGGGGGGGTTGCGGATATCACCGTTGAGAGATGAGCAGAACAGACTGTTCTTTGTGCCGTTGATGCGCTCACCAGCAATGAAAAGCTGTCCGTAGTGCTATAGTCGCTACAGTACAGTACAGTACAAACAAATGTGATCCGTGGATGCCATCAGTGGGCAAAGACAAGACGATGGACGCGCAGCTCGGCGCCACAGTTGTCGCACCTGTTGATCCCAGGCTTCGTGGCCTGCACATCATCTTCCGCTTATCAAATGCTGGGGGAAATCGTCAACCATCAAACGCCATGCGGGTATATGGCGCTTTGGGCGGTGCTCGCTTGCTGTTTTGTCTCGCAGCGAAGCGCATCCGGTGTCTTTGTCTTGAATCGTCCAGCGCTGCGGCGTCTAGCTGCTGATCAGATCCTCGTACATATAGCGGGTTGGCATCCCGCAGGCGTCCTCTTTGCCGCCGACCTCGTATTCAGCCAGCATTACGCACATGCTTTGGCTGTCGCCTGCACTGCCCGATGCCACCACCCAGCAATCCATTGTGCCATAGTAACCTGTTTTGATATTAGCCTCGTCCATTCTTCTATTTCTTCGCTTGTCATCTCTCGTCTTTCCTCCTCCCGCTTAGTTCTTCGTATTTGGCGCAGTGCCAATCGCATCGTCGGCGTCGGGCTAGTCCGAATCTTGGGCATCGTCATCGTCCTAATCAATTTTTTCAGCAGCCGCCGCATCTCGATTTATCGCCTCAGGTGGCGCCGAGACACACACACGCTCTCCACTTGTTTATATTAACCAAGACAACCGCATGCGGTCTGAGACGGGCGGTTGTGTCATCGTCGCTCAAGCAGCCGTCAGTGGAGCAGGGGAAACCGGCAGACCAGTTCCAGGAACTCCGTATCGCCAGCTAGCAGCTCCATAATATTTGGCACCAAGCCCTGTAGTGGTGTGCAAGCTCTTGGCCTCTAGCCACTCGCATCCACTGGCGACGAAGAAAAAAAAAGATAGACAGACGCCAGAAGCCCAAGCCTGTCCAGCTGGACCAAGCTCCTGTTTCTAGCTTCCGGCTCCAGCAATCCAGTCCCCCCTGGGCTAGACTGCGCTGTACAAGTACGTGTACATACGGAGCTGGACTGAACACGGGAAAGGAGCCTAAAGCGAAGAAACAAGACGCAATCAATTGACGTCAGCTCACTGATGTGGTGACAGAGTGTCAGAGCACAAGTTTGATGTGACTGGGACAGCACCAGCCACACATCGATTCACTAGCCGCACCCCGTTCTGTTGCACAGGTACCAGTACCAGTACCAGTATCAGTACCAGTACCAGCACCAGTGCCTGTGCCTGGAACTTTCATTGCCTGTACGGAGTACGGAGTACAGTCCAGCAGGTAACATAAGCGGCAGGACAGGGCCGCGCAGAAGCAGGCCCGCGCAGAAGCACGGACAAGACCTTCCGAGGCCGCTTCATTCGCTCGCGCTTGAGCCGTGAAAAATACAGTCGAAACGAGAAGATAAAAAAAAAACAGGACAAGAGGGAAAATCGACTTCGGAACAAAGAGACAACAAAGTGGCACAAGCCGCGCGCATTCAGCCGCTTACCTACAGGTACGAGCACTAGCTGGTGGTGTAGCTCAGCCACAAGGTTGTTTGCAGGCATCTGATCGAGCATCAAACCATCGTCGTCGTTTTCATCTGCAGCATCGCAGCACAGTCACGATAATTTCCCTTGCCCTCCCATCTGCATCCCGGCTGCGTTCTTTCTTGCGCTCAGCTGCTCTTTGTCTTGGCCCAGCTCCCTCTCGCCTCCTTCTTCTGTTCTTGTCGTCTTTCTTTCCTGCTCTTGCCCCTTTCCGTTCCCCCCTGCCACCGTCCTTCTGCATCGCCAAAGGGTTCTTCTCCCTTCACCTGGCTTGGTTCCTCAAAGCGAACGTCACGCCGCTTTTTGTGCCCTGTCGCAGCCCTGGTACCGCTACCAGACCATTCCCTCCTGCGCAGCTCCCAGGAACTGTGCAGTACAAGCGCTTGACCTCCCGTTCTCGGCATCCCCAGCGCCGTTGCCAGGTACCAAACGCGTATATCCAGACGCAGCTCCCTGGTCTGCAGCGCTTCCGTACACCCCTCCCCCCTGGCGCGTCGTTCTGCTAGCACTAGATTCTCTCTATCGTTACCCGCTGCCACGCAGTTCTGGCACCACAAGCTGCCGGGCTACAGCTCTTACAGGTTGCCCAGTTTCCACTTCCTGATAGCCAAAGGCTCCGGAAACATCGTTCGCCTCGCCCCCAACCTCTCTTCCGCCAACCTCTTTTCTCTCTCCCCCAGCCCGTTTCCTCCGGCGACTCGTCAACACCATCGCGAGAATTCCAACGTCAGGAATTGTCTCTGTTGGCCGTCTCATTTTTTTTTTTTGGGCTCCACGCAAAACCGCCTCTTCTGGCCAGTTTGCTCGTCATCCTAGCATTGTTTCGACTCGACTCAGGCTGCCGTCGAGCCGTGCCCGCCCCATTTGTGCTTTAGCCAGGGGCCCCCGTAACATTAATTACTAGCACTGCTGTGCGACCGAACGACGAGAGTCAAACCGTGGACATTATCGTCCGCCTTCTCTGCGACCCGCACTGATCGCTCGATCCCCACGACCGTGCTGCGTGCCCTGGGCACCGTCGTCACAGAGCCCCAGCTATCTCGTCTAGCTCAAGATAAAGAAGCTCCAGTCCCAGAATCAGGCACCATGGCGACTCCGGCAAACAAGGAGCGCCCTCTCCCGTCGCCTACTCAGCAGGCTTCTTCGCAGTCGGCGCAGCAACAACAGCAGAGGCCCAATTCGCGACGATTTAGCTTCCTGTCCGACAAGTCTCGCAAGAATAGCATCGCCAACAAGATCGACCTGCACGAAACGCACGCTGAAAAGGATTCTAGACGCCTCCACAGCAAGGCCGATCCCACGTTGGCCATGAACGAGGCGGAGCCATGTATGTTCCTCTCCTTGGTACCGCGCCTGGGCAATCTGCTCGCTTGGCCGTCCTTTTGCTGACATTGGGTGAAATAGCTGTCGAAGCTGTGATGACAGCGTCATCACTGTCTTCTCTGCGCGCCATGCAACACAAGGACTCCTATGGGAACGTGATAGGTACGTGATTCTCCTTTGTTTGATACCAATGGCAGCCATCACTTACACTCTGCTCTATTTTAGCCGACCCTGATTTGTCCAATCCCACCCGCAGTCGCTGGGAGCGACCTCTCGACACCATCCGAAGCTTCGAGGCGGCAATTGAAGGTGACTATGCGCGCAGGTCCATGCATCGTTCAGGTACGATTAATCTTTGAGGAGGGTTTTCATGATGAGCGCCTCACGCTAACCTGTATTGCCCACTTTCTAGAGACGGACCCTTCTGCGAATTACAGCCGTCGAAACAGCTACTATAGAGGTACGTTGGCGCGCTGCTCGCCATTGGAGCTTACACATTGGTTATTCTAACGTTGATTTTCCAATTGAATTAGCAAATCAACCACGATTTCCCCAAGATAGCTACTACGGCAGCCGTGCGGCCTCTTTTCGAGGAGAGGAAAGCCAATACGGAGGGCCACCACCTGCCTCGACGAGGAACAGCTACTACGACAACCAGCATTATAGCAACAACAATGGCGGTTACTATACCACGAGTGCAGGCCCTAGCAACTACGGGCGACGCCCATCGCGAGAGCAGACATCAAGGATGGCTTCTGAACCCCATCTCCGAACTTACGGCCGAGAGCAAAACGTCTATCCTTTGCCTCACAAGGATCGCTCTTATGAGACAGTGACGTCCGCGGCCGCCAGTGGAAATTCCGACCCTGCAGGCTACCAAACCGACCCTACTAGCAGTGATAACAGCTCGATTCATCGAACCTCTCCAGCTAAGCACGTGAACGACTATGGTATCGCTTTCAGCCAGTCTCAGTCTTACAAGGCTCCAGCCTTGACAGTGAACCTTTCTCCCCCTGGAAACGGTAAACTGCCGACTCCGCCAACCGCGAGCTACCAAAATCCTCTCCCGGCGATCCCTAGAAAGGAGGCTGCGATGCTTAAGAGACAGGTCTCTACAACGCCATCGGGAGGGGAGAAGCGAAAGAGCTGGTTTTCTCGCCGGTTTAGCAAAAATTCCTAAGTCTTCTGGAAAGTCAAATACCCCGATTACATCATATCATTCCTTTACATTTTCCTTGGAACTTTCTGCTCGACTCGATTCCTTTTTGTTTGCCTCTTTGTTTGTTTGGTGGGGTAGAAAACGCTCCATTAAGTTGCTTCACGATTGGTTTTTGAGCATTTCATTGCTTGCTGCCTATAATTACGCCACTATTGCAGGCCTGGGAGAGACGACTACGGCTGGGCGGGATACCATCATTTTTGCTTTTTTCTTTTGTTTTTTCTGTGGACCATTGGGAAACTCGTTTGTTTGAAGCTCTCTAATAGGAGCACTTAGCACATGACATTGTGGACAAGGATGGGTATATACGCGGATAAGCTCCGTATGTGGCGTTGAGGTGTTGATAAATCCTTGCCGTTGGCTCTGGCGGAGAATAATAGTCTTCTTCAGATGTGTGGCAAGAGCATGGATCTATTCATGGCAATGATGCAAAATCATACCCCGTCGACTAGGCTCGTTGTGGCATATAGACGTGGTCTTCCGAAAGAAAGATTTCAGGAATCCGCCTGTTGATGATGACAGGCTCTACAAACATAATGAATAGGGGATGTCTATTTTTCCTCGTGTTTTTCTATTTTGAATTCTTTTCTCTGAATTGGACAAACTTGCTTCCTTCTCCGCCTAGTGATATGTGACATTAACAAGTATTTGATACGATGCGACCTGTACCTGACTATTTACTGCGTCTTTTTACTCTCCGGTTTTGTGCCCTCTCTTAGATCCGTTTGGTCTTCCTTCATGGCTACCACTATATATGAAATGAGCACAACATTGGCCAGCACAGCAGCCATGCCACCGGCCAGCGACGAGTTCCCTACATGTAAGGGCAAGTCAGTCACCAGATTTGCTAGTCCACGCCAAGTGAGGGAAAGAAAATGTTACCGTTAAAGACCGTGTGGACGGTCATAAAATAGGATCCGATGGGGATGATGATCATGGCGGCGGAAAACCCGAGCAGCTTGTAGATGACGTCTCTGGTGAGGGGGGTTAGTTGAAATGCGCATATGTGTTTTCTTGATAGGGAGTAATGAGTTGGCCGCTCACTTGGGGACGGCGGGGCTAATGTTGGATTTCTCTTCCGTGTCATCTTTTTCGAGGATTGTCCTTTCGGAGTTGACGATGCGGCGGGTGGCCATTGTTGTTGGTGTCGATGTGGTGTTGGCGACAATGATTGGTGGTTGGAATGAAGATGAGAGCGGAATGAGATTGAGGTTGAGATGAGATGAGATGAGATGAGATGAGATGAGGCCCGTAATACTAATGAAACAGATTGATGGAGCTCTCGCCAGAAGAGGGTCCCAGCTATTATCGACGCTACCCGTTAAAGTGGCTGGGGCAATACCAATCTGTGCTTGTCCGTGCTTGCTCTCGCTCTTTCGGGGCTTTGTTGTCTTTTCTTGCTTTGTTGAAATTTGGTCGTGTCTGAGTCTCGTCCTTGTCAAAAGCCTTGAGTATATATCGTCTCCTCCCACGAAGCAGTCATGCTGTCCTTCTAGCTTCCGCCAGCCACCAGATGGAGAGTAAAGTGGTCATGTGACTTCGCGACTTGGTGTTCTGGGCACGGCGCGTCTCGAATCGTCACGAAAATTGTTGCAAAAAGTGCCACTTTGTTGCGCTCCAGCACCCGCCACCAGCTTCTTCTTCGGATTTTCCCGTCTGCACGATCTCTACGTCACTTTAGATCCGATCATCTGGCGGGCGGGTGCTTCCGGTCCTTTTTTTTTCCTTGGCGTCCTTTTTTGCGGCTCTCTTCACTTTCATCTCACTTTTCTTTCAGCTTTGCATCGGGCTGCGGGCGGGAAGTTTTAGCTTTTTGTCTTGGAACGAACGAAAGCCGCTTTCCTCACTAATTGGCTCCTCCACTCTCCCCCCTGAGGAAGAATCCCTCTCCTCATCCTCATCATGGCACGAAGCTCATCGCCGTTGCCACCAATTGCGCATCTGGGCATTGTGCCGCGAACCCCTTCTCTCGGACGAGGACGAATACAGCAGCCCGCCGAAGACATGGACGAACTGGCCGGGGACACGATCCCTTGCTCACCGTCAGTCTTCATGAAAGATCACGATACCACCCAGGCGACGCAGGTTCTCAGCCGCCCCGGACTCACGATGCCCCAGTCTTCGTCCCCCGCGCCGAGCGTGATCGAGGTTCCCGCATCGTCGCCATTCCAGCCAAAGCTGCAGCAGACGCGATTGGGCTCTCGTCTGGCACCGGCCGGCACCGTCTTCCGCCCCCCTCGACCACAGCCCGTTCCTGAGAGGAGACCAACGCCAGAGCCCATTAATCTCATCTCGGACGACGAAGACGACCTTACGCCGCCGAGAGGAAACATCCGCCCTACGAATTTCAAAACACAGATTGCAGCCTTTGCTTACAAACAACCCACATCCTCCATCGACGAAAAGGAGACTGCAAAGAAGCTGCGGCAGATATTTGACGTTTTTGGCGATCGATACCCATCTGATAAGGTTAGAGAAGCTCTTAGGACGTGTAAGAACGACTTGGACGATTCAATCGAATGGCTGGAGCGTCATGTGCCGCGCCAGACTCAGACCCGGAATTCAAAACCCACTCCACAACTTACCAACCGACGCTTGGTATCCAAGGGTCAAATGCTTTCTCTTTCGAAGCCTGCGTCTCGTGCTTCCTCTCCCTCTGTCACTTCCGTCACTTCCAGCCCTCCCAAACCGCAGCCTCCGCCACCCAGACGCCGACTCATTCAAGGGCTGCGCAAAAGACGTGCCTCTTCACTCGAACCTGACGTGGAAGAACTGCCAGCACCAGCCTCGAGCGACGATCCGCTGGTAATAGACTTGGTGGACGACGGGAGAGAAGATTCGTACGAGGCAGAGGAATCCCCTCCAGCCTCCCAGGAAGATGACGACAAAGTGCTTGCTTGTATCAATGAGAGTAGTGTTCAGGAGCTGGCAGCCATGACGGGCATGAAGGAGGACCTCCTCAAACCCATCATCGACAAGCGCCCCTTCTACGACCTGATGCAAGCCAGAAGAGTTAGCGTCAACAAGAAGCCTGGGGCCCGCAAATCTGCCAGAATCAGCATCGGAGAAACCGTTGTGGATGCTGTCGAAGTGTTCATGGACGCCGTTACCGCCATTGACAAGGTCGTGGCTAAGTGCGAGGTCAAGGGCCAGGCAGTCAAGGATGTCGTAGAGGCCTGGGACCTCAACATGTTTGGCCAGAACAAACGCAGCACACGGTCGACTCCCTCCGATGACGATGCTCCCCTAACGCCAGCGAGCTTGAGCAGCACCAAGTATTCAAAACCACTGGTTCCTCGTCAGCCAAAAATGATGGACGGCCACTGCGTAATGAAGCCGTTCCAGCTCTATGGCTTGAATTGGATGTCGGTCCTCTACAACTATGATATTGGCTGTATCCTTGCCGACGAGATGGGTCTCGGCAAGACCTGCCAGGTTATTTCATTCATGTGTCACCTCGTCGAGGAGGACGAGAGACAACCCAAAGACAGACGGCCATGGCCAAACTTGATTGTGGTACCACCAAGTACATACAACAACTGGCTCGCCGAATTCAAAAAGTTTGCGCCCGGGCTATCCGTGATAGGGTATCGAGGGTCTCAAGCAGAACGTGCCGAGATTGGTTACATGGTTGAACAAGATCCTGATGCCTATCATGTCGTCTTGGCGACGTATTCTCAGATCAACTCCGAAGAGGACATTGCGGCCATGAGGTCGTTTGACCTCAACGCTGCCATATTTGATGAGGGACACAAGATGAAGAACCCAGAAACCAAGATTTACAAGGACCTTCGAAGGATTCCATCCGCTTGGAAGATGCTACTCACAGGTAGGTACCACCAAGCACAGTTGCATAGGAGATGCGATGTCTATTTGATGAAGAGGAGGGAGTGAAAGGACTCAGAGAGCTAACAATCATGTAATCATACAGGTACTCCCGTTCAGAACAACTTGCTGGAGATGACTTCGCTCCTAAATTTCATCAACCCTAGACTTTTTGAAGGCTACATGAATCAGATTCAATACATTTTCAGCCAAAAGGTCACGATCCGCGACGTCACCAATGGAGCTTTTCTGTACAGCGAGCGAGTAAAGCGCGCGAGGACAATCCTCGAGCCCTTCATCCTGCAGCGTCGCAAGGATCAGGTTTTGTCTGATATGCCTCGCAAGATCTGCACCCTTGTTCATTGCGACATGCCCAAGGAGCAAAAGGACGTGTACGATGAATATGAAGAATTGTTCAAGATGGAACCATCACAGCGCACCGCACGAGCGTCCCGCGGTCGTCAAAACGACCAAAACAACGTGTGGATACAACTGCGGAAAGCGGCGCTGCATCCTCTCCTCTTCCGCCGCCAGTTTACAGACGAGAAAGTCACAGAAATGGCCAAGATACTAATGGACAGGCTCCCGCAATCAGAACTTCATCAGCCGGATATCAAGCATCTGATTCAGGAACTCAAGAACTCTTCCGATTTCGAGCTTCACCTTTGGTGTCGCGATTATCCCCGCCTGTTGAAGGATTTCGACATCCCATCTACAACAGAGCTTGATAGCGGCAAAATCAGAAAGCTCCTGGAGCTTATCAAACAGTACCAAGAGAATGGTGATCGAGTCCTTGTCTTTAGCAAGTTTTCGCGAATCATTGAGCTTTTGCAAGAGGTGCTTGCGCGTCAAGACGTCGATCATCGCGTGCTCATGGGCAACACAAATGTGTCTGAACGACAGACGCTAATTGACGAATTCAACCAAGATACTAGCATTCCCGTCTTTTTGCTGACCACAGGCGCGGGTGGCACTGGCATCAACTTGACATCAGCTAATAAGGTCATCATCTTTGACCAGTCGGACAATCCACAGGACGACATCCAGGCGGAGAACCGCGCCCATCGCCTGGGACAGAAACGAGACGTTGAAGTTATCCGCCTCATCTCGACACACACTATCGAGGAGCTCATATATAAGGCCTGTCAGAAGAAGATTGAATTGGCAAACAAGGTCACCGGTGCAATTGAGGAAGACGCCGCGGACGCGAGCAAGAACCTCGAACAGGAAGTTCGCAAGATGATGGAAGAGCAAATGACGCCTCCGTAGGGCAGTGAGGGCAGTCCATTTTAGCCATTGCCAAGTTCTTGGTTTTCTACTTCTTTTTTCTTCTATCTGCTCTTTTTTGGAAGAGTCGGTCACATTAATGGACGTAATTTGAAAGAGCGACATGATTAAAAAGGGCGTTGAAAGTATCAAAAGCAAGAGGATAAAGAAGAGGGCATAAATGCATGCGTTAGCTTTAACATTGTCAGCCTGCTTTGCTACTTTGTTTTTTGGGTGTTTTATATTTTACTTTATTTTGTATGGATTATGTGTCAATCAGTCATGCGATGGGCCTGGTTGATGAGCATGGATGCGAGCGTACATGCATAACCCAACGCTGGTATGATGTTGCTTTGCAATGCGGAATGAGATGGCATGACAACTATTATCTACTTACGAGCTTTATGTTTTGGGCTGAGTTTGGGGAGGTGAACAAAGGGGAGGATGATGAATGGCTTAGAAGATACAGTAGTAATAACATATAGACAGCAAAGGACAACTACGTTGACACAAATATGAATAACCACTTGGAGTGAAATGATTACGTTTACAATAGTGATGTTAACCTGTATCGATAAGTTGGGGATCATTAAGTCCGAGTGGCATGATAACCCCTGATATTGGTCTAGATATTCCCATTTGAATCAAGGAATTTCCGACCAAATTATTTAAATCGTTATTTATATAGTAGAAAAACGAATATTTCAATACACAACTTGAGACGGTTCAATTTGTAGAGCCTTCTTCAATCGTTATTCACCTCAGCCCTGCCTCCGACCCTCCACAACCGCCATCCCAGGGCTGACAACGCTTCCTAGCGGTTGGCTGATCTTCGTTACGACAGCGCTAGCCTGACTGTCGTCCACAATCAGATCGATCTCCATCTTCATAGCTTCGAGCACCGCCACTGTTTGACCCTTTTCTAGTACATCACCAGGCTTGACAAGCACTTTCCAAACATTGGCACCAGATGAGAGCAATCCCTTGGAAGAATAGTATATTAGGCCGGGAAAGGGAGTAAGAGAGACAGGCTAGATTATATTGAAGGGCTCCCTTGTGCAGTGCCCACATGATGCCATGGTGTTTCGAGAGTGAGAGTTGGAGTGAGAGCTTCATAGATGTGTTCCCTTTGATGGATTGGGGAATTGACTCGTCTTTAGTGGTCATTTGATCCCTTTGGCTCTTTTTAAGTTTTCGTATTTAGTGATCCTTTAACCTCTTTGACTCTTTTCAAAGTTGACGCCCTTGCTAGATGTTACTCCTGTTGCTTCAACTCTTCTGGCATTTTATAAGAAGTTAAGAGCTGACTTTGCGTGATGCTACAGTCACACATGTACACGAGGTAAATATCGGAGAAAGCTACATATTGATGAAAAGACGGGTTTCCCAGGGACTTGTAATATCTAACTGAATCTGTTGAGAAGTGGCTGGATAGTAAAAGGACATGATGCCCAAGTATAAAAGGAGTTAAGTGTATTATCCTCCCTTGGTTGAAGGGCGAGGAGGAGGAGGAGGCTGGATACATTCAAACGGTTGGCGATTTTCGGTGGGGGTTGGGTGTTTGAAACAAAACGTGGCTATCAAGGGAGTTCGTTAAAGTGGTTGCATAGATGGATCGTGTCGATCTCCGAGTGGTTCTTCAATGACGATTTGAGCTAGCCAGCCACATATGATTCATAGATATGAGTCACCAACAATCAAGGACACGTAATGGTTATTTTGACATCTTTTTTTCAATTTGCTGATTCAGCTAGTAATAGTAATAAGTAATAAGTAATGGTAGTAGTAATACCGTAGTAGTAGTGGTAGTTGTAATAATCCAAAAGTAATAATATCCACGGCACCCGGAATCTAGGTGTGCCTCCGAAAAATCCAAACGAGAAGAATAAGAAATGCTCCAAACAGCGTACAAGTAATAGTAGGTAGTACTAGTAAATCTCCCCAATTTCCTTTGTTTTCTCCTGGACGCCAGTGCCCGAAAAATGCAATGTTGCAGGTAGTAGATGATTGACAAAGTAAGATGATGATGTTGATGTTGGTACAAAGCTTGCCGGGACAATAAAAACAAACCAACAGGCCATCTGACAAAGGAAAAGATTGTTGTCGAAAAAAGATAGACATATTAGTAAATAATACACCGCCAGCTCGATCAGATCCCACGGCTTCTCAACAAAAAGTACACAGAGAAAAGGAAATGGATAAAGGATTGTAAGTGGTAGGAGGCTCATCGCCAAGTCGAGTGCAGTCTTGCTCGACGATTCCTCGTCTTGACACCAATGTCACCGTTCGTGATGAGGCTTTTCCAGCGCCTATTGACGCTGTGCCGGTCTTTGCCCAGACTGCGCGCGCAGTCTTGCCACTCCATTTTAGACAGCTTCAGCTTCTCGAGCACCAGCTCGACTAGGACGCGGTCGTCTTCGACACTCCATTCAGTGCCGTCCGCCTCGACTTGGACGTCGGTGCCGGGCTTTTCCGTGTCCTGGTCAAGGGCGCTGCCTTCCAGGAGGTGGACATTGTGAAAGTCGGAGCGCTCGAGCCCTAGGGGTAGTTGTTCGGGTGAGATGCGCGCGCGCTTGGGCGTCGACGGCGCCTGCGGTGATGAGGATGACAACGGCGGGATGTGAAGCGTCTCAACATCTAGTTCGGCCTCAGTATCCATGTCGGACTCGTCGTTCCTCCCCATGTCGTCGCTGTCGTCGCGCCGGCGCTTGTTGACGCCTCTCGGAGGAGCGCGCCTCGCAATCCTCTTCCTTGCCACAGGTGTTTCGTCGCCTTTGCCGTCTGTCTTGGCGGCGCGCGACCGCAAGCGCAACTTCATAGGCGTCGGGGCATGTGCAAGGGGGGGCGTGGGGAGTTGCGTGAGGGTGGGCGCGGGCGCAAGCGCGCTGTGGTCGGTGTTGGAGGTGGTCATGGAGATGAGAGACTGGAGAGAGCGGCAGGTGTTCATGATGTTGTCGATAGAGTATTGAGCAGATAGAGTCGAGGGACTGGCGGGCGGTGATACGAAGCGGCCAGCCTGTGATCTGGCACGAGGCGCGGCTTGCGATCCGCCGTCGCAGGAGAAGGCGGACGGGAGAAGCATGTTGATTGACGGTGATATTTTTTTTTTCTTTGAAGGTGATTGTAGTATTCTATGGTGTTGGACCTCTTGAGAGGAGCGTCTTTGAGTGTTCGCGCTCAGCAGCGCTGGGATGTTGGTTGCTGTTGTCGCGACTTGGTTGTTCAAGGATGCGCGCTCTCACAAGGCAGCAGGCAGACTTGATTGACAGAGGCGACAGAAGACAAGTGAATGGACGCTGATTGCACAGTTGTGATTTGTACAATAAACGGCGTAATGGCTAGTAGCGGATGCCAGCAGCCGTGGGTGGGCGAGTTTGTCGTTGCTTTAAAGGAATGATGCTGTTGTTATTGTTGTTGCAGAAAGTTGGAGATGCGGGAGCGGGAGGGCGAAGCGCAGGTAATATGAGCGCTGGGCGGTGCCTGGGGGGATGCGACATGGCAGGGGGGCTCCCGTAGAATTGGGCGTTAGTGTTAGCGTTCCCAGAGGACCCTTCAGGCACTAGAGACAGCTGGCAGCGGGAGGGTCAAAGGGCCAAAACAAGAATTGGGCAACGGTGTGCACGGTGCGAGCGGCGCTGGGAAAATTCAGCATTCAGCGACAGGGGCCGTCCTTTAGGGGGCCTTGACAGCCTGGAGGGTGTTGAGAGTCTAGCTCGCTGCCCTGGGGCAGGGGTGGGCAGTGGCCGGATGCGGACTGACGTCTGGCGCGGGTCTGAGGTAGCGGATGGGTACAGGCTGCGTACATGCTGCGTGCCGGATGCGTGCAAAATGCCTTGACACGAGACGCCTTCGTACGGGAAGCAGTACGGCTCTGGTACTTGCAAAGGAGAAGAGCGCACCGTGCTTTTGCGATGCCATGCACAGTCTCTACCAATACTTCTCCCAGGAAAAGTCCACACCAGTCCAAATGCGGCGACGGCACTTCCACTGTTTAGTGTCGTTTGCATCTCTTTAACCTCTCCTGAGATTCAGCCTGGTGTTCGGCGAGGGCTCAACTTCGTTTTCCCTCTCTCCACCGCAAATCTCTTCATGGCCAGAGACGCGTACGTGCTCAAGCAAACAAACGACTGCTGTGTACCAAACAAATTCCCAATCCATTTGCCAACGTACCGCTGCACCGCCTCCCCCGCAATCTGCTCGCTCTTGGGCCTCGTGTTTCTGCTTTTTTTGTGTGGCCTCGTGTCTCTTCGCCCGCCAAGTCAGCCCGAGCTCCTCATGCAAGCACTTTAGACGCGCCCTGCAGGGCCATTAGGGAAAATCGCTGGTGCAACATCCAGCGGAGCTTACAGTACGAGCTCAGGCCTCTATCCGGCACACGTCTGGCTTCAACACTGTGCCGCATGCAAACACGGACGTTGGGCACCTCTTTTTTGCGAATCCTGTCTCGCCTTGTCCCTCGTTGTCGAAGCCCTTTGCCCTCCCTCGCCAAGCCTCTAGACCTGCCTGGATCAGCCCATTGCGATTGGCATCTGCCGAACATCCAAGTCGTCATATGCAAAGCATTGCGGGGGACTGTCTTGAATCAGGTCTCACGGGAATGCCCTGGCAACAGGAGCCATGCGAGAAACGGAAAATGAGGAGGCGAAGAAGTAATTTGAACAAGCTGCTAGCTTTGATCCATTGAGGGAGTATCTCTGTCTCGCGTACCTTTTTTTTTTTCTTCAGCAGCTGTTCTGCCCCATCCATACCCATGCGTCCTGTCTCGGTCACACACACTCGCTCCGACTCTCACATTCTCTCTCTTTTCGCCCTCTCTCCGCCTCCCTCTCCACTCACACTAGCTACAAGCAAGTAGCACCAAGTTTAACAGCTTCAAACCATCTTTAGTGGCACGGGACCAAGAGGCACGGCTCGCCCTTGTTAGCTCAACTCCTCTTTTCATCAGTCGTATCCAAAGGGACAAATAGTGCTGCTGGAAGACCCAACGTTGCCAAGAAATGGCAGACCGATGAGTGAATCGGGACCAGTTCGTCAAGTGACGATTCGATAGCCGCCCATCGATACCGGCACAGTCTGATCCAGAGACACTGCGATATTGCTCGTACAGTATAATGGTCTTGTTACAGCTCTGCGCCATGCAACAAGCATCACCCCATGCCCTCTACGAATGGGGATCTGCTCTTTGTGCCCGAAAATGTGCGGATCCCGGGTCAGATTCCGGCATGATAAGCCACTGACAAGTTCTTCTTTCCCCTCTACGTCTTTCGCTTCGTCTTCCCCGTGTATTCCGGCAGGCTTCTCGTACTGTATGATGAAGTCGACTTCGATTGTCCCCCCAGACAGCGATGTGCAAATTGCCAGTAGCGTCATCAATGAAGTCAACCTCTCCCTCTAAATTGGAGTCGCCTGCCCTGGCCTGGTATACAATAGTCATTCCGAATAGACCGTGAGCCCTTGGAAGGAGTCAAAGTCATTACCATCTCGATCCCTTTTCTCCTTTCCTCCATGACGCATCATTTCTAGCTGATCAATGGTTTGGCTTGCTGTCTGGCTTGGTTGTAGCGGTCATGGTTCTGCAAGATGATCCCTGAGAGACACTGCCTGTTTGCCTTTTCGTACGTGCGTGCAAGTGGCTTGGGGTGACAAGCACACTCAGAGCTGACGGAAGCCGAAGGGAGGGAGGGTGGATGTTTCTTTTGGTGCCAATAGTTGGCAACTATTGACGCCGACGACACCCATTTCCGGCGAGTTCGTGTTCAGGTGTTTACGGTCAGCTTGGCTGTATTCCACTCTACCAACGTCATCCTAACCAGCTTGGTATCGAGTCACTGGCATCAGCTTGCCATTGCCTCCCCAATGGCCTTCCATCCTAACAAGAACAGCGGGCAATTCGACGTCGCATGGATCGACCTCTACACAACCACCGCCAGCCAATTCAGCTGCCTATCTGATCGAAACCCATCGAAACTCGGCCTCGACTCCGCTCAGAAGCCCCAATTGGCACATGCAAGCATATGAATTGCCTCACATCGTGAGGGGCTCGACCGGAGTCATTATCGATACCCGCCGGTGCCATGTCCTGGTGACGACTGAAACGCGCCTTCACGCGTGTCTGACGCGCTTTGACACGCCCCATTAATGACGCAGCCTTGGAGACGCTGGCCAATAATGCATCACGGTTCTGTGGGCCGAGTGACCAGCCCCCCTGCAAGTCATATTCCGCTTAAGAGCTTGCAGCCACAGCCGCCACAAGGTGCATGTCCAGGGTCCCTGAGCATAGCATGGGATGGCTTCGGCCGTGAGAATGGAAGCCTCTCAATGGAACGAAGACGTCAAGCTAGCTCACTGCTGCACAGTCTAGGTAATCGGACTGCGTACGGGTGAGTGATGTGAGATCCCACAGGCATTCCCACTGGTTTATCCAACGGCATATCCAGAGCATCTCGAACGTTCCCCGACACTTGACGCGATAAATACAAAGTACCTTCCGAGCAGGCGCAGCATTGGGACTCTGAAATTTGAACTTCAACTGCCATGAGATCGACCCATGATGGTCTCAGCTCTGTGGAGCTTGCAGGGGGCAAGCTGCATAGCCCGCACGTGTCAGTGTGAAAAGCGCCGGGCCAACCTTAGCCCTGCTTCCAGGCAACGCATGACATTATCGACACGGATTTTAATATAGCCCACATGTGTCTGCCAGGCACTCCCGGTTCACTCTCTGTCCAATCGAGGCGCTCCGGTGACGACACATGTATTGATCGATCCCATCCACCAGATATCCGGGCTAATCGAACCTCAAAATGCTCACCTCTAGCCTCGTCGCAGATAGAGTGCGAGGCAAATTGAGCTTTTGGCCTCAAGAAGAATGATTTTGTTTGCATGCCTTGTTTCACAGAAAAGGCCTCCCCGGCATGAGCATTACTGGCGGTACACAGACAGATATGCATCAACTGGCTGAATCTAGAGCCTATGGACTTGGTGCGACCTCGGGGAAAGCTCGATCCGTACCGAGGCCGTCAATGCGGGCAGGTTGCGATTCGGCCAAGATCCAGATCTTTCGTAATGCTTCTCGGAACGGTGAACCAACCAGCTCTTGGTATGCCAAAGCAACCAGCCCTCTCACAATGTCTGTTCTCTTTCTCCGCGGCACCAAAACATTCCGCAGCGTGGCCAGTGCATCATCCCCCGCATCTCTCATCTCATCCTCTCTCTGTCTCCGTTTCTTTGCACCCTCTGTGTGACCCTTACGACGATTCTGCTGCAGGATCCCGGACCCCATGATGCCCTTTGGTATGCAGACGTACAGGAAATCCGTGCGTATCTGCGGTCATCCCAATACCCAGCCAAGATTCGCTCGGTCCACGACGACTTTGCAGATGGCGGATCCAAATCTATATTCAATCCAGCTTGGAGAGTGGTGATGTCTCGAGAACTTCATGTCCAGTAGCCAGGTTATGAGTGAATCCCATGAACCAAGATCCACTGCGTAGTTTCATTTCTTTTATCTTCTCATGGCTCTATGATACTCCAGATAGCCAAGCATATGCCACATACTATCTTAATAGCGAATCTCCACAACTATCCTCGCCACTCTAGTACATCAAACTCCTAATCTATTAGATCGAAAGGAGAACATGGCATCTACTAGAACACTTAAAAGCTATCAGCACCGTCAATACCATCACAAACAAGACAGAATCTCACTATTCAATTGTCATTCTCTAAATAAAACGTAGCATGTAATGCTCATATTATCTGCTCCCAAGCAGGGCGCATTTTGCTACTTGACTTAAACTCGCCGACTCCCTCTACACAACAACGCGCGCGCAAAACAATAAAAGCAGAGTCGATATCCAATAGCACATACTGATTGATGCAACTCCCAAAACGCCACCATGAGCAGTTAAAAGAAGAAGAAGAAAGAATAGAGAAAAAAAAAAAAAGAGGGAAAGGGGTGAAAAAGAATAACAACACAACAGCAACGCAGCTCTTTCCAATTTCCATCCCTCTGCATTTTTTTTCTCGAATATGCAAAAAAAACAAATGACAAGCCAAAAGAGAAGAAGATAAGTGCAGTGATAGGCTCTTATTCTCCTTCAAAAACAAGACATTAATCTCAAAGGCGACGGGGAGTCTCCCCTTCCATCTTCCCCCAATCTCGCCTTCGTCATATATATATATAATAAAAATGAAAAGCATCCAGTCAACTTAACAATGCCTGCTGTATCAACCTTTTTGAAGATTTTTGTTTTTGCTTTCTTTCCCTTCGCTAGGAAATGATTGTTTTTCTGCGAGGGGATACAGTCCTCTAAGTCAGTCCGACCTTGTTCCTACCCCCTATCCCTCTCCCCATTTGGTGCTCTAAATGGCCCTGCATCGAAAAATAAATAGAAAATTGCAGCATATGCTCTCTCAAAAAAGGATATAGATCAAAAACTTGGCATAAACGTCGTGAGGAGGCCACGCCCGTGAATATCAAAACTTCCAGGACAAAAATCGACGCGGGTATGCAGAGAATAAAAAACGGCCAAAAAAATATTATCAAGGGGGGTTTTCGACGGGAGTCCATCTCTCAAAATATCCAAGGAGAAAAGCCGTCAGAAAGTATCCAAGCTCGCTTGTTCGTATTAGTCATGCCACGACCGCCTAATCGTTGCTCTTTTTTGTTCATGTTATGCCGTTCTTCCTCCTGAGTTTGATGGAGTGCAAGGTTATCTTTTTTCTCTTCTTCCTCTCTCGTTCCTCTTTCTTTCCTTTCATTCCTTTCTCTTCCCTCACGTTTCACATGACAACACAGTCCTTGTCGTCTTTGCCTCCTTTTGATAGTTTGCCGTTTCTTGGGGCGGCAACCTCCATAGGAGTTCCCTGGCCGCTCACCGCTGCTTGGATGATGGATAACCGCTGCTTGGCCCTCTCATCGCCCGCATCTGCAGCCTTGACGTACCAAACATTGGCCTCGAGAATGTCTCGTCTGCAACCAATGCCCATCTCCGTAAAGTATCCAATGGCGTACTGGGCCTTGACGAAACCTGGGCGAATAAAACAATATGATTAGCGGACATGTTTCACTAAAAAAAAAAGGATTGAAAATGATGAGAGCGCAAAGCCTTCAACTTACCCATATCGGCAGACCGGCGAGCCCATTCATACGCCTCCTCTTCGTCTTTCTCTAGCATCGGCGGAGCCCCAACCATGTACCAGGCACACAAGCCCATCATGGCGGGAGCATGTCCACGTTCAGCAGCACCCGTATAAAAGTGAACGCTGAGCGCCGGGTCTCGTGGACAGTTGAGGTGGCCATGCTCATAGGCGTCACCCATACGGAAGTTGGCTTCGGGGTGGCCTAGCTCTGCAGCTTGTGTGTACAGTTCGGCCGCATAGCTCAGATCTTGAAATATGTCGTCGCCATAGCCCGTTTCGTACAAGCATCCTAGCTGGTAAGGGGCGGCGTTGTACTGCAGGTCAGCAGACTCCGCAGCCAGCTTCAGCCACTTGATGCCCTCGCGATACCTCTTCTCGCCCAAATCTCCGGAAAGGCATGCCTTTCCAAGGCGGGTCATGGCTCCTGGATGCCTCTTAGAGGCAGCCGTGCGCAAGAACTGAACCGCCTTGGCAGGGTCCTTCCGGCAACCCCAGCCAAACTCATAAGAAAGGGCCGTTCGATATGCGGACTCAGCATGGCCATGCTTAGCGGCAAGGACGAAGAGAGGGAACGCTTGATTGTAATCTTCTTTGCCCTTGTTAAAGAGCCCTGAGGCAAAACCATCGGCCAAATAGTACTGTGCAAACGGATAACCTCCGCTGGCCAGCCGCTGCAAGATCTGCTTGGCTTCCCTTACTAGTTCAGTAGGGCTAGCCACGGTGGCCTCGACAATGGGGCTGTCCAGGTCGCGGAACGGCTGCGGGCTGTTCTTGCGGCCCTTGGGATCAGAAAAGTCCAATCCCTGCTCCTGAGCCACGGAAATCAGGAAGACAGCGAAAGAATATTGAACGGTAAAATCGTTGGTCTTCTTGACATTCTGGCGGTACATCTCAAGTGTCTTTTGTACACTAAGCAGTGAGGCATTGTTGCCTACTACATTCCGAAGCCCCGAGTTGTCCATGGTGATGGGCGGGGGCGCCTGCTGAGGATAAGGCACATTGAGAAGCTCGGCGTATGTTGAATTGCGGACATCGGGCGACTTTCGCGACTGGACTGACGGAGCGCGCATATGCGAGCCACCAGGCATCAAAGCAGGCGACCGCCCTCGCTGCCCATCGGAGAGCACAGAGTAGGCAGACTGAGGACGCGGTAGGGAGCTTCTGCTTATGTTGTTGGACGTGGGAGTCAGGTGGCGCTTGATATTGCCTGCGCTGTCCACCAATTCCGGGTTAGAGGGAGTGCGGATGCCATCGGTCGGAACACTTGATACACGGGGTGGATATTCCTGCTTGCGATACTGAAGCTGCTGCATCGACGCGCCTCGGGGCAAGTTGCCCTCAATAATGGAGCTGCCGGGAGAGTCTTCGTCGGGGAGATATTCCGGCCCCTCGTTAATACCCGATAACGAGCTTGCGCTCGTTGTTGCGGAAGATTTGGTAGAAACTGGCTCCTGGGAGGGGTTGGTTGTCTCATCGGACTCACGGCTGTTTCCGTCCACATCCTCCTTTCGGAGAGGATCCTGAGAGCTGATAGCAGGCGAATCGCTTCTGTCAGTCATAGTCACCTGTGGCGGAACAGGCGGCGGGGCGCGGTCAGGCTTGGAAAGGCTGCTCTCAGCAGCAGCTGGGCTAGAGATGTCATCCTGGGGCGCCTGTTGCTTCGAGGCTTCAATGAATGGAAGCTGTAAGTCGAGACCGCTCGATACGGGGCTGCTCAGCAGCCCATCATACGGTTCCGGCTCTTTTGAGGGAACTTCAAGAACTTCAGTCTCTGGCTGTTGAGGCGCATCGTTGAGATTCAGGTTGAAACTCAGGTCGAGAGGCTGAGTCCAGCTATCATGTTGCGAGTCCGTCTGCTCAGAAGACACTGGAGCTTGCTGGGGCGAGGCTGCCTCTTCAGAAACGACCGCTGCAGCCGGCGGTGGAACAGGCTTCCGCACAGTTCCTGCGACTGGCTTCCTCGGTGGCGACAGGGGCTGCGGTATAGAAACTGAGTCTCGTTGACTTGGCGAGCTGGGAGTAGTTGCAGTTGGAGGCGGCGAAGCAGTGGCTGCGGCCATGATGGTGGCGGACGGGCCGGCACGTCGATGATCTCGTCGTCTCCTTGGCTTCCGCGGGCAGTCAAAAGGAGAGAGACAGGGAGAGTGTCGTAGCAAAAAGATGCGTCAAGCCGTGAGGAGGCAGCCGCTAAATGATGTCGTTTACTAGCGAATGGCGAAACGAATGCGAAGAGCGACACGGGCGTTGCCGCTGCGGTTTTCTTTCTTTTTCCTATTTTCTACTTGGCCGTATAACGATGTTGATATAATCGATACGTTCCCTTCTCGCGGCGACAAGCAATTTGGCGATGCCGAACGCAGCTCTGTTGCGCGCCGAGGTCTGCAACTCTGATGGTTGGTGCGGCGTCTAGGCACAGCGGAGAAAGCGAGCGACTGATGGGCCTGCGACGGCGAAACTGCACTGGAACGTGAGCAAAGGCGCACACAAAACCGCAAGGTGAGGGGATTCAGCGAGAGGACGGCGGTGATAATAATGATTGGCCCGGCAGCAGCAGCAGCAACACAGAGGAAGCTGGAGATTCACTGGCTGGGGGGTGGAGGAGGAGAGGCGACTGGAAGTTGGGGGAGAGGGCCGACGATATTCAGCGAGGAGGGAAAATTCCACAGCCCGAGACAGGCAAAGACAAGGTACGCTCTTGGTACCTACCAAATGAGTAAAGTGGAGGGAGCGCTACGGCTCAGCGAGGGTACGAGCACTAGCAGGAGCGGGAGGCGCGCAGGCAGGTTACAGGTCACAGGCAGGCAGCCAGGCCGGCCAGTACAGGCCAAGTACCGCTCAGTTCCAGCGCGTATTTACAAGGTGCCTGCAGCTGCAGTGGGTGCGCCGTGAGGTCGGCACTCCGTGCAATTTGATGTCCAGTACCGTACGAGTACTGGTGCTTGGCAGACAGACAGCACCTGTAGCACCAAGCCACGCGGTACCAAATCCCTTGATATTGTGTAGATCAATACCTTCCAGTAGGTATTGAATCAATACAGTGGGCAACCGTTGGCAGGGTGTTGCTGTTTTAGGAACCCAATATTCGTCCCTCGAATGCTCTGTTGAATGTGTGCATTAGCATCCATCTATCTGTCAGCACCCATGGCATGTGGTGGCGTGAAATACACCTAGCGCCAATAAGGGGGTAAGTTTGACGGGCAATACGGCGGGCAAGGTTCAGTTAGCACTAAGGCTGGGTACGAGTCGATATCGTACTTACAGAAGAAGGGTTGAAAGCTCTTACAGGTACTGCACCATCCACCATCCAAACCTTGGCTCCTGTCGGCCGAAAAAGCGATCAGCCCGGATTGAATTTGCCAGCGGGCGACTCAGTGGGCGGGCGCTGCTAGCGGGTTGGTGGGTGTCCAGCCCGTCTTCAGCAATGGTCCAGTCGGGGGTTATGGCGGTTGAGTCCTCAGCCTGTTTGGGGGACGGGATTTAATCTTGTTTTTAAGCCAGGCACAAAACCTCCCAAAACAGCGCCGGCCAGCTCCAAGATGGAAAGGACAAAGCAGGAAAATTTTCGTCAATGCACGCCATTGACTCAGGTTCAGCTCCAAGGCTGCCACAACGACTCCGGCTGGCGTGCTACGGCTTCTATCCAACAAAGCTGAAGGCTAGAGCAGTGGGGTTTCCTGAGCAGAGAGCCTCATCATCCCGCTAGGGGAGAGGAGGGGAAACAGAAGCGCCGAGCTAGGAAGGACGAGCAAGACAAAGAGCCTCATTCAAGACCAAGGGGAAACACAGCGTGAAGCAAAAGAGGATCCAGCTGAGTGCGATTGAGCCTTGGCTGGGCTCCATCTCCCGTGCCCTTGATACGTGGCCCCTCTCACAAGAGGGATCGAAATATCGGTTTTGCATATGTGCTCGAAACACCAAGATCCTGCCGATGGCGTCGAGTGTCTAGCCTTGCTGTTTAGGCTTCGACTAGCACTAGCGATTCTCCATGCTTCAGCAAAGGGCCTCTAGCTTCAACTTGCACATCAGCTCCGAGTCACAGCCGCAGCGCCAGCCAAAACTGTTGCGTCAATGCCAAGCCCCAGGCTCCATATCTCGAGTCCACATCGGCCTTTAGCACGATGAAGCAGTCGCGGCGGCGAAGAGGGAAGAAGCTCACGGATGTTGAATCAGCCCGTCGTCCAAGTCGTGAGTTGATCACATAGCCAACCAAGTCGCAGCTGTAGCGGATACGAGTCCATCGACAGCGCAGTTTGCGGGCATTCCAAGCACCAGTACCAGAGACCTAGAGATTCATGCAGGCACGGGCCATGCTTCGGATGTACAGGACCATACAGTAGCGAGTACTTCAGACACAGCCCTTTCCTAACGCATGCACGTCTGACGAGACCAGACCCCGGACTCGTAACCTTCTCTTGCCGGCCGTCATGCAACGTCCCAAGGCCAGCACTCTGTACTTGCATACCCCATACTTGTGCTCGTACAAGTAAGTACTGTACCTACGGAGTGTTCCGTAGCCATGGTACTCCGTACTCCGTACGTACGTACGCAATGCGGTCAACCGCCAGCCAATTCCTCCTTGGCTCGGGAGGCCGGCTTTGCGGTGCCAGGCGGCTGGATCTGGCTCGGCCACAACGGCTGGAGCAGCACCACAGCGTCAATCCAGAACGTACAGGTTGCCTACACCCAGAAACGGATCGTTGGCTGCAGCCACGTTCGGACGCTGTATCCCGTCCCGCCCTGTCATGACACAACTGTACCAGGAGCTCCGCCTCTGATGGTGCCAGCGACAGTAACTTGTACAGGTTTGTAGCATCCGGTTGTGTGTGTGTGTGTGTGTTGTGTGTCTGCGCGTATACGTCGAGATGCTGCCAAGATCCATTTCCCAGCTATTACATCAGAAATATGCCCCCCTTTCCGTGACATGGCATGGCATGGCATAGTGGTATCATGTCGCGTCGTATCCAATGCTCGCTGGTCATCCGACACTACCATACCTCGTACAGAAAATGGACTTGCCCACAGATCCGTATTACCTCCCTTTTACGGCCGAGATCTGCCGGTATACGGCAACGGGTGCTTTGAGGCCAATGCTGGCCTTGCTTCTTCTTTACCTGTATCTTCTAATGGCATGGAAGCTGGCCTTGGTCCCCATATTCCCACTTTTCCCCAATGGATCACCGTTGAGTCCCTGCATCTTTATCTTTCTCTTGACCTTTTTTTAGTTCTCGTTTCTGCTTCCACTCGTATGAACTGGTGGCAGTGTGGAGATGAGACGAAATATCGGAGAGTGCTTCTCCTAGAAAACCCTTGCTGCCAAGTCTCTACAGTCAGTCATCGGCCAAAGTTACCCGAAGGGACCTCCAAGAACAGCTTCAGGAAAAGAATAATTACGGGTCGCCGCCAAAAGTGAGGCGAGGCTGCCACCCGCACTTTTGGCTTGCTATCCGTGATCCTGTCAAGCCATTGTGGAAACGATACGGCTGGCTTCTTCCCTGCTAGCATCATCCGTTTGTTCGAATCTGGACGGAATGGTGATGTGGTAGCCCTAAACCAGAAGAATTCCATGGGTAGATAGCCTCCAGTCCCGAGCGCCATCTCAATAGCGCGCCTCTCAATACCGCTTATCCGTTTGGCGCCTGCATCCGAGGGCACTATAGCACGTAACATCTTCTCGAGATGTTTCTTTGGGGGTGTGCGCATGCGGCCCGCTTAGCCAGCGCCTTACATACGCTCAAGCTGCATCCTCTCGGCATCCTCTGCCCCCCGACCCAGCGCTTCACTCAATAGCCTCTCATCCATCCCATGTGTCATTGTCTGCTCCTGTAGCCTGTCAGTGAGTGGCAAAGGGGCGGGCGTGGCTGGCGTTTGGACTCTTTCCTGGAGCATCCACGCCAAGTCTCCGATCGTGAATCTGTCCTGGAGCGCCAATTCGCCCAATATGGATCCCTGCATCCTGTCAAGTCCCTTGAGATTATAAGGACCCGGCTGCCGCTGGAGATACATGTATTAATTGTAGCTGTTGCTGTTGCTGTACAGGAGCAGGATTCTTTTCCAGTTAGCTGGGGCTAATGCTGGCGGCAATCTCCTCGTGATTGGTGCACAAGGAGAAATAGCGAAATATCCCATGTCTGTTACGAATACGTCCAGCTGCCCCCTTCATGTGCATCTCCCATGCAGTCAACCAATGAACAAATAAGCGCTCGCTGGATAATAATAGCCTCCTTTTTTTTTAAGGCTTTAGGATCCCTTGCAGTCCGGACATGTACAAGCATGGAGCAATAGCAACCCGACTCCGTTGATACTACTGTGTAGTAGCTCTTGCACTATTGTGTAAGGTGGCCAACGGTAAACCAAGCTGGAATGGGGGCCCATCTTGGATCCATAGTTGTCCAAGCTCCCTCAGTCTCGACCCCGTGGGTAAAAGTTTTCTTTTCTTGGGGATAGCGAGATGAGTGAGAATTGACTTTGAGACGAAGCACTCACGAATCTCACCGTGGCCGTAAACTTGCCGCAACCGATTTGCACTGGGCTCAAGATATGGCGGAGTCCCCTTTTGCCAGACCACCAAGTGGCCTCGTATTTTGACAGGGCAAAGGTCTTGGCGTTCCGACATCCCAGCACATCGGATTAAGAGTGTCCATCAATGGGTCGTCTTGTGGTCCCCACTGCTGCACATCACTCTGCCTGTATGTACTGTACAGACTCGTACTCGTCCGCAACCCGCGCTTCAACGTCATATCTCGGGTTTGAGACTCTAGCCCGTTGGGAAGGCTCTGGTTCCATGCGCTATCTATGCAATGCCGGCTTATGTTGCGCCACTTTATACGACGGAATCCTTGGTTCGTTGTTTGTGTCGGTGACAACTGGACGAGTGGAAGACGTGCCTGGCCTGGAAAGAAAAAGAAAAAGATAACCAGGCTTGTTGCAAGTGAGTGCATTAGGACGCTGCTCGCCTTTTTGGCGGTTTCGATGCTAGTAACATGGCTTTATGCCGGGTCCAGCTTAGCGCCGGGCAGTGCGCCAACTGTAACGCCCGGTCAGGGTCCAGGTTTCGATGCAACATCCAGCCGTACGAGTGCTTGTATGTTGTAGGGACGAGTACACGTGCACATCAGGAGTACGACATGGCATTGATGGGTTGGCGATGGCAAGTGGCCTTGGAGAAATCGACTTCCAACCCCCGATTCCCTGACTTGTGCTCTGTTCTATTATCTTGGCACTATGCCGAAGGCGAGAGGCAGCAGTGGCGGTCCAGTTGCGAGAAATACGAAGTCCGAGTAACACGCAGTCAATTGTGGTGATGCCGCTGCTATGGAGCGAAGCTTGACTTTCGACCCGCCCGCCAGAAATGTATAAACGACCAATTCATCAACAGTTAAGGTTTCGAAACGTCACATGGTAATATTGGGGCCATGGGATGCTGCGTCGTCGATTGCTCCAATTATGGCGCAGTGAGACAGCCTAACTAAGGTAGCGCCTTTGGTTGCGAGATCTGGTGACTCGGCAATTTTCTCATCGGACTTTCGGCTGTCTTACCCTGATGAACTAAAGCACGAAGTATGTGCCTGATGGTAAATTGTATTTCGTATTGGACAGGTTTGTGTCAAGCTTTGCAGTGTTGATTTGTCAATTGCACGTGGTATAAGGTTGATCTCATAAAGCAGAATTGGGAATGTCGAGTCTCGTCTGGTGTTGTTTTTCTTTTTTTTTTTTCGGTGGCTCAGTACTCCGTATATCATGCGCTAACGGCAGCTCATGTACTCGTAGCTATGCAACGTTAGTATTAATTTGTTGGTCAGCTCCAACAGCGGTGAGCTGCTAGGTTAGTACCTGTGATTTGGATTGGTGCTTGCCGGGTGCTCAGCCCATCGCAAAGAAAATACTTGTGAGGCGAAGATGTAGACGGATTGGTAGAGAGCTGCGACCCTGCAGGAGGAGGATGAGAAGAGGAAATGCAAGCGAGAGGGGCCACATGTATCCTTAAAGCTGTTTATGGAAGTTGCGATTGACTGGTGCATGCACATTTCGCTTGGCTATTGCATGAAGCATATGCTAAGTTCGGCAGGAGCAACTGATGACAGCTTCGTGGCGGCAGTGGCGTAACCCAGATTTAGGGTGACGAGTTCCTCAAGCCAATCAGGGCCGCTACCACATGGACAGCTCTGTCGAGTTTGATAATCTCCATTAATACTACTATTAGAGACTATGAATACAGGCACACGACATAAAGAACTGATATCAGGCAGTAGAAAGCATGATGTCAATGTCTATCATTATAGCTCCCGGGTAGTCATACTAGGGCAGCTTGATGCTATCATTTGGCGCTGGACTACTTCTCCGCCACGACGATATACGAGTGGCGTTTTGTTCTAGTCTAACCCTAGACTTGAAAAATTGCTTATTAGACGGGGGAAAAAAGGGCACCTGTGGAGAGCGGCGATCTAGATCATGCACAGTAGTACATATTTACTCCGTTCTTGAGGACGTGTTAATTAGCGAGCATATTAAGATCGTCTTTGATTCCATCTGTGGAGTATTGCGCCCGTGCCGTGCGGTTGAAAACGGGCTGAAAGCTGAGAAGCTGATTACAAGCAAAGTACTCGTATTGGAGCGAAAAACAAAAAGAGAGAAAGCCCCAGGAGCCAATGAGAGAAGCTCTCCCTTCTCCGCAGGGAAGAAAAAAAAGCCACGAGAGCACCAGAGCGTTGACATCCAGGAACCAAGCAAGCGAGACTGGCTCGACCAGGTAGGCAGGTACCTAACGCCACGCCTGTACATGCCATCTGGGGCAAAGCAAGGGCTCGAAGCCCGTACCCCTTGGCGATGCAGGACCTTCCGCTGCAGTAGCAGATGTCCACTGTACTAGCGCCACAAGTGAATTAGTACCTGCGAGCAAGTCAACCGCACATCGTATCCATCACTAACGCAACAGGCCATGCTTTCTGGCTCGGCGCCTCTAGCGGCCTAGTACCGCCTAAAATGCTCCCCGAGTCGCCCCCCCCGCGCTGCTTTTGGGGCTGGTTCGGACAAGAATAGCCACGGAGGGCGCCGTACAGCTCCAGGTCGCCTTTTCCTTCTCGCCTGGACGAACTTCCCCCCTAACCCAACCAGAATCTCTCTGCGAGCGCTGGGGACAAGGCCGCGCTCATCGTCTCTCGTTCAGTTCCTGGACTTCCACTCGTTCTTGCGGCGTGTTTTTGCGCGTCGCCTCTCGCAATCGGCACGACATCGTCCGTCGCGCCTGTTCCTATCGCGAGTTGCGTCGTCCGTCCCATTTTCTCTCTATCCGAAAAACGGTTCCGCTGGCTCGTGTCGCTCGCTGCCACGCCTCTACTCTCGCTTGCCTCTCTGCTGAGCGCCTTACTCTTACCCTTGGGAACCGCCGATCGTTTGCGCCTACCAGTGCTGCCTCGATCGATTTCTCCCTCTTGGCCCCGAGTCCGACTTTCGCTTAGAATCGAATCCATTACTTCAACGACCGGGAGAAGCTCCTTGCGAGTGGGCCGCCGTGGTGGAAGCTGGATTGGATTTGGATTCAATTTGATTAGTACCTGCTTAGGCACTACGGAGCACTGCTGCGACCGCTAAGACAGCGCCCTCACCCGCTGGCTTTGTGTGGTTACAGCCTCCATATTTTCCCTCTTCCCCACCCGCAACGCCTTAGCGCAGTTCTGTTTTTGGCAGGCTGAACAGACCATCGCCCGTCTCCCAAACAACCCGCCCCTCGCCAATTGGCTGCGCATTGTTTGTTTGCTGCGCTGACTTCGCATCGGGTGAGCATCTGTGTTTATTTCCTTCCGTTGTCGCCTCATTTTCGCCAGCCGCTCTTCACCCTCAAAAGAGAAGCAGTAGAGCGAACAGGTTGGGTTTCTCCCTCTTCGTTTGTTCCCTTTTCGTTCCCTCGACTTCGGTCACTGAATCATCGCCTGCAGCGCAAGGGCGGACCTCTGCTTGTCTGTCCCTTTGGAATGCTGTCCCCAACGGTCACCCTGCCGCAGCAACAAGACGTTTGGTCACTGACATTCTTCATATAAGAGCAATGTCTCTGCCTGAGAGGCCCGGGGCTAGCCCCAGCTACGATCGCCGGACAAGCTACCGAAGTCCGCCGGCATCGCGACGCGCGCGACCCATGGATGTCGAAACCGGCGCATACGAACCTTCAATTCCCGGTCAGCATCATCGTGGGAAATCCGTCTCCTCATACGCCGAAACTATTTCGAACTCTAATGTGAATACAGAGAGTATGCCTCTGTCGCCTACGGAGCCTTACCCCCAAGCGGGCAGGACTCCCGACCCTGCTTTCACCCGTAAGAGAAGCCTGATCAGGCCGGAAAGGAACCGCATCGACAGGGACCACAGAAACTACCACTACCACCGCCATGCTGCTAATATGAACGTCCTGCCCTCGTCCACGGGAAATGACCCCTTGCTGGAAAACTTGGCTGGATCGACAGAGCGATCCGCCAATACTGAAAGTGTCACCGACGAGACTCCACGCCCATCTCGCAGCCGAACCGCCAGCGGAGACCACGAAAAGAATGCCACCAAAACCCAACAGCGCCGGGTGTCGGGCAAGATCACAAAAGAGAATAGCAAGCGATCTTCGAAACGCAAGTCCAAGCCGACTGAGGAGCTGCGGCCGCCCAGCTTCTGGAATGTTTACTGCGCCATTGTAACTTTCTGGTGCCCTGATTTCATCCTCGGATGCTGCAAGCCGACGAGAGCCCAGCGCCGAGCATGGAGAGAAAAGATGGGATTGATTAGCATCATCCTGGCCATCATGGCCATTGTCGGTTTCCTGACATTTGGGTTTACTGCCGCCGTGTGCAGCTCTCCTCCAGTCAGATTACGTGTAAACGAGGTCTCCGGCGGCTACATGATTTTCCACGGAGTTGCGTACGATTTGTCCAACTCTCACCACCCCCCCGCTGAAGGTATACCCTTGAGGCAGGATGGACTGGGCGCCAACGTTCTGTTTGACCTTCCCCAGAAGCACTCCGGAGAAGATGGCAGCTTTCTCTTCCAAAACGTCAACGGCAACTGCAAGGACCTAATCACCCTTGCTGACGGCTCTGATGTCCCAACTGATCCCTCTGGCGACCTGGCTTGGTATTTCCCATGCACAACTTTCAACCAAGATGGGTCCTCTCAACCCAACTTGACTATTCCGTATTATCTTGGCTATTCCTGCCATACCACGGTCAATGCCCGAAATGCCTTTTATCTCGATCTTCGCGGCACGGCTGATGTGTACTTTACGTGGGATGACATCAAAAACAGTTCCCGCAACCTGATTGCTTATTCCGGCAGCGTCCTGGACCTCAACCTTCTCAACTGGTTCAACGAAAGCCAGGTCCAGATCCCTGATCGTTTCAAGGAGCTGCGAGACACGAACTCCGACGTTAACAAGGCGATCCGCGGTCGTGATGTGACGCGAATGTTCCAATCTTCGGCCGACAAGAAGAATATGCAGTGCTTCCAGGACATCATCAAGGTTGGCTCCATTGACACCGAGACTGTTGGCTGCATTGCCTCCAAGGTCGTACTCTACTGCGCTCTGGTTTTGATTCTCTCGGTTGTCGGAGCCAGATTCGCCCTGGCTCTTGTTTTCCAATGGTTCATCAGCCGCAATTATGCCGCCGCCAAGACATCTCAGAGCTCTGACCGGAGAAAGCGTAACCGCCAGATTGAAGACTGGTCTGAGGACATTTACCGTGCCCCTGTTAGGCTCCCCGGCGACGGCAGCACTGTTGTGACCTCGGATAGAAGCAAGCGAGCATCCTCATTCCTCCCCACCACGTCCCGATTCTCTGGCGTATACGGGCCAGATCGAAGCTCCTCATCCCGTCGTGTTCCCACAACGATGGCTAGCCAAGGCGGTTCTAGCTCCCTATATCCACCTACTCCGATGTACAGGCAGAGCAACGACAGCCGTGCAAGCTTCCTTCGTTCGGATCCGTATGGTTCTGGTCCCATTTCCGAGGGTCCCGGCCCAGCTGGCTTTATCCACGAGGCCGTCGTTCCCCAGCCTCCTTCTGACTGGATGCCCTTTGGATTCCCCCTCGCACATACCATGTGCCTGGTCACGGCCTACTCTGAGGGAGCAGAAGGTATCCGAACTACCCTTGATTCCATTGCTACGACCGATTACCCCAACAGCCACAAGGTTATTGTTGTAATTTGTGATGGTATCATCAAGGGCGCGGGCGAAACTGTGTCTACCCCGGATGTCTGCTTGAGTATGATGAAGGACTTCTCGATTCCTCGCGAGCTGGTGAAGCCGTTCTCGTACGTTGCTGTAGCAAGTGGATCAAAACGACACAACATGGCTAAGGTATATTGCGGGTTCTACGACTATGGGTCCTCCTCTCGAATTCCAGCCGACAAACAACAGCGCGTGCCCATGATTACCATTGTCAAGTGTGGTACCCCTGCTGAGGAAAAGGCATCCAAACCTGGTAACCGAGGCAAGCGTGACAGTCAAATCATCCTCATGTCATTCCTCCAAAAGGTCATGTTCGACGAGCGAATGACGGAGCTCGAATATGAAATGTTTAATGGATTATGGAAAGTCACGGGTATCTCGCCTGATTACTACGAAATCATTCTCATGGTTGACGCCGATACAAAAGTTTTCCCAGACAGTCTCACCCACATGGTGTCTGCCATGGTCAAGGATCCGGATATCATGGGTCTCTGTGGTGAAACCAAGATCGCCAACAAGCGAGCCAGTTGGGTGTCCGCTATTCAAGTGTTTGAGTACTTCATCTCTCACCATCTCGCTAAATCGTTCGAGTCTGTCTTTGGTGGTGTCACCTGCTTGCCCGGATGTTTCTGCATGTACCGTATCAAGGCACCAAAGGGAGGACAAAACTACTGGGTGCCTATTCTGGCCAATCCTGATATTGTTGAGCACTATTCTGAGAATGTGGTTGAGACTCTTCACGAGAAGAACCTCTATCTCCTCGGTGAGGATCGTTACCTGACTACACTCATGCTACGAACTTTCCCCAAGAGAAAGCAGGTCTTTGTTCCCCAAGCTGTCTGCAAGACCACGGTTCCGGATGAGTTTATGGTTTTGCTATCCCAGCGACGTCGCTGGATCAACTCGACCATTCACAACCTTATGGAACTGGTTCTCGTCCGCGATCTCTGCGGTACCTTCTGTTTCAGTATGCAGTTTGTCGTTTTTGTCGAGCTTATTGGTACACTTGTGCTCCCAGCAGCCATTGCCTTTACCTTCTATGTCGGTAAGTTTGAAACCCATGATACTATTATCCAAAATTTAGTTGTCTCAGCAGCTGACTTGTCGTTTTTATAGTCATTACGTCTATCATCCATCAGCCACCGCAGATCATCCCGTTGGTGCTCCTGGGTCTCATTCTTGGTCTTCCCGGTGTTCTCATCATAGTCACTGCGCACTCATGGTCTTATGTCGTCTGGATGTTCATCTACCTCTTGTCTCTACCTGTCTGGAACTTTGTTCTCCCAGCCTATGCTTTCTGGAAGTTTGATGACTTTTCGTGGGGTGAAACCCGCAAGACAGATGGCGATAAGGGCAAAGGAGGCCATGACGAGAGTAAGGGAGAGTTTGACAGCAGCAAGATTACCATGAAGAGGTGGGCCGAATTTGAGCGTGACAAGCGTGTGAAGAGCGCTTATTGGGGATCGAGAGAAAACGTCGTTGGTGGCAACACCAATAGCTGGTCCCTGCCTCCTCCTCCTGGGCACCACAGCGAAGAGTACCTCTCTGACGCGTGATTGAGCCGCTATGGCATATGATGACGCGAAACTAATAATACAGGCGCCGCTTCTCTCTATTTTATTTTTATTTTTGAATACTGGAATATATATAGTCACATACGCATTTTCTTTTACACAAAAACGCAAGCTCACCTGCGCATATGACTCGGAGAGAGCTCACTCGCCTATTGTATCCCAGTTTTGTTTTCGCCTCGTTATTCCCCCCCTTGTCCTTCGCTTGGCGAAGGAGATGACTGATGGCTTTAACGAATCGCAATTTGCTACATATAGAGGGAGGTTACGTGATGAGGGGAAGAGAAGGAGAGTTGTTTCGGAGAATAGGGGGCGTCGGAATTTTTCGTTGTAATGAGGCAGGCGATTGATTGATTGAGTCTGATTGATGGATTGAGTGGTCGATGAGGTTTTGTTGTACATATCTTTTTGTTGATTGAACCCTAGTTCTGGGAAAGATCTTTATGACGACGCCAGTTTTTTGTATCATGCCCTGTAGCTCCCAGAGCGATAATAATAAGCACGTTTGTTTATGATTGACTGCAAATGATTCATCCTGTCTGTTTTCTTGGAAACTAATTCTCCTAGCAGGATATTCAACATGATTTCTTTGTATTCTTCTTCTTTTAGTCTTTTTGCCTTTTGTCCAACCAAACTTGAGTCATTCAATCATTCATCGCACAACCAATATCAAACACGAACCAAACATGAGCAACAGGGTATTACATCCCTTTTCAAAAAAAGAGGAAAAAACAAAATAGAAGCCATCTTCCAACGACAATGAGCTGACCGTCCCCCCTCCCCACTAACGCCAACATTCCCAAAAAAAGAAATCCTCAATAGCCCAAAGTCCGTCGACGCCATTCAACGCCGGCTTTACCATCCATATAGCCGTTGATGCATATGAATTGGAGAAGAGAGAGCGAAGAAAAAAAAAAGACCAAGGCGAACAAGGCCTTCTGAATACTTGAACGTTTATTATTCGTAGTGGGCCTTGTCCTCTCTTGATGAATTAAACCAAAATAAAACAAAGCCTTGTCATAGCCCAGCTTATTATAGACCCCAGTTACCGTGGTAGATTCATTTCTTTGAATTCTCCACCTCCTCGCCCAGCTCCCAGGGTTTGCATGGGTCGACAAATGTCGATATGCGCTGGTCGCCCCATCGAGCGCCAATGGTGACCCAAACGTGCTTTTGGGGAGCGGTTGCATGGACCGTCTCTCGGTATCCAGTCCATCTCAGACGCGACTCCCTCTCCATGGAGCTGTTGCCGAGACCGCCATTGGCAACCCACTCCTTAACAACGCTCTTGATAAATTCGACCTTTCGGCGGAAGTCATTCGCCGCAGGAATGCCTTGAAGCTCTGGTTCGATCTCAGGTCGCCTCCTCGACGCCGTAGTCGCAGTTCGCGCTGATGATCTTGCCTGGAAGTTGAGCAACGTCTGTAGGGGATACGACAGGGTGGCGCGGTCATCCAGCGCGGTGGCACCAATTGAGCCTGTGCTGGCGAGCCTCTCCGCCGCCTCCTGAGGCAGATGCCAGAAGTGGCACCAAGTTCCTGTCGCATCTAGAACAATCTTGGTATGATCAGGGAAGTTAAACTGTACAAAGGAGCCATTAGCATCTCATTCCATGCCACTGGGGCTACAAATCTTATCAGAGGTCCTCTTACCTGAACGTGTCCGTCGCCAAATACCCAACAGCCAACATCTCCGAATCGCTGGTAGAAGGTCACTAGCTCTGCAGGCGTGCCCTTTTGCCCTGGAGACGTGGCGCTCTCTTCCTCGTCCTCTTCGGCGGGTACCTCATCCCGGCCATAAGCAATCATATAATTAGCAAATTTCTTCCATAGGATGATCCTTTCCCGCTTTCGATGTTGAAAGACGTCCTTGCCAGGGGCCATCTTGCTGGCTGTGCCATCCTCGTTTATGGTCACCCGAAACTGGTCAGGGGAGATTGTAACTTGCGAAAGGCCAGCCTCGCCATTGTTCTCGAAGAACTTGATAGGTTCGTTCATTGGTACTGGCTGATGGCGGTCTCTGTAGGAATCATCTTGTCGTCGGAGGATATGTTTTTCTGCGCTGCGGATAAAGATACCTGCTGGAGGAAGCAAAGCGGTTTTGCTGCCCTCAGTGGTGGGAATATCGCGTAGGATGCATCCTACACTGCCGTCATTCAAGATGTACCCGAGGCCGAATTTGTTCGTGTAGTCAACCCACTTTACCACAATATGGGGATGTGGTGGCGGCACGTTTTTTGAAGATATGATGGCCATGGTACGGGAGTTGAGAGCTCGCTCAAGCTCCGTCTGGAGTTGGCGCAGTCGGTCAAGAATATCATCGGGTTTTGACCCCGGCATTTCCACAGGTGACTCAGAGGGGCTGAACAAAGTGGCTGATCGGATGGATTCTGAGTTTCGCCTTTTGTGAATGGGTACCGATGCGGACGAGCTTTGCCCTGCCCTCGCTGTGAGTTGTAGATCCGGTGCAGATCGAGCTGCTGAAAGCTGAGTCCTTCCCGATACGCGCATAGTTCTGGTAGTGGTAGCGGCAGTAGTAACAGGCTCAGGGGCCTCTTTCGAGGAGGGGGGTGATGGCTCGCGAGCGGCGTAATCTTTTCGTTCTTGAAGGGGCCTGACTCTGGTGCTTCGTGAGGTCGATAGGGCGGTTTCGGGAGTGGTTCGAGCCCTTACAGAGGTGGAGGAAGTGGGAGGCCGGCCTTGAGAACGTTGTTGAGCCGCAAAGCTCTGAGGTGGCTGGCGCAGAAGGCCCGTGGGAGGAGGCAGCTTTTCCGAGCTGGTAGTGGCATTTTCCTGCCCTTCGGTAGAGGTTGAGCGCGCAGAGATGGAGGCTGCATACTTTGCACGAATCTGTTGCTGCTCTCTTAGCCAGTCATCAAATGGCCGATAGACCACGCCGTCCGCAAGAGGAATAATCGGGGTCAGGCCTGCCTTTTCCTCGGCGGCCATCTCCTTCCAGATCTGGGTGTGCGAAGCCTTTTCTGAGCTCCAGGGCCCAACATTGCAGTCCCGGCACTGCTCCTTGAGGTGACGATGAGACAGAGCCAGCGTAGAACTGCTCAGGCGCGAGGTATAGTACTCTTCTGCGTCAGGAGGCACTTCTCGCAGCTTGGAGGTGATCTCCACGGATGATGGCATGTAGCCAGTAGTAAAGAATGGATGCTGGACGATAGCATCGGGGTCTGGCCGCTGGTCCGCATCCTCAAGCATCGTGGCCACCAGGTCTTTAGCCTCCTGGCTAATGTATTTCTGGGATACCTCTGCGCTTGGCCATTCGTAATCTCGCTCCCTGGCACGGCGATAAATTTCGTCTGTAGTTGATGACTGGAAGGGCGGTTTCGAGGTGAACATTGCAAACCTATCCGTTTTCATTAGCTTTTTGATAGTGTAACACAATCTTCAGACGCTCAGTTGACTCTCACATGATAATACCCAAGCTCCAGATGTCCACCATGTGGTCATGACCTTTCTTTCCCTTCTCCAGGATCTCAGGGGCAATGTAGTTTGGTGTGCCACATAGAGTCGTTCGTCGGATGGTTTGCATATCCCTGCCTGTGACCACCAATGCAGCAAGGCCGAAGTCGCCAATTTTGGCATTCATCTGGTGATCCAAGAAGATATTGCCCATTTTCAGATCTCGATGAATAATGCCCTTGCTGTGCATGTACTTGATTGCGCCGGATATCTGAACGGAATAGAATCGGACCTCGGGCTCGGTGAGACCCTTTCGACGCTTCACCATGTCCATAAGAGAGCCATTGGGGCAAAGCTCGAGTGCTAGGAAAGTGCAGTTGACATATGAAAATGCCCTAAAGAATTGAACAATGTTCCTGTGGCGCATCTTGGAATGGATTTGCAACTCGGTTTGAAACTGTCATGTGGTGAGCGGATTTGAGCAGCCATGGTGAATACCTCAAAGGTACGAACCTTTTGCTCCATTTTGGAGGGCATCTGGCTCTTGACAATCTTCAGAGCATACTTTTGCTTGCTTGGTAGCAGCTGGCCAGTGTAGCATATCGCGAACCCTCCCTTTCCTAACAATTTCCCGACGTGGTAAACGGCGCCATCTGGACGATCTGTGCTGCTCGGCTCGACAACCTCTGGCGGAGGAGGGGGCGGGTGTTCTTTGTCTTTGGCAGCCTTTAGCTGGGCGGCCGATTTCGCTTTGGCGTCTGTGGTCTTGGGCAATCGTTGGGCGTTGACATCCCTAGGGGACAATGCCTCCACGTCGATGCCACCCCTGGGGACCAGCCTGTGTGCCATGGCGATGGAGGAACTGCTGGTGCGTCGAGAGAGCCGGCCGATTTACGCGGCGCTGAGGAATGGGCAAGCTACGGGATTCAGCAGCTGCCTGGAAACGTGCCGTGACGAGCCTGGACCAAAAAATCAACGCGATTAGAAGAGGTGTAACTTTTTCAAGAGGGCTACACTGCAGAGCCACAGATGCGCACAAGGCTCGGCCAGGTGGGAGGGAAATGGCCAAAAAACAAAACAAGGCGAGGCTTTGTTGCTTGTGTAAGCCGCATTAAAGTAGACAGGCAAGGCTAAGGAAAAAAGGTCAACTCACAGGATGCCTCGATACACGCAGCATGCAAAAGGAGCAACGACGTAGCGAAGACGTTTGTTGTGAGCAGTTCCAAAGCATTCAGCTTGCTGCTGTGTCAACAAAAAGCACCAAGCAATGCTGGATGGCTGTCGGGCGGCTGCTCGGCCGGAGGATCGAGGTTATGATGCAAGAGAAGGTGAGCGCAAGCGTGACCAGTCGCAGCCCCAGAAGCCCTGGCAAGTTGTCGTTGACCCCATATTGTGATTTGTGTACTTTGTGGGAGATGGTTGCTGTTGGCAACAGCAAGGCATCTTTGTGGGTCTCACCGCCATTACGGAGTACTGTATTAATAAGTGCCTGTAGCAAGTTTTTGGGCCATTTTGGGGCCCACAGCGGCCACATTGGTTGCCGTTTGGGGGGGTTGCGAGGGAGGATTTAGCGGACGGTAGTGGCTGGCTCCCACTGAAGCTCTGCCCACTAAGCACCAGATAACGGCTGAAGTGAGTACATGCACATGCCAGACAGCTGTCATGTCAACAACAAGTCAGCTCTGGCGTCGAGATTGGTGTGGTACCTCGACACATTAAGAGTATAGCGGTAGAGACCTAGGTAGTTTAGCGCTCTGCTCTATGCATGAGCTGGCAACATACTGTATCAGTCCAAGTAAAGCTCCAGTTAGCTGGGCTATGCTGTAGGCTGTCTCTCCCGAGGGCCAGCGCTGGTGGGCACCGGAATAATCGCGGGCTCCGGCACGGACAAGAGGCAAATTCATGACGATGGCCGGCTAGCTCTTCCCGTAAGGCCTCCATGAGAGGCACATGCTCAGCCCGAACCTCACACTTCGAACAAACCCGTGATGGAGTAATTGGCAGAGACGAAGCTGCCCGAACACATTGAACCGGACAGGGAACCCCGCAGACGGCATCGGCATCGGCCCCAGATCTCACAATGGTGCCCCTCCCCTTGTTCAAGCTCGCCTCGCTTCTTGTGCGGCACGTCTCCAAGTATGGCGCGGTATGTATTGGATCTTGCTGAGCTGCGCTACCATGGTTTCGATACTGATGTCACGCCATCTCTAGAACCGTATCAAGGCCCAGGCCCATGACCACCCACGATTCCGGGCGCTCGCAGCCAGATACGGCCAGGCTATCCACCAAATCAACATGAAGATGTCCGTCGCCCTCCTCAGAGACCCCGAAGCTGAGCGACGAGCCAAGGAGATGGCCGAAGCGCCCACAGTCAAGACAGAGGACCAGTATAAACGAGACGAAGAGGCCAAGCTGAAGGCGAAGAAGAAGAATGAGCCAGCCGCGGAGAGCTATCCCAGGTTTACACTCCAGAACGTGTGGAGACGCAAATTCCGGCCATTGCCAGAAGCCAAGGCTGTGGATCTGTTTGCTGATGTTGCGGGCGACACATTTATTCTTGGTGTGGCGGGAGCATTGATTATATACGAGTACTGGAAATCGTCACAAAAGCCCGATGCCAACAAGGAGAGATTTGACGAGCTCAACAGAAGGTTTGAAGAGCTCCAGAAGAGGGAAGAGGAGCTATTAGATGCCGAGGAGAAGCAGCGACAACGATTCGAATCGCTCGAGGAGGCTCTCAGGGCATTGAAGGATCCAAAGACGAAGCAGCCGCTATTACCGTCATTGCAGGTCAGCTCCTAAGCAGCATATCTACCCAGCGCCGCGGCCGTATCTAGTTACCAACGCTGGCTGCACAATTCACCAATACTACGGCCTGGTGAACTTTGAATAGCCTTCGCGCTGGTGGATGGTATCTTAAGTCTCTGGGAAAAGATAAGATTCGAAATCGTACTGGGGACTAGGATATCTTGGTAACGGCCAGACTCAATATCCTTGGACCGCTCAACACTCCGCTCAATGCCTCAAGGATGATGTTTTTCTGCTATTGTTTTGTATACACTGGACATAAAGCGTGTGGAATAAAGGTTGGTGGATATTAAAAGGGATCAATGGGAAAGGAGTTGGACACCAATGTGCATGGGAAGCAGCGAAGAGGCTCCTTCCCACATTGAACATGTCGGTTATTATGGGGGCATAGTCTACATCTTTCATACATTTCATACAAGCAACACGTATAGAGCCTTGAAAAAGAGAGGGAATTGCTCGAAGAATAAGGCAGCCGAATTGTCAAGTCCTCTTATCACGTTGAAGATTTAAATTCCACCAAAAGGAACCAACGACTACTATGTTTTGCTCATCTCTACGGCAGCGAAAGGATTGGGCACCAGTGGTTCCAGTTCTTTCACGAAGCACTGGCTCAGGCTGGAAAGGCGAGTCAAAAGCTAAGCAAGATTCCAATGTCCAAAGGCAGAAGCTGATGCCAATTACTCTCCAGAGGCAACACTTGATGGCTACGACGTTTCTTTCGCACTGGCACCGCAAAGCAAGCACCGTCAAAGCTTCTTCAGGATCCTGCTGCTCTCGTCCGAAGAAGCCAAAACGGCAGCGGCCAGAGCCAGAATCGAACGGCTTTTCATGCTCGACGGCGGAAGGAATGTAGCCGTGATGCTGCTCCTGGAACAGAGTGGACGTGTGGACTCGCTGGTTGACCTGCAGATGAGGTGAGAGCTCACATACCTGTACCTACATACATGTATGCAGGGCATCTGCGCAAGCGCCCGTCCCTGACAGAAAAGGCCCCAGCATCGTGACGCACGGCATGGCCTCCGTACCCATAATCCCCATGTCGTCTGCAGCGGAACTAGTCGGACGCTTGGATGCCTTGCGCCGTCAGTGTGTGCAAGTCCATGCTGGCAGCGTTTCGCGTCGCAGCCATGCCGATGAAGTAGCGGAGATGCGCGGGCTCGCATCGCATTGCGTGCACGGCCAGGCTCTCCCTCAGGAACATGTGGATATCTTGACTGATGTTTCGGCGGGATTGGGGAGCTTGGCACAGCTTGTGTTTAGTGCAGAGGGACAGAGGAAGATTTGCGACTTGCTTGGCGATGCGCAGGGCAGCAGAGTGATTTCATTCTTTACGCATGGGCACGAGGCCAATCGCCGTCTGAGCATCTGGAGACAGGACCTGGCATCCAAGGGCGAAACGGACAGGACCAGCAGAGATTCGATTTTGCGGTGAATGACCTTCTCCTCCCACCTTTCATCTTTTTTTAGAGGTGCTCCATCAGCAGAAGAAGGTCGATAAGCATGATTACAGGTTGAGATACGGCATGTAATTATACGAGTGGGTGCTTGGGCGGGGATCAATCAGAGCTGCCGTCGTTTGTGCCGAGTCACATCATCCGATCCGTCTGCTCATTCACGCCGTTAGTCCCGGGCCAAATATCTCGTCACCGAGCTGTGATTGCTTGTCAGTTTCCATTTCCAATGTCATGGCCACGATCCATGCGCTCCGGGTCCACGTGAAGGAGAAGAAATCGGATGAATATGGGCCGGCATACCTAGTGCTGGTCCATAGATGGTGATAGTGGCGGTGGTTGGCTGGGGGAGCTAGGAGGGGAGCCAATCAGCGAGGGTGTAGAGCCGCCCTGAGGCTGAAGAGGGCAATTCCATGGTAATCTGATGACGGCGCCGGGGCCACGGTTCTTGACGATTTAGCAGTCTACGACTCGTAATAGTGAGTAGTACGAAATAGTTTTCTCTTGTCAAGAGCAAAAAGACCGTTTAGGCGGTCTGTCTTTGATCCGACGGAGGGGCTTCAGCTCGCTCCGAGTTGCTAATGTAGAGTGATTTGATGTGATGAGAACGGTGACGGATGATGCATGGACTAGTAATAGGTGATGACCAGCGAGAGAGGGTTGCTAATCATGGAGAAGCTGGTTTGCTTGCTCCATCAAGTCCCGCCGTATAAGCAGCCAAGCAAGCATGAAGTCGTCGACAGAGATCGTTTCTACGAGGAAGAAGCTTATTTATCTCGATTCATGCGAAACACAAAACCAAAAAAAAAAGGGAACAAACACAATGTAGCATCGCCTGCTCCCGCAAACGTGGCAAAGCGGGAACGATGGGACATGGAAATGCAAGCACGAAAAAGGGGACGCTCAACCAACAGCAAGATCTCGAAGAGCGAAAAAGGCCCAGAAGCCAATGAATGACGCCAGCGAGAAACAAAAACGACGGGCATCTCGACCCGCAGTTTCTATTTCTGGGACCCCTGGCTTGTTCTGCGTACGAACTTATCATGCACAGGACATGGGGTACTACTAGCGTGTGACTTTTATTTGCAATTTTTCTCGTGCTGTCTCTTTTTCTTTTTTTTTTTGCGTGAGGAGAACCAACCAGGGGGGGAAGAGTCCCGCTGGGGAGGAGGCTTTGCTCCTAGACGAAACAGGCCAAACGCGGCGTGCTTCACAATTGGGGCATGTGAGACTGCCGTGGTCGCGCCTCTGTTCGAGGAGTCCAAAAGAGGAGCTACGTGGTGTTTCGTTCCTTTTCTTTGTTTCTGTTGCTGTTAAAGAGATGGAGTAAAAAAAAGAGAGAAGAGAAGCTGCGTTATTTAGTTGGCAGTTCATGCACTCGTGTTGATTGCATTTGCTGTAGATGCAAGGCATGCGGAGCAATAAGATGCCCGGATCAGGGCTCCGAACTGCAAGGGAAAAAAACCCAACATACTACTGTATGTCCACAACATCCAGACGCCAGTCCCAAACAGGCCTCCGAGATTTCAATCATGCCGACGTGCCTGTTGCTCTCGCCAATGTGCGGCTGCAGCGGAGGTGGCATCGCATGGCAGCAATCGGCCTTGGTCGACACACAGTACCTGCCAGACACCGCTGGAATTGGCAATCATCCCGCTCACCCAGTGGTATCTCCCAGGTACTGCCTGTATCGCATATCCACCGGCCACCACAGGCATTGGTCGTATCGCAGGGGGTCCCGTATAAGCCAGTGGGCCGCCCCCCCCCTGTTCCCCCGACGCACAGGAGCAGCGGCATGTGCCCTGATTGGCCGTGGCGCCCTCTGTAACCGCCGACGATGCACCAATCGCCGCTGCGCTGCCCGGCTCGACACAGGCTCAACACCAAAGACGCAGCACGACAAGACAGACAAGAGGCCTTTTCGCCCACGCCATTTGTGTGACGATGCGTGCTAGCAGTAGCCCGGCTGCGGCCCACTGCGCCCGCCGAATTGGCTCGTCCGATCGCTAAGACATGGATGGAATACACGTACTCGTGCCTGTTCTGTATTCGGATTGCTTTCCAGCTCCAGCGCTTACCTCAGGTGCAATTCGACCTGCACTGCGACAGTACATGTACTCAAGCCTCCCCCCCCTCTCCCGCATTTCTCTTGCTCCCACTGCTTCAGAAACCTCGTTCTTGATACCCCCTCCGCGTTAATCCAGTTGCACGGCCTCCTTTGCAGGCCCTTTTCCTTCTCTCTCTCTCTCCCCTGTACGAGACCACGACGCCGACGACCGTTATTACTTAGTTGCCACGACTAGTCCAGCAACTTGAAACTCTTGTCTAGATACCCCCAATCCACCCCCGGATCTGGATTTCCTGCTGCTGGCCAGTTTGTGGAATCTCGCGCCCCCCCGTCGCCAAACAAACCTCAAACAAGCTCCTCGTTAGAGATCTGCCTCAGGTCTCTCCACCCTTGGCTCGAAACGGATATCGATCTATCCGGCCTGTCGCCATCGCCCATATTCGGACGCACCAGTCCATGTTTCTGGCCGCGATCCAAGCCAAAACAGCCCTCGCCAGCATCGCCAGCACGGCCACTCTTGCCAAGACGGGCTACCAGCACGCAAGAGATCCCCCCCCCAAAGCTGAGGCAGACCAGTCGAACCCTCGGTTGCGCTCTCGCTAGCTTCCGGACCTGACACAAGGCCTCAAACCTCTTACTACCCTCGGCGCCAAACCAAAAAGCACAGGCCCAAAGAGAAACCACCAGGGACTCCGGAGGAAACCCAGCCGCTCTGGCGGGTTGCTCACAGCCGGCCGCCGGTCCAATATAGACTTGGGCCGCCCAGCCCTTTCTGCTGTCTCGACTTGGTTCTTCCTTGGCCACTCTTTTTCGTTTCCTTTGTGTCACCAGCTGCGAGTCTGCTCGGTGTCCTTTTTCCTTCTTTTTTTTCACTTCTCTTCTCTGATACACAGGTCCGGTTACCTGTTTTCTTATTAATCAAACTTTATTTTTAACCTTTTTTTTCTTTCTTTTTTTCGTCTTCGAGGAGTGTTCGGTAGATCCGATTTGGCTGTGGTTTTATTTTTCAACAAGGGTCCAAAGGGTAGAATCTCGAAAGGGAAAAAGAAAGAAACATCTGGGAGATCATTCTCATAACGCCTGAAACGAGAAAGAAAATACGGGAAAAGAAACCGGATCACGACGACATTTTTTCCATTCTATAAACCGCAACCATGGGCAAGCTTATCAAGAACCACTGGGCTCGTCTCATCATGCTGACAGCCGCCACCTGTATGTACCCTCTCCCCCTCGCTCACTTATATGAAAATGCATAATACTAACACTTTATCCACCAGACCAAATTGGTGCCGCCGTCGAGGGCTACTTCTGGCCCAAGATCTTCTGGGACTTCCTCACCCATTCGCTCGACGCCGCCGTCAAGCCCGCCCCCATCCTGCAGACAATCAACTTGGTTTTTGGCATCGCCATGCTCGCCCTGGAGTGGCCACTCCCCCTCCTCGCGGGAACCAGCATCCACCGATCCATCGAGTTCCGCCTCGCCATGCTTCCCCTCACTGCTCTCGCCTGCCTGCTCATGTACCAGTCAACAAACCCCGGTCTGTACTACTTGATCGGCATGGGTGCTTATTTCTGGGCTTACAGTGAAGGCGAGGTACGTTCTACTCCCTTGTACATGTTTCATTCTACAGAGGCTAACATGATATCCTTTTCTAGATTATCTGTGCAAAACCCTGGACTCTACCTCCACGAACAGGCAGCACAGGAGGCAAAGTCTGAGGGCAGAGACAGGAAAGTTGAAGGAGCAGTGGACGAATTTCGCATGTAACCAGAGAGAAACCCCAAGAAAAAAACACATTGGAAAATAAAGAAAGCAAGGCGAGGAAAGGAAAACGAAGGAACAAGCCAAGGATCAACGTTGTATGTACAGTAATTTTTTTCGAAACCCGCGATGAAACCCCGAGGGGAGAGGACAAGAAAGGAAGAATCCAGTCAAGCCAAAAATCAGCCAGCCAAATCGAACTTCTCTACAAGAGGCCTCACGAGAACGCATCCCTGTTTTCTGTCTCCTTTTCCTTTTCTTTTCTTTTCTTTTTCTCTTCTGTTTGCATCTATTTTCTATTTCTTGCATTTTCCGGTATTAGTTGGCATTTGGTAGCGTATGCTGCAGTGTATTATTATTATTCTTGTTTTTAACGGACTGTATTTCATTTTTTTTCACTTTACTTTTTCTCTGTATTTTGTTTTTTATGGTTATCATTGCCCATTTAGCATGCCCGAGGGAGATAACATGTATTTGCAGGAAATACCACAGCGCGCGCGCAGGGGAAAGTACACAACAGTTTGATCAAGTACATGGAGATTCATACTAGTACGATGCAATGAATGTATTGAAATGCCTTGCTACGAATCTCGCATCGTATTGCGACTTTGATAATGCAATGCTTGATTATTCCCTTGTAAAGAGATTCCTACTATACGTAAGAAGAGCGACATTGTGTAGGCTTGGCTCACAGTGTGGCCTCTCCGCAACAGAGCCCTGTAGCTGAAACTGCCTTGTCGCTCAATCAGCTCATTTCCATATTCCTCAGACCACCATCTCACTGCCATAGTGCCGCTATAGAACAATAATGATGATGAAAAAAAAAAGCCGGCAGGCATCGAGTGAGATTCTCTCAGCACAATTTACAAAGCGTCTATTTCACCCTCATCGAGCTCATAGATTCGTTCGTAACTCCTTGCCGACCAGGCATCTGTTCAAATGCCACCATGATTAGTCCTCTGTCGGTGATGGAATCGGGTTTTGTATACGAATGACTTACCTCCATATTTTGCATGGAGCCCTCCGAGAGGATTCTCTCAATCGCCTCATCGGCATCCTCAGTGTCAAACTCGGCCGCTAATGACATCTTTGAAGCAGAGTCAAAGGTTCCCTGAGCACCTTGTCTATAGAGGAATATCTTGTTAGCCGCCTGCACTGCCAATTTTCGGAGGGATGTAGCATAGCGTAGCGCCTGACAGCACAGAGCATGTCTGTTTTAATCCATCGCCGCCTTCTGACAAGAAGGAATGCGAAGAACGGAGGAATAGAGAAAAGAAATAAATAGGTGTCACTGAGATTGAAACAAAACATACCGATGCGTCTGGAACACCTGGAAAGTCGAGATGAAGTGAGCCAGAGGGACGCTCTTGTCGTTCTGCCACTTCTTGTACGTATCTACATCGTCCACGAAGACAAGGAAGTCTTCCTGCTTTCCCTTGTAGTGAACCTTGGACTGGGTGGATTCTCCTCGAGTCATCTTGGCTGCAGCGGGTTTCGTGAGACAGGGGTGTGTGCTTGTTAATTAATTTAAGGTGGTGGAGGGGGTCGCGTGACGGTAAGCTAGAAGATGCTTAGTTGGTTGGTGCTTTAGAGTCTTGTCTGAGTCTGAGTCTGCGAGAGAAGAAGAAAGCCGAAGACGTGCTGGATGGAATTTGTATGCCGATAGTCTGATTTCTTATTCTTTCTAGATTTCAATGGTCAATGAGGGGGAGAAAGAAGGTTTGGAAGTCGGGAAGAGCAGCAGTCTTAAAGAAGTGCTCTGATGAGGGGAGCTGTCACAGCCTACTACGTCATCGTGGCGTGCGGACTGTGTACATCTGCGCTCCTGCAGCGGGTACCAGGTCGCGGCTTCCCCAACTCCCCATCGTTGATTCACTGCCTCCACAAAACGCATCGCAACGAGTACATGATGACCTCATCATGTCTGTATCCGGCACTGACGAGACGGGCAATACGTAAGATTGCTCTTTGCTCTGACCAGCTGTGGATCGTCTTAGCCGGCGATCCAGGAACAATTCAGTTCACGGCAGCTATTCCCAGTATTCATGTTTCGTCAATTGCTTGCTTCCTTCTTCCGCCTTCTTCTTCTGCATTCTTCTTCTGCCTTCTTCCATCGGTCCCACTCCCTGCGATGCTGAGGTATGTTGGCACAGTTTCACCTTAGTAGTCGCCCTGCTAGTATGGCTTGCGGCAGATGACATGCCAGCTACCTAGCTGCCAGGTCCCTGACCTACCAGATCGCCTAGGCACTCGAGCACGTTGTAACGGAGCGGCGTCATCATCTGTGTGTAATTCATAATCGCCTTGCTCATTCTCACGTGAACAATTGAGGCTCTGACTTCTCCAGAGTATCCGAAAAAACGAGGGGCTAACCATACATACACGAAACCCAAAGATATGACTATTCTGTAGCGAGACTGAACAACTATCCACTCACAGTCCCACGTTTCCCATTTCCAAGTAATGTGCATCCAACTTGCTTGGGTATCTCCACGCATGACAGCATCCTCTCAGTTATGAATCTCTGCCAATGGAAAGCAGCTTTCTGAAGCTGCTACTTCCGGCGTTCCTCCCCACACTAACCTTGGTCCATCGACCAAGATATCGAACCTTTTCCGTAGGCGATTTTCTCGTTCTGCCCACGCTATAGGGAGCTGTCATGGCTCGAGAGTTCATAGGCCTTGTCGGGGGTTGTACGGTCGTGGATGCTGTGCAAACAGGAATGGCGTACATGTCGCTGGCAAGATCTGGCTTTGGAAGCGTATTATCCTGTACTGCTGCCTGGCGGCGTCGAAAGCTTCCCGTAATCTCCTTCATGCTACCAGCAGGTGTTCTCATCATTACATGCCCATTGCCGGTGCACTGTCTCTTCACCTTTCTGTTTGCTTCTTCTCCCATGTACGCATCGCCATTCGCAACTAAATCCATTGGGCTTCGAATACCCCGGCGCTTGATCGTTTCCATGGCGATGTTTTCGCAAGATTGATTTTTATGCGCAGAAGAGGCTGATCTCTTTGTAAAGGTGCTGGCGAAGCTAGCCACGCTGAGTTTTCTCATGACCGTAGATGCTGAGCTTCGAACCAGATTTTCACTGCGAGACTTCATCGTCATTCCAGGAAACGGGAGTACTTCCCTGCTCCATACGTCTGCCAGGATTGCCTCTAGCCGAGCTCTCTCACCTCTTGGCGGCGCAAGCACCGGTATTCGGGTTGTAGTCGTTAATAGAGACTGAGAACGGTTGATGGCCAAAGTCGCAGACGCATTCCCGCCGTGGTCTCGCAATACATTGGTGTTTCTCAAGATGACTTGGCACAGAGGGGATTTGGCTGCTCCAACAGTAGTAGCCCGTTGTATTGATATCCGCCGTACAAGTGTGCCTTGAGCTTCAGTCAGATTGCGACACATTATACATGTTGGTGTGTCAATTGCGCACCTTGCTTTCCAAAAATAGCCCCCAAGCTCTTTATGTTCATATGTATCGTGCTAAACACATCCGGCGACTTTACTCCTTGACCATCTCTTGCCGGACGGGATAATCTTGCTCTCCATTCCGTTTCCTCTTTTGACGTACAAGCTGTCATGATGATTTCGTATAATTGATGATCGCATTCAAATAACAGCTTCCAAGAAAAGGGCGCGGTGTGGCATTGCAGCCCTACTGGTTGTCAGTCTTCTTCATTTGAAGAGGCGCGCAGCTTTCTCAAGTGCCCGGTACTAGTTTGCATGGCTCACCTCGCCCATTGTCAACTTCTTCGATTCTGATTCCGTCAATATTGATACAGGCCATGATGGTGTATATCGGGTCGACCTTGCCCGCCGAGGCAAGACAGAGAACATCGCGATAGAGTAGGCAAATGAAATATTGACCATCGACTCCATCATCTGTCTGCCAGCATACGTGAAGTGTTCCGCACAGTTGAATGTGACCAAAGGACCGTATTTGCCTTTTGGAAATGGCATCGAGTTTCTGGGTTGAGAGTCAGCCTCTCTTGGGTCTATCATGAGTTATCTATTTGAACGTACCCTGTCTGGGAACGCTAGTCGATCCTGCAGAATCCAAGTCTTTTCAAGCGTGGATTTGATCCGCTCATCATCCGATGCCCTGTTGATCTCCGTGGTTGCTTCACGAAGCCTTGTCAGAGTATTGTCGACTTCCATGTGCGAGTTGGGGCAGTCTGAGATCGGAGTGCATTTGAGAAGCTCAGAGAAGAGGAGAGGGTATTTACAAATTCTTTGGATGGGCTGTAGCGTATGTTAGCAATGTCCCCAAGTAGTGTGCCATTGTACGAATGGGAACACCTTGACAAGGAGATCATTTATCGTCAGAGCTTTTTTGGCCCCTTCTTCGCTACCTTTGACAGACCCCAAGGCCATCGCCAAGGCCTCAAGGCCCTTTTGATATGTCTCCCAATCTGGTATGGTTTGCTGGGCTGAAGCAATGTCTTTGATCATCATCTCATATGTTGCTCCGTATTCCTCGTATATGAAGAGCCGACTTATCTAGAAACAAAATAGATTAGCCGGAGTCTAGTTACGGAAGATGGAAATCCGTTGCCTTGTGGCAGACAATTACCTTCTTTCCAAAGACTTTTGAGACCTCTGCCGCCACTTGTGGATCCGACAGCATGCCAGGGGCTTTCAATAGCCACCTTGCTTTCGTGTTTTGCTCTGGTACGGCACCAAGACTAGACCATCGTCTGTGGGCATGAAGGCAATCGTGATTTGGCAAATGGGTCAATGAGGGAGCTAAGTCGGCTTGCGTATATTCCGAGTGTGGAACTACTCGATGCAATTCGCCAAGGAGTTCCTCGTGTAGTTTGACGATTTCTGTCAAGTTTTGGTTGATGGATGACCGCAGGCCGACGCATATAGAAGGCAACGCAGCCAAAATTGTGACGTATACCTAAATGATCCATTAACAAGAGATATGCATTAGGGGGTCACGGCTGGCCTCAAATTACATTCATGAGGAATCGGATGTCGCCAATGTACCCTTCTTCTGTACTGATGAGCTCCTCCAGTACTCTTCTTCGTTGCAGTGACCTCTCTATGGCAGCCAGATCGGCGAGGGATTGATTCTCCAGGAAGCCACTGTCTTCTGACGCGCGAGGACCTGAGATGGATGCTCTGCTGCTACGCTCCGTCGTGGAGAAGCCTTGTGAGCGCGGTGCGTTTTTTCGTGATCGTGCCACAGCACTGACACTGGCGAGACTGGCACTAGCACTTCGAACCGCCGAAACAAAGGCAAAAGAAGATCCAGAAGACGATTGTCGATGGTGTGTTCTTCTCCAATGAGCTGTATGGCTATGAGCATCAGGGTCGAATGGCGGCCGCAGAGAGCCAATGCTTTCGTCCGACCGCGTGGGTCGATGTCTTGCTCGACGATGTATCGTCTGCATCCATTTATAAAACGGCACCTGAGATCTAAGTTGTTCGAGATTCTCTGGTTCTATCGCGGGGGTACTGCTATGTTCGATGGTGATCTGAGGCAACTGGACAACAGTATCCATAGCGGTGGTTTCAACAATTGTCTGAAGCTCCGGATCGGTAGTGTTGGAACTGAATGGAAGAGTGCCTGTCGCCTCGATATCAAGGCTGGCCATTTTTGCAACGACTTGGGCGTGATTGGTATCGTGTACGGCATCATGAACGGCATCATGAACGGCATCATGAACGGCATCATGAACGGCATCATGAACGGCATCATGAACGGCATCATGAACGGCATCATGAACGGCATCATGAACGGCATCATGAACGGCATCATGAACGGCATCATGAACGGCATCGTCACCTGGATACTCGACTGCATCTTCATAACTTTGCAAGAGAGCAGCCCAACTGGAGCATCGAGAGCTGGAGCTGGAGTCACTGGGACTAGACGATGAGTCGATGGGAGCCATTTTGAACGGAGAAAGGAGGTCAAGAATGAATCGGAAAGGCGGAGTCAAAAAAAAGAAGATGCAAAATAGGCTTCAATATGCCAAAGATGAAAAAGAGGTCAAAGACTAAGACCCAGACATGACGAGGTGCTGAAATTGGAAATAGAATAATATGGACAGGAAAGCCATTGACAGTGTAACGAGGAGAAGAAAAGTAGAAACAAGATTACGATTTCAATGTGTGCAATAGCATTGATGGAAGCCTCAGGAACGATCAAATGAGGGTTGACGGGGCATTGGCTCTTTCCCATTTCCAGTTGATGTATCTGAGAGAAAGCGCATCATCATGGCCACATGCCAAGTACTCGTGACATTGAAGACACTGTTAACTGAGTAAATACCAAGGTTCATATACCTAATGATACCTTAAGGTACTAGGTACTGCTTTACATAAATATTTGATGCCATATCGAGCTGATAAATACCCGTGCAGTTGATGCAGATGATAACGGCATCACAAGTGATTGCTATAAATACATCTTAAATTGCAATGGAATGCAATATATCCATCCGCCAGGCTCTGCAACGCCCAAGGCTGCTTCGGTTTCTGGTAACTGCGCCCACGTACAAGGACCAATGACATCATCTAGATCTGAAGAACGAAAGCGTACGATACAAGTAAAATCTCAAACTGTCGATTGAATTCTTTGTTTCGCCACCTTGAATCGGAGCCATGATATGTGGACCGACACGGACCAGAATTGTGGAGTCGTGCGGCTTCGGCTAGACTACGGACAACTTTGATACTGTACGGAGAAAGGCAGTTGCGCTGTGGAGATGCAAGTGATTGCGGCCGGAGTGCCCAGGATTGGTGGACTGGCGTATCCCGTAAGTGAGAGTGGCGCCTTAGTAATGCAATAGGTGCAAGGCATCTGCCGCTGTTTGCCATCCAAGGGAGAAGAGCCACGACGAAGACGACTTCTGCTATGGAGAGTACGTACGATGCAATTAATAGATTTCATTCATTATGCTTAATATGGCAGGGGCCGGCCTTGCCTTGTCCATATTGCATAGCCTCCAGTTTCTCCGTGTGATGCATCAACCTAACCCATGCCGCCAAACATGAGATGCAAAGCCTGCCGCCCCAGATCGCACTGTGGCCCTGCCGCGTTTCAGTGGCCCGACACCCGCCAAAAGGGCACCGCCGATGGCCCGCGGCCTGCCGCAGCCACTGTGCGATTAACCACCTATGCCAGGGCAGCGTCGCCTAGCCGGGCGCTGCAAAATGGCCCTGGAGCTAACCCCACAGGGGCAAGTCCAAGCCCTTTGTGAGGCAATGCAAAGGTCCGCCCCTTGGATCCAAACGAACACGTTGAACTTTTCTGGTGACGGCGATGCAGCCCCCCAACTTTTTTTTTTGCTAGCATAATATAGAGGTAGCCTTCTCACCCGCCACGTGGAGCCTTGCGGAAGACTTGACAAATCGGCCATGTTGGCAAACCGCTGAAGTGGCCTTGCTTATTCTCTCTCTGCCCTGTCATCCTCTTCTTTTCTCCTTGCATTTTTGTCTTTCTATCCCTTGTTGAGTTGAGTGTCTGTTGTTGTCTCGAGTCTTGCGTATAGCCTCATCCCGAGCACACCATAGCACGATAAGGATCCAGAGCCCGTCGCCCCGCCGCTCTCGGCGCAACCCGCCACCATGGACAACGCCTATGCTCTCCCCATCGACGCGGTCCTCGCCAACTTCCACGTCGAGGAGCACAACGGCTTGACTGACAACCAAGTCACGGAGCTTCGAAACAAGCACGGCCGCAATGGTGCGCAGTTCACGAGTCCCAGAGCCTCAAACCACCCCGCCATATCGAGGCAGATGGGCCAGAAGTCGACGTGATATGATGCTAATATGGGCATAGCGATCCCCGAAGAGCCTCCTACTCCCCTCTGGGAGCTGATTCTCGAACAGTTCAAGGATCAACTAGTTATCATCCTCCTTGGTTCCGCTGCCGTTTCCTTCGTCCTCGCCCTATTTGAAGAGGAGGGCGGCTGGAGTGCATTCGTCGATCCCGCAGTCGTAAGTGCACATGCTTGACTTCAACCTGTTCGGTTGTGGCCGCTAACCGCGTCTTGTTGCAAATGTAGATTCTCACGATCCTCATCCTCAACGCCGTCGTCGGTGTGTCCCAAGAAAGCAGTGCCGAAAAGGCCATCGCCGCTCTGCAGGAATACTCCGCCAACGAAGCCAACGTCGTCCGCAACGGTGGTCACGTATCCCGAGTCAAGGCCGACGATCTTGTTCCTGGCGACATTGTTTCCGTTTCTGTTGGAGATCGAATCCCCGCCGACTGCCGTATCGTTTCCATCGAGAGCAACAGCTTTTCGGTTGATCAGGCTATCTTGACTGGAGAGAGCGAGAGCGTTGGTAAAGATTCCACCGCGGTCGTTCGCGATGATAAGGCCGTCCTGCAGGATCAGGTGAACATGCTCTTCTCGGGAACTACTGTTGTGACTGGACGAGCCAAGGCTATCGTCGTCTTGACTGGCTCCAACACCGCTATTGGAGATATACACGAGAGCATCACTGCTCAAATCTCTGAGCCTACTCCCCTGAAGCAGAAACTCAACGACTTCGGTGATAGCTTGGCCAAGGTCATTACCGTTATCTGCATTCTCGTCTGGCTGATCAACATTCCCAACTTCAACGATCCCAGCCACGGCAGCTGGGCCAAGGGCGCCATCTACTACCTCAAGATTGCCGTCTCTTTGGGTGTGGCCGCCATTCCCGAAGGTCTTGCGGTTGTCATCACGACTTGTCTTGCTCTGGGTACCCGTAAGATGGCGGCTAAGAACGCCGTTGTGCGTAGCCTGCCCTCCGTCGAAACCCTGGGAAGCTGCAGCGTCATCTGCTCCGACAAGACTGGTACGCTCACCACCAACCAGATGAGCGTCAACAGAGTCGTCTATCTCAACGAAGCCGGAACCGACTTGACCGAACTTACCGTCGAGGGTACTACATATGCCCCCAAGGGTGATATCATCCTCAACGGCCAGGTTGTCCAGAATCTTACCGCCAGTTCTTCTACTATCCTCCAGATGGCCGAGGTTGCCGCTCTCTGTAACGATGCTCACTTGGCCTATGATTCGCGTACTGCTGCTTTCTCCAGTGTTGGCGAATCAACTGAAGGTGCCCTCCGAGTCCTTGTCGAGAAGATTGGTCCTTGCGCCCCTGCCGGAACTGCTCTTGAGGACTGTGGACACTTTGCTAGCGCTGCACATGAGAAGAGACTTCCCCGGCTGGCCACTTACGAGTTCTCGCGTGACAGGAAGAGCATGTCGGTTGCTGTTCAGAACGGTTCAGCCAAGAAGCTGCTCGTCAAGGGAGCCCCCGAGTCGGTCATTGAGCGCTGCACAAGCACCATCGTCGGTGCCAACGGTAACAGAGTTCCCTTGAGCGAGAAGCTCCGTAACACTCTCCTCAAGGAAGTTGTCGAATATGGTAACCGAGGTCTCCGCGTCATTGCCCTTGCCAGCATCGATGATGTTTCTCAGAATCCGTTGTTTGGCTCCGCCAAGACTACCGAACAGTATGCACAATTGGAACAAAACATGACCTTCCTTGGATTGGTTGGCATGCTGGACCCCCCTCGCCCCGAAGTGCCTGCCTCCATCAAGAAGTGCAAGGATGCTGGTATCCGTATCATTGTCATCACCGGTGACAACCGCAACACCGCCGAGAGCATCTGCAAACAGATTGGCGTCTTTGGCCAGCATGAAGACCTCAAAGGAAAGAGCTATACCGGACGTGAATTCGACAACCTCACCCCCGGCGAGCAGCTGGAGGCGGCTAAGAAGGCCTCGTTGTTCTCTCGTGTTGAGCCCGGCCACAAGTCCAAGCTGGTTGACCTTCTCCAGTCTCTCGGCGAAGTTGTTGCCATGACTGGTGACGGTGTCAATGATGCCCCTGCTCTGAAGAAGGCTGATATTGGTGTGGCCATGGGCTCTGGAACGGATGTCTCCAAGCTGGCGGCCGACATGGTTCTGGCTGACAGCAACTTTGCGACCATCGAGGTGGCCATCGAAGAGGGCCGTTCCATCTACAGCAACACCCAACAGTTTATCCGCTACCTGATCTCCTCCAACATTGGCGAGGTTGTTTCCATCTTCTTGACGGCCGCCCTTGGCATGCCCGAGGCACTTATCCCCGTTCAGCTGCTCTGGGTTAACCTCGTCACTGACGGTCTCCCCGCCACGGCACTGTCCTTTAACCCGCCTGACCACGGCATCATGAAGCGCCATCCCCGCAGGAGAGATGAGCCCCTCATTGGTGGATGGCTGTTCCTGCGTTACATGGTCATTGGCACTTACGTCGGTCTTGCAACCGTCGCCGGTTACGCCTGGTGGTTCATGTACAACCCCGAGGGTCCCCAGATTACCTTCCGACAGCTCTCTAGCTTCCACCGCTGCTCGACCGAGTTCCCCGAGATTGGATGCGAAATGTTCAGCAATGATATGTCCAAATCCGCCTCGACCGTGTCTCTGTCGATCTTGGTCGTGATTGAGATGTTCAACGCTATGAATGCCTTGTCATCCAGCGAGTCGCTCCTCACCCTGCCGCTGTGGAACAACATGATGCTCGTCTACGCCATTGCCTTGTCCATGGCTCTGCACTTTGCCCTCCTTTACACCCCGATTCTGCAGAACCTGTTTGCCATTTTGCCGCTGAATGCGCTGGAATGGCAGGCGGTCACAATTATTAGCGCGCCTGTAATGTAAGTTTCGATGAACCTGACTTTATCTTTCTGTATTTCATCTTTCAATGGAGACTAACAGACTATTAGTGTTCTTGACGAAATTCTCAAGGTTATTGAGCGACAATTTTTCATGCAGCAGAAGCCAGCTGCCAAGACTATTAAGGCGAAGAAGGAGGAATAGACGAGGCGTAGAAAACATATACACATTTATACACATACAATGCATACAGGTATATAGAAAGGAAAGAAAGGCATCACTAACTCAGCTTATTGTATTTGGATGATTAAAAAATGCCGTGCATTGAATCTGGTGTCCGTGATGCGTCTATGGCAGACAGAAAGTGAGGCAAAGGAGGTACGGCGTGAAAGACTGCGGCGCAATAACTTGGATGGAATTTTCTCAGGTTTTTTTTTTTTGTATTCTCTTGTTTCATTTGCTTGTTTTTGCATGCATTAGTAATTCGACTCGCTGGCGTTTCGAGTCAAACTCTCTATTCATACAGCATACACATTTTCAGTCACTTGCAGACCGCAGGCGTATGTCATATCCCCATCTCTATATGTGGCTTGTAATCAACCTTAGTCCTGTCTACCCTTTAGTAATCTCTTGGTGACCTTGTCCTTCTCGATGATGTACACATGGGCTCCCCAGCCAGATAGGGCATCACGGTCGACCGCGTTTAGGAGGGCTTGTGAGATGGTCTCGAACAACGCATCGGGCTCCTGTAGGAAACAATAAATGTCAGCAAGGTGTCGGAATTCTCTGTCTTTCTCTCTCTCTTTTCAACATGCAAGGGAGGAGAAGGAAGAAGAAGAAGGACGTACCAAATCAGGCTCCCACAAGCCTTCGCACATGCCAAACAGCTGCTCCGACGCCGTGCCGGACACGATAAAGTCCTTTGCAAAGTCAATGCAGCCGATGCTGTCGAAGCCGCAGATGAAGGGCTTGCCCGTCTTGGGGTCCAGGCCGGCGACGACGGGGGAGACAAAGTAGGGCCCGAAGCGGCGCTCGTAGAGGGAGGAGGAGACGAGGTTGGCAAAGGTGCGCGGGGCGATGGCGCGCTCCTCGCGCAGGCGGTACATGTTGACCTTGTAGCGGAAGAGGTCGCTGACGGTGCTGACGTCGGTGGCCAGGCCCGTCAGGCCGAGGAAGACGTCGCCGTACTGGAAGATCTTGGGGAAGTTGTTGGAGATGGTGAGGGCCTGCAGGCCCAGGCGGAGGTCGCAGGCGATGGCGACGCAGTCCTTGCCGACCATGGCGACGCAGGCGCCGCCGTCTGTTTGGGGGGAGGGGGCTTGTTAGTTGGGAGGGACGAGGAGGATTGGGTTTGGGCTGGAGATGGACTGACTGATCGAAAAGGGAGAGGACTATGGCGGCAAGGTTAGCATGTGCCATCATCGATGCTGGTGATGATGCTGGTTGGGCTATACGACATACCATGATGCTTGTGTTTGCTGTCTGTAGCTGGCTGAGTAATTCAGATTCTGAGTTTCGCACCAGAAATCCCACGATATCGTCAAGGTCGTGCTTCTCCGTCTCTCTCTAGAGCCTCGTCCGAATCAATGCCGTCGTGAGATCGTAAGCCAGTCGGTTTGTTTGGTGAATGAAGTAGTTGCTGGACAGCTTCCCTCCAAGCTTGCACCAGCCCCAGCTCCCCCCCCATCACTGGCACGCAAAAGCGGCAGGCAATCATGGTCTGGCGTGGCCGTTTGCTGCAAGAGTCTGTGGCGCAGGCCGCCGAGCTTCTGCCGCCGTGGCTGGTGCTGTTACGTACTCGTGCGTCGCCTCGGAGGCTGCCTGCGGATTGTTCGAGAAGAGGGTGGGGCCTTGGATTTGATATCTAATCTGGCTTTTGAGCTTCAGACAGTTTGGCTTGACAGCGAGAGATGGCCTGGACGGAATAAGGGACTGGGTCTTTTGGGTTTTAAATCTTTTTGCTGGTTTTCTCATCTGTTCGATTCATCTGCTCTCGTCACTTGTCGGCTTGTACTTCGCAGCCTGCTTGTGCCACTTGAGTTACGCCTTTGTGACCTACTCCGCCCAGCAACTATAACCCCCACCATACGTTCAGCAGAGTTTCGAGGCTGCTTCTTCTACATTGGTGCTTTGATATAAAGTAGTTCAACCTCCGTCTCTTTATTCGGGAGGCCTGTTAAACTCCCTTACAGCTTCTCCATCAATCTTCCATCATGTCTTCGCACGTCGTGGTCATCGCCACGGATCTGAGACGCACAACCGTCAAGGTCAACCCCGGCACCTACCTGTCAGATGTTCTCCAAGAAGCTTGCAAGAAGCTCAGCCTGGACAGCGACAAGTACCTGATAAAGTACGTGTGAAGCCTTTGGCACTACGAATCGTTCATGTCATGCTCCCCATACCTAACACAATCGTCCAGACACAAGCAGAAACAGGTCGACCTCTCTGTGCCCTTCCGCACCTCTGGCCTCATCGCCGGCGCCAAACTGGAGCTCGTGCTAAAGTCAAAGACGCCCTCCGCGGTGCAAATCGCCCTGCAGATCCCCCAGCCCGAAGCCAAGGAAATCACCGGCGGCCGATTGATCAAAAAGTTCCCCTCCGACTTGTCAATATGGCAGGTGCTGCGACAATTTGAGAGCGGCGAGGCGAGCGCGGGCAAGAACATCAACATCACAGCCAGAGGCGTGGCTCAGACGGTCGACGCCAAGAGCTCTGGCGCCGGCCAGCTGTATTATGAAACGCCGGTTTTGAACATCATGGGGAGGGAGCTTGGGTCGTTTGCCGACTTTCAGAAGACGCTGTCGCAGCTGGGTCACAACTCTGGCAACGTCCTGATACGGCTGACGTTTAGGCGGACTGACCAGACGCTATACGAGGCGATGGAGCAGATTGGCGTATTTTTCAAGGAAGAGGAGAAGAAGAAGGAGGAAGAGAAGGAGAATGCGGCTTCAGGCACTCTAGAGGACAAGCCGAAGAACCCATCAGCAAATGAAGATGTACCCATGGCCGAAGCACCGGCAGAGCCTGTGAGCAATACGGCTCAAGTCCAAGAACCAGACCACGCGGCTCCTCAAGTCGCACAAGATGCAACCGTATCATCATCACCACTACAATCAGATGCACATCAAGCACTGCCCGAAGCTAATAATTCGGACCCCCAGTCACGCCTTCAACCAGTTCATGTGTTCCTCGCTCCTACAAATTCGACTCCTGCCGCTGCTCTTGTCCCAGCTGAGGACAGTGATTTCACACCGACCGTCGCACATGCCCAGCTGCATCAAGCCCGCTTGTTGGAGAGCTCTCGCAACAAGCGGCTCCTATCTGATAAAGAAATTGAGGAAAAGGAGGCAGCCGAGCAAGCCAAGATTGCCGCCGTCAAGTCTGTGCTCATCAAGGTGCGGTTCCCAGACAATACTAGCAGTGATTGGGAAATTGGCCCGTCAGATACTGGTGCCTTTTTGTATCAAGCTGTGCGGCACGTCATGGCTAGCAACGAGCAATCTTTCCATCTTGTTATTCCCGGTAGCAAGACGGTGATCAAGGACGACGATACCCCCAAGCACAACCTGATTCGGGCTTATAAGCTCTCTGGCAGGGTGCTTGTCAGTCTAGTGTGGAATGATGGTGTGCCGGCTGACATTCGAAAACGGCCGTTTCTCAAGGCCAACTTTGCCCAGCAGGGTCAGGCCATCAAGGTGCCTGAGATACCGACGGTTGAGGATGATAAAGCCGGGTCATCGGCGAGACCGCAGGTTCAACAGGCGCCGACGAATAGAGATGGAGGAGAGGGTTCCGGCAAGAAAATGCCAAAGTGGTTTAAACTTGGAAAGAAATGATCAACCGACAGCGAGCAATAAAGTACCTTGGTCTTTTTTTTTTTACACATCCAGAAAGGATGTACAACAGAATAGCGTAATGTATATATCACGGGCAATTTTACAGTAAAGACACAGGAATGAATGTTGTATACTCAAGACAACAGGTAGCACAATCTTCTTAACACATAATTAAGGCATTTCATACCCATAATGCTGGGCAGTTGATGAGGGAGGAAGAAGAAAATCTCTTAGGTTGGGTCATATAGACGGCATGTCTTGAAGAATTTAGAATTCCGATGAACGAAATCGCAGCTATATAACCGCTGCTGCGCCCGCATCAAAGCCCCATTGAATCAATCAAAATCATGACCACGCCAAATCCATGCGAAACCCGTAGTTTAATTCATTTCCCAGTTGAAAAAAATTTATTTTGTTTTTGCCATTACCAAGATATCCCCCGCTCGCTTAAAGAAATCGTTTAGTGAGCACGACGAGACTCGGCGATGACGCGCTGGAGCTCATCGACCTTTCTCTTGGCACGGCCGAAGGTACCGAGCTGGAAATTAATATTGGTTAGGACCTTGATGCCTCTTTTTATGTGTTTGGTATGGATTGGATTTGTTTTTGACGTACCCTCTTCTTGGCCAGCTTACGGGCACGCTTGTCCTTGCTGTTTCGGAGCAGTTCGATAACACGACGCTCATAGGGGGCAAGGCTATGAAATAGAAGACACAAAACATTAGCATTCATTCCTATTCAAGTATTTCCTTCTTCGACAAAAGATCAAAGTTGGAACGGCGAAAAAAGTAAAAACTCACCCAGCAACCTCCTTGACGACCTCACGGACGAAAGCGGTGCGCTTGCTCAGGTGGCCCTTGGTGCGAGAAACACGGGGCTTGACGACACGAGCAGTGGTCTTCTATATTCGAGTAACAAACCAAAACGTCAGCGTCCATCGTCTGCCAAGATCACGGGGGCAGAGATCCTCCACGAGGTGAGATCGCGAGTTGACGTACGTGGCCCTTGTTCAGGCCAACGGCCAGACCGGTCTTTGCGGGAGTTTCCTTGGCCATTTTTGAAAATGGTGATTGTCGACTTTGTCGAGAATTGAGGTTGTCGAAGGGGAATGGAGAGGAACGTCTCTTTTTTTTTCTCCCAGAGGAAATTCGACAGCGCTAGTGGGTAATTTTTGGCGAGTGTGTGGGTAGGGTCGGTGTGTTCGATTTTCCGGGCGGAGTTTGTGGGTCACGTGCACGAGGGTAAGCGATAAGATAAGATGGCGCTTATGTACTGCATTTCTTTGATTTTGGGAGAGAGTCACGCTGAAATGGTCTGATTGGTGAAATTGAGGGCTTATCTCGAATTGGAATAGTAATCTCCTGGTTGTGTTATGTAATGGCGAAGACGCGGCTTGCTGCTTGACGCCATGATTGATATCCTCGGTATTATCAAAGAAGAGATACAAGTATACCTAGGATTCTACTTGGTGAGGTTTTGCAACTCTTGTTCATCTGAGCAGCAAATTGCCAGCACACAGACCAAGTATTCAATTGGTCATAATGTGGTTGACTCGTCTTATCTAAAGCCTTTCCTAGGGTTCTTCAGCCAAACCACAGAGCCATAGCCAGAGTCAACTGTTGCTAACCCGCACGTGTCAAACTGAGGAATTCTAGAACAAGGCTTATCTCAGAGCACGGCTGCTTTCACGAGTCATGTAGCGGTTGTGTTGAGAAGCTAAGCTGTAGCCTCACGAACCAGTTGCTAATGCAATGGATATTTCCGTCGGCTAGCCGGCTGCCAGCAGCTAGGCTGGTCCAGGGGGGAAAGAGACAGCGCGCGAATTGCTCGACTCTGTCGAGATATGGCAGGGTAACGAGGCCATGTCTGGATCGCCAATCGAACTCGATCCTGCTTGATATGACCTGTTTATCCCGAGGCACAAGTAAGGGGTCACGAGCCACGGACAGGGCCATACGTAGCATCGGCCAGCACGACAGACGTCGACCCTTGCTCCGCCGTTTTGCGATGCAACAACTCGTACTTGTATCTTCACAGCAATTAATCCGAAAGAGCTCCCCCTCATGGGGCCCTCTCTCCCCCGCTTCATCCTTTGGGCTAGTTGTTGGCCGTCAAGTTGAAAAACAACAGACCAACCGGCAGTCGTCAGAATGGCGCTAGGGCGGAACTGTGTCGTCTTGCATCCCAAGCGGCGTTTTGGCCGCCATCGTCGCCCATTGGCGCTCTGCTCATCGTCATCAAGCGGCGACAAGGGCGCTTATTCCATGATAATATCCCGTACATATCGTACTGCCCCAGACTCCATAGCACAGAGAGGGAAAAGAGGTGATTTTCCCACGGCGGAGGCTCCCCCTTATCGGTGCCCCGGGCCATTGATTGCGCGGATCCATCCCGCCATATGAGATGGGCTCACATCCTGGGCCGTCTTGTTTGGAGTCGTCAGATCACGCCCGCCGCATCGCAAAGACAACTTCTGTATTTGGAAGGGCCTGGCAGCTGCCAATGCTTTGACCATGCCATTAGGCGGGTGATTTAAGGTATGAGGCGCTGTCAGGTCGGCATACGGTGACGTAGTTTTTGGAGAGACGGGCCAGGAGAGGACAGGGCCCAAGCGATGGATGGCTTTTGGTGCGACTTGAGAAAGAGGATCTTGACTCGGACAGTTGAAGGTGCTAGTGTGCGCCGCTGCTGGCACTGCGACGGCCGCTTTGCTGCGCTGCGGGATCAATTGCTCAATCGCCAATTCTCGCAGAATGTCATGCACGTGTGCGTCTACAGTACGTCGTTATCAGGGGGTTGATCAATTTCCCCCTGGTGACTTGCGGTCTGCTCGTCTGTCTGTCTCTCCCTTTGCTCCGTGCTAATGCCTGTTTGTACCTGTACTTCTGCCTCTGTCTGGCTGGGTGTGACGCTGCAATGTTTAGTATATTAGCAGTAGTACCTAGGTAGTACGTAGATACTACGAGTGCCTCCACATCGCATCTCCCCTCTTCTCTCTTCTCCTCTCCTCGTCCAATTTCCCCGCCCCCAAAGATGCAATCAGCAAGCAACACCACTCGCCAATGCTACTATCCCTCCTGTGTTAGTAGAGCTCGCAAAAGGCCAAGTGCTAACGCAAGCACCAAAGCGCGGGGTGACCCAGCCTAGCGGGGGCCCAAAGAGGGGGGGCTGGACCTCTTCTCTAGGCCCTGTCCTAGCGCTTTACCTAAGATAGGGCCCGCTGCGACAGCTTCCCCGACGCTCTGCCTCTTGCGCTGCGCAGCACCAGCCATTGATGATAGCAGAGAATGGACCCTCTTAATACCTCAGTGTGTCTTAATATACCGAGTGCGTGACTCGCTTCTGTTGCTCGTCTCGTCCTTCCCCTTGTGCTCTCTCCTCTGGCCTTCTTCGAGTCTTGCGATTTCTCCCCCTTTCTCTGCCAGCTGCGAGACAACGCGCCCAGCTATTCGCAATGCCACGACGATAAAACGCCTTGCTACACCGACGTCATCAGCACCCACCCTGTCGAGATAAGGCGAGGCAGCAACTCGCCTCTATTCCTGCCCGTCACCACCATCACCTCCATCACCAACCAGTCTCGGCGCCTTCACCGTCCCATGTCGCTGGGGAAGCAGAAACCACAATAACAGAGGGGGAAAAATATAAAACTATATAACCCAAATAGGGAGGGAGAGCGCACAGCAAATCTCCCCATAGACACCAGAGACGGAGACATCATCGTCCCAGCATCATCGGACAAGCAAAGCAAAAAAAGGAGTCCCTCACCATGTCCAGTCTTCCCTCTCAGCATCCCACCCTCTCCCTCCACCTCACCGACCTCACCCTCACCCCGCTCATCACCTCGTCCTCGTCGCCTACTCATCTCGAGTCCCTCACCTCGCTCACCTCGAGCGCCATCACCTCCCAGACCACCGCCCAGCGCGCCAACCTCGGCCGCCCCCAGCGCATCATGGTCGAGTACCCCGACTCGGGCGCCGTCGTCCTGCAGTCCTACCTCGACCCCCGCGAGTCGCACTCCGAGTCCGAGTCCGTCTCCAAATACAAGCACGACCATGATGCCGACGCTGATGCCGATCCCGACGACGCAACGACAAGGACCGCCGACGACGCTGCTGCCCCCGTGCTCATCGGCGTTGTCGTCGCCGCCTCATCAGACGATGCGAGGGAGGCCCGGCGCGCTGCTGCCAGGCTGGAGCGCATCGGCCGCGAGTTTCAAAAGGAGTGGGCGGCTCAGGGACTAGAGCAGGACACCGACGGGAGGAGCACTCCTGAGTGAGACCAGCACACCCTCGGACGTTCTGCTGCCATCTACCTGGCAGCGATAATAGCAACAACCAACAAGAGAGAAAACAGTGAGAGACGAGAACCATGGACGGCATATATGGCCATCCCCATCTCCATCAGCGGCAAGCTCGACACCGAACCAGGCGGAGTCGGCTTAATAGCAGCTCAAGGAGAATGGATCCGAACAAGTCAGCCGGGGTGCGTCCAGATGAGAGGTCACACACTCGAGCGAATAATACAGGGAAAAAGAGCAGCATTTTTTTGGAGCGCGGCGCAGAGAAAAAGGACGAGTATACACGCGCGTTAATGAGAAGATGGCTGGATCACATTTGCTTATTCATTTTTATTTGTATTTTTTTTTCTCTCACTTTCTTTTTGTTCTCCCATCGCACGCAGAGTCAGAGTCTGGGTATAGTATACAGGAGATTTAGCTACTACGTTGGCTTCACTGGCGTTTAAAAAACAGGGTTATCATAGGCAATTGAGTTTTTTCTCTCAGATTCATTTTGTTCATCTTTTTTTCCATTTCATCTATTTCGTCATATATAAAAAAGGAAATCAAACCGTTTCCCTTGATCTCCGAGTACAGTCATCACTACGTGAAATCATGTTTCCCCCGTTTTTAAGCAACCGGCGTTTTGTTTCCACATGTTTTTGTATTATTATTTAAATTTTTATAAAAGAGTTTTTTATAACGTCCGCTTCAAAATTTAAATGAGCTGCTGGAAAGCACGGTTGATGGGAGAGCGGACGTTGGGGACGTCCTTCCAGAAGTCGATGGTGAGGAGAGCACGCTTGGTGATGCCCTCGGGGGTGAACTCGAACTTCTATAGTGATGGGTTAGCACACAGCGATTTTCTATTTCTTCTTCTTCTTTTTGCTCCAACGTACCTTGTAGACATCCTTGTAGGCACCAGAGGCACCGAATCGGTTGAGACCGAACTGCTCGTGAGTGTAGCGCTCCCAGCCCATGGTGCTCATCACCTCAATGGACAGAGAGGGGATGCCATCGGGCAGGACGGAGAGTCTGTAGTCCTTGGGCTGAGCATCGAACACCTCGAAGCAGGGGATAGAGACGATGCGGGCCTTGACGTTGTGCTTCTCCAAGAGGACCTTGGCGGCGTCCACAGCAATGGAAACCTCGGAACCGGTAGACACCAGGGTGATCTGGGCACCCTCGACCTCCTGCAGGACGTATCCACCCTTGATGGCCTTCTCGATGATGGAGCCCTCGAGCTGGGGCAGGTTCTGACGAGATAGGGCAATGATGCTGGGGGTGTGCTTGGAGGTCAGAGCAATGTAGTAGGCAGCGCTGGTCTCGTTGCCGTCAGCAGGGCGCCACACCATGCAGTTGGGGAGGGCACGGAAGTGAGCCAGAGTCTCGATAGGCTGGTGAGTAGGACCGTCCTCGCCCAGACCGATGGAGTCGTGGGTGGCGACCCAGATAACTCGGACACGAGAGAGAGCAGACAAACGGACGGCACCGGCAGCGTAGGAAACGAAGTTGAGGAAAGTACCACCGTAGGGGATGATGGTTCCGTAGGCGGCCAGACCGTTCATGATGGCACCCATACCGTGCTCACGGACACCATATCGGATGTAGCGTCCGGAGTAGTCGCCGAGGCCGGTGGAAGGGGGCTGGAAGTCGACGGCCTCCTTCCAGCGGGTGAGGTTGGAGCCAGTCAGATCGGCAGATCCACCCTGCAGCTCGGGGAGGATGCTCTCGACCTTGCTGAGGACGGTCTCAGACAGCTTTCGGCTGGCAATGGCAGCGTCGCTGGTGGTGTAGACGGGCAGGTTCTTCTCCCAGCCCTCGGGCAGCTCGCCCTTGAGGCGGCGGGTGAGGTCAGCGTGCTCGGCGGGGTACTTCTCAGCGTACTGAGCGAACAGCTTGTTCCACTCCTCCTCCTTGGCGGCACCCTCAGAGGAGTGTCTGCCGTAGAGCTCAGCGACCTCCTTGGGGACGACGAAGCTCTCCTCGGGGTTGAAGCCGAACTTCTGCTTGAGCTGCTTGATGTCGTCGGCCTTGAGGGGAGAGCCGTGGACACCGTGGGTGCCCTGCTGGAGAGAGCCGAAACCAATGGTGGTTCGCAGCTTGATGATTGAAGGCTTGTCCTTGACGGCCTGGCACTTCTTGATGGCGGCCTCCATGGCCTCGAGGTCGTGGTCGCCGTTCTCGACGACCTCGACGTGCCAGCCGTAGGCCTCGTAGCGTTTGGCAACGTCCTCAGTGAAGGCGACGTTGGTGTCACCGTCAATGGAAATGTGGTTGTCATCGTAGATGCAGATGAGGTTGCCGAGCTGGAGGTGGCCAGCCAGGGAGCAGGCCTCGCCAGAGACACCCTCCATCAAGCAGCCATCACCGAGGAAGCAGTAGGTGTAGTTGTCAGAGAGGGTGAAGCCGGGCTTGTTGAAGGTGGCGGCAGTGTGAGCCTGGGCCATGGCCAGACCAACAGCATTGCAGATACCCTGACCCAGGGGGCCGGTGGTGACCTCGATACCGGGAGTATCGTGAGCCTCGGGGTGACCAGGGGTGATGCTGTCAACAGTCTGCAGAGAATTGAGAGTTAGTGTTGCTCGATAACCCCTAGCCTGTTTTGCGTCCAAGACTAGGCTAATTGAGTTTTTGCCCCTTCTTGTTCACTTCGGGTTGGGCTCCAAACTTACTCGGAAGGCCTTGAGGTCATCGATGGTCAGGGCGTAGCCGAAAAGGTGAAGCAGTGCATACTGGAGCATGCAGCCGTGGCCGTTGCTAGATTGGGCAGAAAAAAGCACCTGTTAGTCTCGCGATTCGCAGAGCGGGGATATCACTCTCTCTTCTATTCCCATTCGAGAGAGGGGCGGAACGGAGGAAGCACTCACGAGAGAACAAATCGATCACGGTTCAGCCAGTCGGGGTTCTTGGGGTTGAACCTCAGGAACTTGTCCCAGAGGACGTGAGCAATGGGAGCCATGCCCCTGCGATATCGCTGTCAGCAGCCAGCACGGCGGAAGTGGCGGGAGCTTCTGTCACGAAGCGTGGCCAAACTCACATGGGGGCACCGGGATGTCCCGAGTTGCTCTTGAAGGTGGCATCAACCTGGAATCACAGCGCCAGTCAGTTCAATGCTCCTCGTCATTGTTCTTTTTTTCCGTGTACATCGTTATTCGCATTCTTTTTCGTCTCTTTGGCGAGCAGATGGCTTCTTTGGTGCCTCGTAACCACCACTGCTGTCGGGCAAAGCTCCCGCTCGCAATGGAGGGGCAATGGCGGGGTAAAAAAAGCAAGGGGGAAAAAAACATACCGCGAGCAGGCGGATGGTGTTGATGGCCTTCTGGTCAACCTCTGTGTAGCCCATGATTGCGAATGGTCGGATCTGCGCTATAGAAGAAATAGGGTATCAAGATAATTGGGATATGGAGAGAGAGAAACGGACGGGGCCGATGGGGGGGAGGCAGCATATAAAGCTGGTGTTGAGGGAGCCTTTTTGTTGAGGGGTTAATGTTATGTCATGTATTAGGGGATCCTTAGCTCAGGCCATGCTCCCCTAACAAACCCCCAAAGACCCCCCTCTATCGGCCCCTCTAGAGCTCCCAAGTTCCGTAGCCCCTCCACGAGCCAGTCTGATGCCGCCCTACTGGAGCCCCGGGGCAGCGCAGCCAGGCAACGGCAAATGGCATTCGGAGCGCAAGTTCCAGCGGGGCCCGTTTCCGCTACTGTGAGCCCGCCCGTACTCGTAGCTTGTTGCGGCTTGCTGTCGCCCTCCTACTGTGCGTGTTATTTCTACAGGATTTTTTACGATGGATGGATTTTTTTTTTTTATCTCCGTGCTCACCAATGCTCCTTGTGACGTGTGGTCCCCTGTATGCAATTTCTGCGAGGAACCTTTTCTTCAAGGATCAGTGTTTAGTATTGTACCTTATGTACTATACCTTACTAAGTACCTAGGTACCTAAGGCAACATGCACGCACTCTCATTGTCTGCTTACATTGACAACAGAGAGGCAACATGATCTGCCGCCGCTTGACGCAATCCTATCCACCGGAAAAAACCCTCCATTCCCGCAAGTAAGAGCGGAGACTCCCAAAGCAATGGACAGCAATGGCATTGAAGCCATCCATCCATCCATTGTCACTTTTGCAACGGCAACCTGCATTCGGATACTCCGTTTCGGCCCGGCCGGTGACATAAAATGCTGCTGATGGCCCTTATCACTGAGAGTCACAGACATACGAATGAATGAATGGATGGATGGATGGTGACAGGCTCCTAAACTAATGGCTCTCTGACCCTCGCGAAACAACTGCGCGAAACAACTGCGCGAAACAACTGCCGCAACTCCTCCAAACCCGGGCAAGCCGCCAATGCAACTACTTCAGACGTGAATTGCACCAAACCCAACCACATGATAGGCTATCGTCCTCCTCAATGCCTATTCGCGTCACCTGCAGCAAAATCCTTGGCCTTTATAAGCGGCCTTTGAGGGTTTCCTAAGCAATCATTCATCGCCCTGTCGAGCAAGTCCACCAATCAGACAGGCCGAATCAGACACCTGAGCGGTTGGCGCTATTCCAATAGCCGATCTAGGTATCCCGTGGAAGGCGGCGCTGGCCGGATCGTTGCTTGGGACGGGGCTGAAAGTCAAACGCATTTCAGGCTATTATCGCTCGAACTAATAGGTAAGCAGTGATGAATAAGTTAGTAGGTAAGCATGTAATAATGTCGGCGCCAACATGAGTATGTGAGTGAAATGAATCACAGAGGAAAATCAGATTTGCCATCCGCCGTGTTGATGAAATCAAGCAATAGCTTCTATTTTTCATCATACGAGTGCATTAACGTAAGATAGAAGAAATTGAATCCAATTGAATTGAAGTACACTCATTCTCAAGTGAGGCTTACAAGCGCTACCGTCTTCATTTTACCCACTTTCTGTGAGAAACTCAATTTTTCACCACATCAAAACACCATCTCACTCGACCAAATAGCCCACCATAACAACGACACCCAATAAAACAATGGTCAAAAAACAAGCTCCTAAAAAGAATCCTTCCAAAAAAGAGAAACCAGCATCAAACACTACTCCCGTCCCACCCGTCGACCCCCAATCTCTCAACCGCCAGCAACGCATCCTCACACTCTTCTCCGATGCCTTTGGCCCCGTCCTCTCATCCGATGACTTCACAACCCGCCTCCAATCCATAAAACAGGCCCTCTTCAACAGAGACTTTGACGCCGCCTTTGGACCCGAGGAGAATCTTCAGGCCTATGCGGCAAGATGGAGTCCCACCAGAGCCCTCTGCTACTCGTCCATCTTCCAAACCATCGCCCACCACATTGACGAGACGGCCCTCACGTCTCTTCCTCCCGCCAATGACAATGATGACAACGAAATCAGCCCAGAATCAGCCAGCATTGAAACTCCAGCCTCAAAACCCCGCAATGCAATCAAGATGCTCTGTATCGGCGGCTGTGCGGCCGAACACATCGCCTTCGCCTCCCTCCTCCACCAGACAAACTCCTCCGGCCACCTCGCTCTCCTGGACGCCGCCCCCTGGACACAAGTTGTCTCTCTCCTCCAAGACCGCATCACTTCACCGCCGCTCCTATCTAAATACGCCTCCGCGGCCGTCAGAGCTGCAAACACGCCTCTCCTCGAGCCGGGCCAGCTCGAGACGACATTCTCGCAAGGCGACGTCCTGACTTTGAGCAAAGAGGCCCTAAGCGAGTTGCTTGGTCAGGAACCTCTTACCGTGACGTTAATGTTTACGTTGAACGAGCTCTACACCAATGGAGGCATCGGCAAAACAACAAAATTCCTAAAACTGCTCGGCGAGGTGATGCCGGACAGGAGCATGCTCCTCGTCGTGGACAGCCCGGGCAGCTACTCGGAAGCCGCCGTGGGCAAAGAACAGAAGCGGTACCCCATGCAGTGGCTGCTGGACCACACCCTTATTGACCCTCGGGCGCCATCTCCGGGCTACGAGTGGGAAAAGATTGAGTCTCACGATTCGATCTGGTTCCGCCTACCCGAGGGCCTCTCTTACCCGATCCAGCTAGAAAACATGCGTTACCAGATGCATCTATACCAGAGGAGGAATACGACTCCAACTAAATGAAAGTCTATTAGGCGAGGGTATTTGGAAGAAGAAGAAAAAACTATAGTCGATAAAGCTGCCCTTGAGTTGCTATGTATAAAAAAGCCATGTCCGGTCTTTAGGGATATCTACTAGGTATCTATGCCCACACCAGCTTCTTCAGCGAGTGGCCCAGCTGCTCCAGTAACCCGGTGCTGCGTCTCGCCGTGTCCAGCGAAATAATGTCGCCCTTTTCCACCAGCTTCTTTCTCTCTCCCCCTTCCTTGACAACCTGCCGTTCGAAAGCAAGGCGCTCAATCTCAGAGCATATTGTGTCGATCTTCTGCATCTCAGTCTGCCGTGGCCCCGCACCGCTGGCAGGCATTGAAGAATCGGCGTATGGCGCCTTGAATGCGAGCTTGCGAATGGCAGGCTCCTTGGGGCCGTTTGCTCCGGAGAAAAGGCCCGCGAAGCCAGCAGGCGCGGGCTGAGGCTCGCCAGTAGCCGTGAACTTGGGCGCGTCTTTGGTGGAGAGTGTACGAGTGTTCCTCCTCCGGACGTCGCTTTTGCCCGGTTGATACGACACCACGAAACCCACGTTCCTGGCCTCGTTCATGTGCGTCTGTGAGATGGTGGAGGTGATGTAAGCGCCAATTTTGATGTTCGTAATGCTCGCAAGGGTAACTCTTTCAAAGGACGACACCTTGTCCATATCCCAGTCAAAGCGGCAAAAGTACAGCGCAGCATCGGTCAGGAGAAGGACAGTCTCTTCCATTGGCCACGACTTGAGCACGTTGGCGGCATTGGGACTGATTAAAACCCAGCCGCCATGGAATTCTTCACTAACGTCTGCCACAACTCGCTTCTGGCACAACTCCACAGCACGCTCCCGCATTTTTTCTACTGAAACAGCAGGGTCTTTGGTCATCATATCCATCTCGAATTCTTCAAATACTTTGGCCGTGACATTTCCAAGCAGGAAATCTATGGCAGCTTGGCTGAAGTAATCATTGACCATGCTAAAGGGGAAGAGATGATCAGCCATTAGACTTGGGAAGAAGAAGAAGAAAAAGAAGAAAAGCAAGGAACTCACCCTGTATAGAGACGTGTTAGGGATATGCCGAGATCATTTAGTGCCCCCCTGTAATCCCTCTTTCTTGTCCTCGTATAGTCACCTTTCATAGCGGAGGTAGAGGCATACTGCTTTGAAACGGCATCGCCGTTATCAGCCCAGAGAGTATTAAACCAGGCCGTCTCTTGGTCTATCTGAGCACTCATGTCTATGCCCTCTTCTTTCAACTGCAAGTCTAGCATATGCTTTGCAAAAGAGCTCTGGCAGACATTTGTTCGGTCGAGGCAGTCCATACAATTTGTCCGAACGACACCTTGCTGCTTACGGACCAATTGACCATTATCCTTCACCGTGCTGCCGAGCGTCTCTAATTGATCTTTCAAGGTGGACAAAAGATGGCTGACGTTTTCGAACTTCATGCCTCGACAGGCGTGGTGAAAATCAAACCACTCAAAGGGTATCTTTGCCTTGTCATCAAGCCCGTCGTTGATGCGTGCCATCGTATTTTGATATTGAGTTCCAATGGGCCCCTCAACTCCACGTTTCTCTACAAGATTGACAATCTGTACCGTACCGTAAGATGCCGAGAGTCTTTCAAAGTGCTGCTTGGCGGCGTTGTAGTTTGTCTCTTCAGAGTGCTGCAAGACCGGCACAGGCTTGAGCGCATAGGCAGTCTGGGTAAAGAATAAGGGTATGCTGCCTCTGATCTGAGTAAACGAATACACTGGGGAAGAGTTATCCCATGCAGGGGATGACAGGACCTGCTCTGATTCGACAAAGTTGGCTGTAAAGCCGTCCTCGTCGATGCCGCGTCGGAGATATCGCAGCCCAGCCCTCTTAGTTGACCGTCGTGATATGAGAGTGATGAGGTAGCTCCTTTCAGTAGGTCGCAGCTCCAGAGAATGTCTCGCCGTGCCTGAAGGCGGCGAGGACGGGGCAGACGGTGGTGGCGAGAGATCTTTGAGCTCCATAGATTCTGCTCCAGGGTCATCTATCTGGGGAGGTTGAGAATCCGCCACAAAGGTTCTTTGGCCGACAAAGCCTTGCATCAACGGTAGAGCCAATGCATCCTGTCCGGCGTCTATAAATGGTTGAATAACATGCCGGTTCCAAAAGAATGTTTTCTTAACCTGCGTATAGAGGGACCCGTTGGGGTTGGCAGTCGACGCATTGTCACTTGGACTGCGGGTTATATCCACGTCATAGGAAAAGTAAAAACTACGTGATGAGCCAAAGAGGACTTGGATGGTTCGAAGCAGCTTCGGTAGGAGCGTGGATGCTGGGGCCAAGAGATTCTCATCCGCCTCTTGTAGGCTGGGGAGACTAACCACTGGGGTCTGCGAAGCTGACGGCACAAGCGGTGGCGTGGATGATGGCGAGTTGCTCATTCCCATAGTCCTTCTCTGGTCGACCGTCCACCCGCTGCGACTAAACCAGCGCTGTGCAAATCTCCCATAGCTGCCCCGTCTCCTAATCACGTCTTCGGCAACGCTGCTCTTGGGGTCCGACGGGGCGTCACCCTTGACGACAACGTCGTCGTCGACTTCCTCGTCAGGGGTCGAAAGTGGCATCTCGCTGTCCTCATCACTGCTGCTATCGTCATCATTATTCACGCTGCTGGAAGTCTCCGTACGCAAAAGGCGTGCTGTCTTGCGCACCGATTCCTCGGCTTCACTCTGCGACGAGCACGGCGTCACGGCCACTTGAGTGACGACATAGATGGGCAATCCAAAGACCTGGGCCACCTGCTCTCGGCGCGTAATCGTCACCAGATACGTCAATCGCGACACAGTAATCAATCCTGGCGACTGTTTAACACGCCGTCACATCACATCGACGCCAGCCCGGGACTCACCAACGACGCCGAGCGCTTCAAACCACGAATCGGGCTTTGCCGAATCCGGGGCCTGGTCGCGAGCTGCCGATACCGACGCATCGCCATACTTGACTCTCGCAGGCTGGAACGGTTTCTGTCCTTTGGAAGACAAGGGCTGGATGATGAGGCCGTCGACGGCGGCAAAGATCAAGACCTTGCGCGCAAGACCCGGCATCGTGCGGGGTCTGTGTCTCACCGCAGGAGGTTCCGAGAATTGGAGGAAATGCCGGGCGTCGGTCAAGGAGTCAAGAGCCGGGGCCCGTGACTACAAGGACGAGGAGGAGGAAGCCATTGAGGTGATGTTGAATCGAGGCGAATAATGAGGTTGTATTGAAGCTGAGTTCAACGTCATCAATTACACGTACATGTAGGTACTCCCGCCAGCGCCCAGAGGCTACAACGCCCCCTACGGCTCCAGGTTAGTGCTGCTTAGGCGAGCTGCTGTAGAAAACGTGGATGCGCCGTCCAACCAGGTTGAGGGAGCAATGGGGGGCTTATGGGGGACTCCATACGGCCATGAAATTTCGGTGATCAATGGAGCAGCGCAGCATGGCAATACGCTTGGGACATGTTGAGGCGTTTTGACATTGGCGCCATCCCCCGTAACCTTACTGAAACGTTGGTGCTTTTAAGCTGTATGCTAATATATCGGCAGGGCACTAGGTCACATCAATGAATATTGATGTATGTGCGAGGACCTTGGTAGGAGTAAATCTACCTCCTATTTTATCCAGCGGCGTTTCTATTTCCAGAGCATCCCAACTACCACCATCGTCCACCAATTCCTATCTACATGCTACTTATGTACCCTGAAAGGACATCAGCGGCCAAAGAGACACATCACATTGAAAGAACCTCGGGATTGCATTCCACATTCCACACGGGCTGGCCATTGCTACAGAGCACAAGCCAAGCGAGCTACAGCCTGAGTGAGATCAAAGGGCGCCATCTGTGTGTTGTGCTTCGGATTACAGTAGTGAGATGCAGAGGGGCATTGCCGTCGTGGTTGGTCGGTGACGGCAGGGATGCTTCACGACGACAAGAATGAGCAACTCATCTGCACAGCAGCTGTCGAGCACTCAACCACTCAATCCGCGGCCCAGAAAACCCGTGGGGTAGCTCCATCTGCCCGTCAGCAGCCATGGGAGCCATTTGCATCAATGGACAGGCAGCAATGCATCCCGAGCACCAGTCGGCGTTTGCGGCCTTGGTGGCCAACAGGACGAGCGTGATTGATGCCACCTGTGGACCTCATCTGCAGTTTGCACGTCGCCAATTGCATAAGCAGGCCAGTGAGGGGTTGCGACGCTGGCCAGACGACATGATCCGACCATAACTCGCCTACGCAATGCCCATTCACACGCATGCATCTGTGCCTAGCTGTGAGCATGAGAAACAGAGCCAGAGGCCGGCGTGATCGTGGCCGTCATCGTGCTGGTGCTGGTGGCCGTCATCGATGAGTGGTGGCATGGCGGCGGGCGGTTGATTGATTGACGTGGTGTCGACCCCTAGAATAAGCAGGCCGATGACGGGTCACGCCAAGCAGGAAAAAAGAGGCTCTTGCATTGATGACATGGGCAAATGGCTGGCTGCATCCCATTTGCTGCGATCGCCCATTTGACAGATCTGCTTTGTCGTGGTGACTGCTGGCATTTGGTTGGCGCGCCCCGAGTCGAGAAGAGGTACACTCTGCTAGCTTGCAAGTACCTTGGAAGGCGTCTGCCCTATCACGCAGGACCTTGCCGGTACTTCAGCCAAGAGCCGAGCGGCAGCTTTGTTTGGCATTGACCATGACGCTGAAAGGGGAGCGCCAGGGCCTGAAGGGCCTGCTGCAGCCAGGGCAAGTCACTTCGCACACAGCTTGTGCGCAGAGCTACCTACATGGCTGGGAGGGGGGCAGCGAGCCTGGATTGGGCTAAGCGGCCACCACCTCACCTCACCACTTCACAGGCCAGCACCAGCACTTTTTCTAGGGCCTGGCGTCAAATCTTCCGCTTTCTGTCCTTGGAAACCACCATCACGACCTCTCTTCACTCGCCGTCCCGGCCCCCTGGATCATCAACGAGGCGCCAGAGGACCGCTGCCCGCCTTTTTCTTGTCTTTCTTTCATCTCTTGTCCCTTATTGAACCCCCTCGTACGGTCTGGCCCGTCGAGACTGTTTGCTCGTGGGCATCGTGCTTCTTTGCCTTTCTCTTCGTGTCTAGCACCGCAGGACGGGTTGGGCTCCTCACTCCTCCTTGCGGCCCTTTGTTGTTCAATCTCCTTCGACTAGCCCTCTATCCTCGCACACCACCAACCGCTGCATGGTCTCTCTGATCCATCACTCGCTCCTCTCTCCGTCCCCGACGACCCCCATTCGTCCGCCGTCTAATCGTCTCGCTGAAGCCGCCAACGAAAAGCCCCATCATGGCCGCTGCCCACCGACGTAGAAAGCTCATCGGCCAACGACGCCGAGTCGAGGACGAGGGCGACGATGAGGGCCGTCCGGAGACGCTGGAGCTGGATGACGACTCCCTGACCGAGGGCTCCGTCATCTCCGACGACCACGATGGTGCTGACGATAGTGATACCAGCAACATCGACGAGGTGTCACCCACCTCACCCAACGCGCGCAAGTCTGCCAACGGCACTGCAAAGGGGGCCGGCCACAGGGCCGCCAGGGCTGGTGCTCAGGGAGATGGCAACAAGTCTGTATCGGATACCGAGTTGATGCTTCATGGACTGTCCATTGCGGATCGGCCGGACTCTGCACATGAGCTTCAGTTCGACGAGGTGACGCCGTCGCCACCCAAGTCGCCCTCTGCTCCTGTCATTGTCAGCTCCTCGTCTACCACACGGCCTCAGCCTGCGCAGCCATCCAATCGACGCCGACAAGAGCACGAGGATTACAAGCGCCGGAGAGACGAGGACCCGGCCTTTGTGCCCAACCGGGGTTCCTTCTTCATGCATGATCATCGGCATCCGGGGCCGGCCGCGAATGGGTTCAGGCCGTTTGGTAGAGGTCGGGGTAGAGGTGGTGGCCGCGGTGGCATAGGGGGCCCGTATGCCCCAATCAAGTAAGTCATCTCTCGTCTCTGTCATCGTCGTCGTCGTCTCTTTACATTCCTTCCATCGCCCACTTGGTCCTTCTCGTCCCATTTGCTAACCTCAATCTCGTAGCAGCCATCTACACCACCCCGCCGATCCGACCACAAACTCCCCATGGACGCACGACATGCACGAGACTGTCGCAGACGTGATCCCACGTCGCCCTCGACAGGCGCCTCATGAGGAGGGACCACCTAACGGCAACGGCTTCATCCCCACGTGCGAGCCTAGTGCGACTCCTATCAACCGAACCTTGTCGACTGAGAAACACATCGGCAATGCTCAAGTCCGCGTCATTCTGCCGGAGGTGGCAATCTCCAAGGTGTTCCCTGGCTTCCCGGTCAAGCAGTACACGAAGCTGCCCGACCACCGCCCGCCTCTACGTAGAGACAAGCCGGTGCGCATCTCGCTGCCGAACCATCCTCCGAGATACATCTTCCCAGCCTCGGACCGGTCATTCACCTTCATTCCCCGTGCGTTACGCCCCAACCAGCAGCGACTTAGAGGTAAGCCCCGGTCTGCATGGGGTTCCGTCGGTGGATTTTCACGGAGGACCAGCATATTTGGCGGGAGCTACTATGGCGGGAGCATATACTCCCCCAGCGCTGCCGTCAGCAGACGGTCATCCATCGTGGTGCACGACAGGGAGGCCATCTTTTCTCCCACTGGGTCCATCATCTCCCGCCCCGCACCTCAGGCCGATACCAGGCCTGTGGTCCGCCTACCCCCGGCTCCGCAAACGTTCAATATGCCGCCTGCTGGAGTTGAGGTGCCTGCAGTCCAACCGGAGCCAATGCTGATGGCTGGGCAAGAGGCGTCGATCGTCAACATGCCCCCGCCACAAACGCACCCTCTTCCGCAGAAGCCCAACTTCCAGGAGAACTTCCCGGCGTCGATTCCCATGCACCAGCCTCGCCCCCAGAAGAACATTTCTGTCGCGGGCATCGAGTCGCCGACCATGGCACAAAATGCCCCAGTCTTCCAGCAAGCCTTCCACCAGCAAATGCCTGTGCAGATGGCAAACGGATTCCAGGACTCGCACGCTCGTCGGCCCTCATACTCAACCCACGTCTCGACAGGCACCCCTCTGTCCCAAATCCCCGAGCGGGCTATACACGCCGCACCGTTCCAGCCCAATACGTATGGTCAAACGGCCTACTACGGCGGCCAGCCGTACCAACCTCAACCTCAACCTCAACAGGGATACTACTATCCGCATGGCTACTCTGGCCCGAGCATGCCCGCCTCTGCTGTCACCGCGCCTCCGTTTATTCCCCAAGGACAGCCGGGTATGCCTGGAAGCTTTACACCTCAGAATCCGGTCGAGCAGCCAGGCGTCACCGTGGCGGGGCCACCAGCACCCCCCAACACAAACCTGGTGGCCCAGGAAGTCAATGGCATGGTTTACTATTATGATGCTTCTCAGCTGCCCTCGGTAAACCCCTATCCGCCATACCCTGCCTCACAGCCATATCAACCTAGTGTGATGGGAATGGGCGGGATGGTGACTCCCAGTCCCGACGGCTTCTACTACCCTCAACCCGCGCCGGGCATGGTCTATTACTCACAATAGTATTGATTAGTGTGATGGATGTGACACGATGCCGGCATGATGATCGGCTTCTCGATGCTCATCGACCTTAATTACCCTATTTCTGACTTCATACATCTCACTCCTTCTCCTGCACTTCTTGTTGATTCCTTTTCCCTTTGGTGTCATGGGTTGGGTTTCTACGCATCATTCTTATCCATTTTCGCGGTTCGGGTGGCTGGGTGCTCAAAATCATGATATTCTTTATCTTTTTTCCCTTTTTCAACGCCTAGTATTGATTATTCTCATCATGCGTATCCTGGGTTGGCCAGCTGGGAACCCCAGGAGGGCCAATACGTCTTTGTGTGTGCGTGTGTGTTGGAGGAAAGGATCTTTTCTTGAAAACAAAAAACAGGTATTGGGAGTTGAAGGCTGACAGATGCTGTGGCCTTCATTGTGTTAGTTGTTGACGTTATCGTCACCACGGTCAATAATCGATGACCATAAGCGGAGGGATGGAAAACATGTTGCGGGATGCTCTTTTTTGTCAGTCTGAGCTAAAGGGGAAGAAACGCATGGGTAGCTGGGAGCGATTCTGTAGCGGCTTCATTGCGTATTTACCTTGTTAGCCCGGATGTCTTGTGCTGTTCATGGCAGCGGCGTTTAGTGGTGTTTGGAGGCACTTATGTAGTAGCTTTAAATGTGCGGGAAATGGAGTTGCACTACGTGGAGTATTTTTGTGTCTACTCTCTTTTTTGATCTTCGTTTGCATATATTTTATCAAGTGAATGGCTGTTTTTGGTGCTAAGCAGTGACCGTTTGATGCTGGTGAATGATGTGCTTTGACATCCGTGTCTTTTAAAGTATAACAGCTAAGTGATGGTAATGAGCACCTCAATCTTGGACTATAGTTTTACATCTTATCCTAAGATCTATCTATGTCATCCTACAAGTGCCTGCTCAGCTACCTAGTATAAATTGATTCAAGCCAGACATGCGGGCTTCCTGCAAGGTCGTATTTAGCTCTCCCTCTCCACCTACATCAATTAACTTTTTTTTTTCCCCATTTGGATGGCTCTTCGTTCCGTATTTGGGATTGCATTTTCTCCGGCTGCTATTTTTACTCGCTCGTTTATTTCTTCTACACCGTCATAGCCGAGAGAGCTCCGGGATGTGTAGGTTTACCGATGGCCCCTCACGCAGCGTGCCAAAAAGTGCCATCAGGGTAGCCGGGCGTAAATGCTATTAGTTGTGGAAAGCAGCCTGGTGAAATGGAATGAAGTAGAGTAGCGCGAGGCAGATGCAGTAGAATAGAACACTTGGGGGAACAAACGGAGCTGGAGGGGAATGGGGTACTGGGCTTGGCGGGATTGGGTGAAATGGGGTCAACGGTTGTTTTGAAGCGTGAAGCGAATGCTCGGTGTATCTCGGCATGACGCAGGAAGCAGGTAGAGCTCCCATAGAGAGGAAAATATCCTGTTCTCCCATTTCTAAGTGTACTTTGAATTTTATTGACCGCTAGGTGCATGGATTGGAGTGACAGGGTTTAATGAATCTCGTTGGATCGCCTTTCTTATAAAACCATACATACCGACCCGGAAAAGAGCCGCAATCACTCAAATGAATGCCGAGAGTGCCAGGGAGCAACGGTTTGTCTTTAACCAAAACAGCTGTGATTATTCGTCACTAGGGTATTGATAGAGTAAATCTCATCAGGCTGTCAGGCCGTCAGGCTTGTTGAACAGAATGGATACCAATGGTGCCTGCAGTTGCAGGCCTCCCGGCTGCTCCGTAGGCTGGAATATCATGGCTCTCTGTAGCACATGTAAGTTCTTTGTATTGATGTGTGCCTTTGTGTATCCTGCTGCCTAAATACGGAGGCTCATCACAACCGCCAGATCCCTTGTTCCATGCGACTCTAAAGACACGATTCATCATATCTGGCCTTGACGAGTTGCTACTCAAGAATGTGAATTACGCCTACAAGGCACAGCCTGCAGTCTTTCCGGCACACGTCTCTATCGACACCCAACCAGTGCCGAGCTGAGTAATACACAGCAGAAGAAATGTTTCTTCCCGTCCCGTGAAAATGGTAGTACCAGGTAGCAATGCTTTCAACACAGTCAAGACGCAAGGGGCCATTTGCGTCTATACTACTAAGATTTTAACGAGAGGTGCTGACAATGCAAGGGATGCTTTTGAACCGGCAGACGACATTCGTACCAGGTACAAGTATGTGAAAGGAAAGAAAAAAAAGTATCAAGCTTTAAGCAGGGCAAACTGGGCTAGCAATCTCATTTGATGCCTGGCCTCGAACGCTAGAGTGAGACATTGTGTTGAAATCATTGAAACCTTGAGTGTAAGTACAGGTCACTTTGCACGCCCGGAGTGCTCCACAGAAAAGAAGAAACGAAAAGAATCAAGCCTTCTCTCTCCGTCACCAGCACCGCGATGGTGTTGTATGTGGCTTCCCTCTCCCCTCCGACGGGACCCATGTGAATTGGAGCCTGTTTGCACACCACATCATGCAATCTTTTGTGCTGAGAAATGAATCTAGTGCTCGTCTGTCCTTCCCAATGACTACCAATCAATGTGGGAGCTTGTCTGGGATGCCCCGAGATGCTCGGCTCGGTGACACGATAGGTTGCCGCATTCGGCGCATCACGCGCACCGAGCGGAGCATCGAGTGCTTCACGTACTCGTATCGCGCTATGGCGACAGGTGCAGGCATTATATTGTCAGAGCATCTCACCACAAGTATGTACCGGGTACTTTGGCAGGAAAGGTGCCGGACCAGAGCTCACCGAGCCAGGTACATCCAGTAGCATCGGGTCTCGGGATTGGAGCTTGTAGTGTTTTGTTTGCCTTGGCTTGGGGATCTTACTTAGACTTTTGGAACGTCAGGCAATCTCCGCCGCCACGACGCCGTGCCATGGGATCTTGGTCTTATTCTCTCGAGAGAGCTGCACGTCCACAGCCCCGAGTGTGTCGTAATCGGCCTTTGCACAAGCCTGCCTGGGAGATGCCGTGGCGGCCGATCGAGCATGAATCGGGGCCAGCCATGGCCAGCCCTGAAACCGGGACCAGCATCACTAACACAACCTTATCCGCCGTCTTTGGGATTGGCTAGTCAGAGTAATACTGCTAGGTATTCAGTAGTAACACGTAGTCGCTGTCGCCTGAGAGGGGTCGGTCGCCAAGGCAAGGGAGGCCCAAGTATTGAGTACGAGGACAGTGTGGATGGACGAGGGAGAGCAGCTGGCGTGGCTCCTGTAGCCTGGGCTTGCTTTTGTGTCCCGTCTCCTCGCCTCACCCGCAGCCAATTGCTTGTGGGAGTGGCGAGCCGTCCAGGCATCCGGAGCCAGCTAATCTGCACCCTCAGCGCTATTGGCTCTGGCAGTGGCCAACAGCAGAAGTGAGGCTAGCCCCATGATGCGAGAGTTTGATGTTGGATTTTGAGTTGCCTGCCATCGGTCCAGTGGCAGCCTAGGTGGGAGCTTGGGAATGGATGGGCCGAGGATACCGTAGGCTGAAGCCGCCTTTGTCGCAGCCGGAACACGTTACCTAAAGTTTGCAGCAATGACAGCCACTGGTTTTTGGCTTTGGGGTTTTGGCATCAGAGGTACTCCGTCAAGTCAAAGGCGGCACACATGTGATGTGATGCAGCGCTCTGAGACAGCTGTGATCATTTCTTCCTGGACCGACCTCTTGCTGTTATCGTGCATCGTGCAATCTGCGCTTGACCGCCTTGGTGCTGGAATTCCTTCGCCCCACGTCGCCATTGGCCGCCATGAGCCCACCTCTCGCAGTCCCCCAGCCCGGACAGGCAGGGATTCATTCCGCCAGTGAACCCGCCAGGGCGCAGACAGTAAATCCTGGTGCGTAATGCACCGTGTGTCTGCTACTGCTGACGCGCCAGCCTTCTCCGCACTTGGCGATGTTCGCACTGTGTCGTCCTGGAGCTAGTCGCATCCACTCGCTGTCTTGGCCCGCTGAGCACCCGCTGCATCAGCGCTCAGTGGTGCTGCACCTCAGATGCTGCTTGCGGGTACGGTACCGAATACCGCTGCGGTACCTGAGCGTTCAGTGGCTGCGACGCTGGCTGAGTTGCTCCAGGTCGCTGTGACTCGCCGTGACTCGGCGTGGCCCCACCCGCAAAAGTGCAAATCAGTGTTGCCTCATCGCCTCCCTGTCGGTGTGCCAGAGCCAGAGCCAGTGCCAGAGCCAGTGCCAGAGCCGAGTCTGCGTCACTGCGTGTCATGTAGCCGCAAAGTACCTGCTGCAGGTATCTGGTACTTGCGCCAAAACTCTCCAGTTCCGGCTCTTCGCCTGCTGGCCGGCTCGCCTACCCCAGTCAGCCTGGCGTCTGGAGCTTCTCTCCCAACCACGCAATCGTCATCTCTCCTCTCCTTCTCTCCTCTTCAATCATCTCCCATTTCCTTCTCCCCACAAAAGCATCGCATCGCCTCACATCGCCTCTTATATTGCCATCTGTCCTTTATCACCCGTGTTTATATACAGAGCAGCCAGCTCTGGATAGCACCGACCAAAGGGGGAAAGTTGTTATCGCGTGAGTTGCTCCTCCGGTCGCCCACCGCTTCGTCATCATCTAATTGTGCTGCATCTTGCTAACGCGGCATCGCCATCACAACAGGTTGCCCATCATGGCTTCTGTCCCCCAGCTTGTTCCTGAGACAATGGTCACCCTCAAGGTGACCTTTGAGAATACCACTCGTCGCGTCAAGATGCCACTGCGCGACATGGTGCCGCAGATTCTCGAAGCCAATGTAAGTGCTTCCATCAATTTTTCATCGTTTATTCCTGCCCATTCATCATACTCTTTGCGGTGACGCAATCACCCCGTTCATAAGGCACCCGGTATAAACGCCACAGAGATATTGGAGAGTCGCTGACATTTGTATTCAGATCCGGCACTTCCTCCACATCCCACTGGAGACCCAGGTCATCATCGAACGCTACTCCGACTCTGCCAGCGCCTTTGTTGTTCTCGATTCCAACAACTTGCCAGTCTACAAGCAACTGTATAGAGCCGCAAAAGCCAAGTCAAAGCTGAAACTACATGTTTCTGTCCCTCAGCTGGAGCCGAAGACTCCGCCAAAGCCCGTCACAGTAGAGGACGAGCCGGAAGCCTCCGTGGCAGAGACCTACGAATCCACCGAAAAGATTACTCCTACCGAGAGCGACGAATCACCTTCAACAGCCGAGCCTGCTACGGAGATGCCAGTGCCGTCAGCAGCTCCGTCTTCCATTACCCTGCTCTCCGGAGTTGAGTTGCCTCTGCGAACCTCTGAGACGACCAAGGTTGAGGAGGAGATTGAGCCTCCGGTTGCTCAGAAGCTACCGGCAAATTTTGCCCAGTCTGCTCCCTTTGACCCTCAGTCAATATACTCTTCATTCGACGACTATTGTGCTCCCGCTGACGTGCAAAGTCTTCGTGTTGTTGCTCCCGCTCCGTTTGCTGTCTGCTGCAACCACTGTGAAAAGACAGTTTCAGACGTCCACTATCACTGCCAGACCTGTGACGACGGTGACTTTGACCTCTGCCAAGGCTGCGTCGATGAGGCTATTAGCTGCTATGATGACAACCACTGGCTCATCAAGCGGATGATCATCGACGGCCAGCTCGTTACCAGCAGCACTGAAAAGGTTGAGCCCAAGTCCCAAGCCAAGAAGCAGACTGAGAGTCTCGTTCAGGAGGCCTCTATTCTTCCGTCAATTGAGACCCCCGAAAAGGAGGAGAAGGAGACCCTGAAGATTACCCGTCCTGAGAAGGCTTCGGAGCAACCTCCCGTTGAGGAGCCATTGAAGGCCGTCAACGATACTCCTCTCTTCGTCCCCCCCAGAGCTCCATTTGCTGGTGCTGCAGGCTCTAGGTGGTGCATGGGCACCATGCGAACATGCAACTGCTGTGTTCAAGGTTTGTCTAGATGAATCCACCTACATGCATGAAATATACCAAGCTAACACATGATATACAGAGCTTCCCGAATGGGAGTTCCTCCACTGCACAACTTGTGAGGACTTCGATCTTTGCCAGGCATGCTTCACCAAGGACGCCCATGGTCACCACCCCAAGCATGCCTTTATTCCTGCTGTTGCAGGCACCAAGATGCCAGACCACGTTACTGTTAGAATGGGCGCTGGCCGCAACCAGGCGCACCATGCCATCTGTGACGGCTGTGACAAGTACATCACTGGCGTCCGTCACAAGTGCCTGGACTGCCCAGATTGGGATTACTGCTCCGATTGCATTCCCAATGCGGCCTTTGTCCATGCCAACCACCGCTTTGCGCCCATCTATGAGCCTCTTGCGGACCTCCATGCCTGCGCGGCTGCTCAGCCAGTGCACATGGGCATCTGCTGTGATGGGCCCCTGTGCTCCAACACTCAGGGCTATCCCACATACATCAGGGGCGTGCGCTACAAGTGTGCAGTCTGCCACGACCTTGATTTCTGCGCAAGCTGCGAGGCCAACCCCGCCAATGACCACAACAAGACACATCCTCTCATCAAGTTCAAGACGCCTGTTCGCCACGTTAGCGTCACCACTACTGGCGAGCACCAGGATGGAAAGCGCATGCCTCCCATGGGCGACCGTGCTAAGAGCATCTTCAGGCCTTCAGAGACTTCGACTCTGAGTGATAGCAACACTATCAACGCTGTGCAAACGGTTGTTGATGTGAAGCCTGAGGAGCCCGAGACCGAAGAGGTCGAGGTCAAGCAAGAGCCTGAGGTTGAGGCCGAGACCAAGGAAGTCGAGGTCAAGGAGGAGCCTACTCCTGAGATCAAGGAGGAGGTCAAAGAGGAGATCAAGGAGGAACAAGTTGCTGAGCCCGTCTCATCATTCAATGAGAATGACCTCCGCGCCGTCTTCATTCGCGACGTCGTCCATGATGGCACAATCATGCCACCTAACCAAGTCTTTGAGCAGACATGGGTGCTCCGCAATGAGGGCACTGCTACCTGGCCTGCTGGATGCTCCGTCAAGTTTGTTGGCGGCGACTACATGGGACATGTTGACTCTGCCCATCCTGCTGGCATCTCAGAGCTTGTGTCGGCATCAGAGTCGACAGTCTGCTACGCTCCGCTTGCCCCCGGCAGCGAGTTCCCATTCACCGTGCTGCTCCGCACTCCTGCCCGCGCTGGTCAAATCATCTCTTACTGGCGTTTGACCACTCCTGAAGGATTCAAGTTCGGCCACCGCCTCTGGTGCGACGTCAATGTGCGCATGCCGCCGCCTGCTGAGGTCCTGCCGGCGACCACGGTCGAGGAACCCAAGAAGGAGGAGGAGACCCAGACCGGTAGCGTCATGATCTTCCCCAAGCTTGACAAGGAGTCACCTCACTCTAGCATGCACGCAGAGATGCAGGCCGAGTCTGTCTCTGGGGCCGCCGAGACCGACGCTCAGACTGCCAGTGGCGAGGAGTACGAGTGGGATGGATCGGATGATGGGTTCATGACCGACGAAGAGTATGACATCTTGGATGCCTCTGACGAGGAATATCTGGAGGATCGCGAGAACAAGAAGCTGAGGAAGTAAGGGATGATTTTTTTTATGAGCAAGAATTTTTGTAACGGAATATGGGATCTTTGGCGTGCGTTTCTTTTACTTCTCCCCTACCAAATGGGCCCCAGTACTGTACTTCTCTCCATTCCCTCTTATTCGGGATTCCTTTTTGCTGGCAGTCGCCACGCCCTCTGCCTATGGCCTGAGCTCTAGGTTCTGAAGGCCGGCGCAACAAGTCTGGCACGACTCTCGTTTGATTTCTATCTAGTAATTGTAGGATTTGATTAGGAATAGGACGCTATTATTGACTTTTATTGTTAAAACTATTATTTCTTTTTTCCTTTTTTCTTCTGTTTCTTTCTTTCTTTTTTTTTTTTTTTGTGTCCCTCGTGATGAGGCCGCCCTTGTTATCTTTTTCCTGTTTTTTCTTCTTTGTTTCCTGCCTGCTGGGTGGGTGGTGCTCGGTACGGGGTACCAAATGAGTACTTGTATTCCGTCTGCGCAGATGCGCGGCATGATTGGCTGCGGTTGCGACGTACGAGTGCAAGAAAAATCTGACAGGGTGCCGTTAATGGGCAAGGCACGCCCGAGAGGTGCAGCGGCGATGGTGTGGTGCCTTGGTAGCGCCGCGGTAGCAGTGACCTCAGCCCCGACAGTCACCCGACGACCTGCGTGCAGCGTCAACTACGAGTTCTTACCACTCACTAGCATCAACTGACAGCTTACATAAGGCGCCGCCCCCATCTCCACCTGCGTCCTCCTGCGTCTTCCTGCCTCTCGCTCTCCCCTTCCCTTCCTTTGTTTTCGCCTCAGGCCGACCAGGCATAACCTAGACTGGAGGGGCGCAGAAAAGCGGGCCCGTGCGTGCTTCCCTGTCGAGCCGCTATCTATAACCCCTTGCCGCGCTGCTCGTCTCGTTTTTTTTTCTCTCTCTGCGCAGGTGCCGCCAAAACAAGCTGCGGGCCATCACTCGACTCGACTGTCAAAACACCGTCGCTGGTTGTCGTGTCAACTCTCAGCAACGCCCAGGGCCGGATGCCACCAACTGCATCAGCGCTGCATCGCGACGACCTTTGACGAGCCCCTGATTTGGGTTTTTCTTTGTGCGTTTGCCGCCCACACTCTTTTTTCTTGCGGTGAATCGGCCACTCAGCTTGTGCTCCGTCGAGAGTGCTTGCCCTTTGACGGCGTGTTTTTTTTTTTTTTTTTTTTTTTTTCGCCTCTGGGCCTTGTGGACTACCGCTTTTGTCCCCTTAGCCGTTTTCATCCACCTACCCTGACGCGACGCCGCAAGATATATCATCATCGCGCCTCGTCGCTAACCACTCCACCTTGTCCTCCTTCCCACCTCCCCTCCCCTCCATCATCTCTCTACTGTTGCCGCCATGGTTACCTTCGCCCTCCCCGGCGAATACGACGGCGCGGATGCTGCTGGCATCACTCCCAAGTCACGTCCTCCTCTGCCCTTTGCGAAGCGCACTTACGTCGCGACGCCCTATGCTAAGCGCCTGGGAACGCCTGCGACCACATCGCGCAAGCTACTGATTACGCGCGATGAAACGATGAATGGGGACACCGTCTCCTCGTCACGCAACAACCTCTTCAGAGCGTCAGCCGTCGAGAGCCCGCCGACAAGCACCTTCTCTCCCAGTCTCCCTCAGACCACGATGAAGAAGGTCTTTGCTCCAGGCGTGACGCCTGTGCAGAATCGCGTTTACCGCGAGACTATCGCTCGTGCGACGCCACGCGGCTTGGCTGCGAACTCCTCGGATAAGGAGTTGTTCAACATGCGAATCTCATCGCCTCCTGCAGAGCTGACTGGCGAGGTCCTGGCGAGCAAGGTTCCAAAGGACTGGAATTCTAAGGGATCCATCTATGCCGACCAGTTCTTGGCCCACCTCTGCCCTCCAAACCTCGACGACGAGCAGCGTCGCCAGTTCTTCTGCATTCTCGATCTACGCCGACTGAAATATGCCGCCAACGAGATCTTCACCAAGAAGAGCTGGAAGCTCAACATCATGAACTTTGCCAAGGAGTTCGAAAAGAGTCGAAGCATTATCCTGCTCCGATATGGGCTTTACGAGTTCCAGAGTGTTAAGCCATCTAAGGAAGTTCTCAAGCGATGGCGACGAGAGCACGGCTTACCCGATCCTGTGGAAGAGGAGGATGAAGAGGGCGTAGCCGCCAGAGCTCTGGATGGCACTCCAAGCAAGCCGGCGGCTGCCAAGAAGCGGAAGGCCGATGACAACCTATCAAAGGAGACTGCTGATGCTGCTGAGAATGTGGTTTCACCAGTCAAGCGAAGGGCTACTGTCAGAGATGAAGCAGACGAGCCTACTGCCAATACTCCAGCTCCTACCAAGAACAAGAGAAAGGCCACTGTCGAGGAAGAGTCGCCGGCCAAACTGCAAAAGACCCCTTCTTCTTCCGCCAAGTCACTCTTCGAGAAGATTGCCAACAAGCCGGCTGTTTCTCCTGTCCCTGTCAAGGCAGCTGAGAAGAATGCAGCCAACGGTAGACTCTCTCGCTCAGTCTTCAACAACAGCTTGAAGCCCCCGGCGAATGGCGTTAGCAACGGCAACATTTTTGGCTACCTGTCTGACGCCAGTTCTGCCAAGAACAGCGGAATCGAAGCTGATGCTGAGAGCGAGAGCGAATCTGACGAAGAAATCGAAGAAAGCCAGGAAGCTGCTCAGAGCGACGAACCTAGTGGCGCTGGTGACGCTTCGCCTCAAACCGGGTCCAACCTGTTTAGCACCAAGCCGTCGACTACCTTTGGCACTGGGGTATCTAGCGCTGCAGGCACCCGAGAGAGCACTCCAGGACGCAGCCTATTCGAGCGCATTACCAAGGGTCAAGATGGACAGCCGGTTCGGGCTGATCAGAATGCAGAGGATGTCGTTGCCAAGCCCCCTACCTCGTCCTTGAACCAGACTTGGAATCCCACCAGCGCTCCCCTCAAGTTTGCCCCTGCTGCGCCTGCTTCTCAGAATGGCTCGCTCTTCGCTAAGTCAACTTCTGCTCCCCCCGGCTCCATCTTCGCACCCAAGAGCACCGCACCATCCAACATTTTCGGAGTGTCCAAGCAAGACCAGAGCTCCAAGGCCAACACACCCCTTTCAGAGACTGACGTGACTGGCGGAGAGTCTGATAAGGAAAATGACTCCCAGCCTGCCAAGAGGCTGTTTTCTGAACCCAAGGTGTCTGCTCTACCAAGCACCACCACCGCCACGCCACTCTTTGGTCTCAAGCCTGCTGCGGCCGAGCCCATCAAAGTGAGCGAGCCCGTCAAAGTAGCAGCTGCCACTACCAACCTGTTTGGCGCCATCGGAAACTCTGATGCAACCTCCAAACTGTTTGGTGATGTCAAGACATCAATCCCTTCGGCACCTACTTCCGCTCTCTTTGCCCCCAAGAAAGAGCCTGAGAAGCCTAAGGGCAACGGCCTCTTTGGAACCTCCGACGCAAACCCTCTGACTGGCGCATCTGCAGCTCTGTTTGGCATCAAGCCGGCAGCAGCACCATCTGCTCCTACTCCCGCTCCCGCCCCTACTACCAGCCTGTTTGGCACTGCGCCTGCAGCGCCTCCTGCAACAACCACTCCAGCTGTTTCGACCAACTTGTTTGGTGCCGCAACCCCTGCATCCACATCTACCAATCTCTTTGGAACTGGCACTTCTGGTTTCGGTTCTGAGCCTGCTAAGTCAACGCCTGCCCCCTCGACATCTACCAACTTGTTTGGCGCTGCTTCGCCGGCTCCAGCAACTTCTTTGTTTGGCGCCCCTAGCGCTGTGGCGGCCAAGAAGGATCCTTCTCCCCCTGCCAGTGTCCAACCCGCCTCTGCTCCTCTTTTCAGCTTTGGCACGTCGGCAAATGCAGGCCCTAAGCCCACTGAAACTTCCCAAGCCGCTGCCAAATCTCTGTTTGGTGCTCCAAAGTCCCCTCCCGCAGCCACTTCCAGCTTGTTTGCTGGAAGTCCAATGAAGCAGGATGCTGCGTCGCCGGCCAAGAAGCCATTTACTGGCCTCGGCACCGATACTTCGGCTCCGCCTCCAGTGTTCAGCTTTGGGGCAGCTAGCGCAAGCTCAGGTTCTTCAAACTTATTTGGCAACCCTGCGAACTCTGCCCCCGCTCCGGCTCCTATTTTTGGCGCTGCTCCTTCAAGTACCCCATCGGGATCTGGAGACAACAACGGCGGCAGCTTCAACTTCAATTTCGGATCGGGAGGAGCATCTGCCCCAACGGGCGGCTTCAACAACCCTTTCTCATCTGGCACCACTAGTGGAAACGCAGCCCCGGCCCAATCATCGGCTCCTGCTCCCGTGTTCTCCTTTGGTTCTTCCACTCAGCCAGGAGGCTCCGGAGGCTCTGGAGGCTCTGGAATGTTCCAGTTTGGCAGCGGTACCGGAAGTCAGCCATCTCAAGCATCAACGCCTTTGTTTGGTGGTGCCTCGGCGTCGTCTACCAGCGCACCGTCGTTTACTGCCACGGGCCCTTCAAGTCAACCATCGACTTCTATGTTCTCCTTTGGAGCAAGCCAGCCTTCCTCCGGGTTCAACCTCGCACCGCCAGCTGGTGGATCCTCGACCACCGGGACCAGTAAGTCACCTTTTCCGAACCGGAAAATCGCCCCGCTAAAGCGTCGGGTCTAGACTCTCCATTCAACCTCGGGGGAGGCTCTAGCTTGGCAACCACACCAGCTGGCGGGACTCCGGAACCATCGGCCCAACTGAAGACGAACACTAGCGCAGCTGATAACAACGACGAGGAGGGCGAGAAGCATGAGCAGATCAGCTTGACAGACGGCGCTGAGAAGGATGAAGAAGTTTTATACGAGGTTCGTGCAAAGGTGCTGAAGTTTGTCCCCGCTGGGGAGGCGTCTGAGAGCGAAGAGAAGAAGTCCAAGAGTCCCTGGGCCACCAAAGGTGTTGGATCCTTGCGCTTGTTGAAGCACAAGGAAGCCAACACTGTGCGCTTGCTCTTGCGAGCGGAGCCCAGAGGTAATGTCGCGATGAACCGCTCTGTGCTGCCGGATTTATCGTACAAGGCGGATGAGAAGTATGTGAAAATGACTACGTCGAATGACACGGGTGACGGCCTCGAGACCTGGATGATCCAGGTGAAGACAAAAGATGTGGCCAAGGCGCTGGCCGAGGCGTTGGAGACTCACAAGGCGTTAAACAAGAAATAATGTGGAGGAGCATGGTGCATTTTACGACTGGGCTGTTCATCAAGAAATGGAAGGATGGGGGAGCTCGTGGGGTTTGTCCTTTTTTTTAGCATTGCGGGCGTTAGAAAGCATTGAAGCTGGATGCAGTTTGGTTTTTTTCGGCTGGGTTCTGTGAAGAATGAAGCTCTATATATCCCCTGGAGCAATCATGACCTTTGATAGTGATGATTTACTCTGCCCCCTTAACATCATGATACTGTAATAACAATTCTGTACTTCAAAATATTTCCTGAGCACGCTGCCGGTCGGAGAGAGGAAGTGGTTGTTGTAGAAGATGTAGTAAAAAGTCGAGCGTTTGCAGCATGAAACATGTTTGACTAAGTGTGATCTCTGAGGATGAAAAATATGACTTCCATGTTGTAGAGAGGCCTTGTAGATACCAGCTTTAGTGATCTTTTATAGAAGAGCTGCTCTTGTCTGTGGGGGCGGGGAGTCGCTATCGATAGCGGTACTTGAGCAGCCAAGTGCGCGTGGCGCGTCTGCAGCTCGCTGGCTCTGCTATAACCACAACTAAACCTCTTACACCACAGCTCCCATCGCGAGCTTGCAGCCCAACGCCAACAGCGATGCCACGGTACGACTTTGCATTGCCCGGGGGAAACATGCCGATTGATGGACTGGACTGACCTGCTTCTCATCTTAGCGAGATCATCACCATCCAAGCTGGACAATGCGGCAACAGCAGTGAGTGTCATGCGCTTCGGCCTCTCTCCTCCCCTTTGTTTGTTTATGCATCGCGGGTTCTATTTTTCGGGGTGGCGGAGAATGGCTTTTTGGGTGTCTGTTAATGTTTACTTTGGCTGACCGGTGGGGGGTTTTTTAATCCCTTTCTTTTTCTAGTTGGAAGTCAGTTCTGGCAGCAGCTTTGCCAGGAGCATGGAATTAGCCAGGATGGCAATCTGGAGGACTTTGCGACGGAGGGCGGCGATCGCAAGGATGTGTTTTACTACCAGAGCGACGATACGCGGTATATCCCCCGGGCGATTCTGATTGACCTGGAACCTCGAGTATGTCCTCTCTCCCTATCCTTCTGCTTCTCGCCTCTATTTGTACTACATCAATGCTGGGAAGTGAACAAGAGTGCTGATGCGTGTGATTTTGTCCGCAGGTATTGAACAGCATCCAGACGGGCCCGTATCGAAATATTTATAACCCAGAAAACTTTTACGTTGGGAAGAATGGAATGGGCGCGGCGAATAACTGGGGTGATGGTTATCAGAGCGGTGAGGCAGTTTACGAGGATGTAATGGAGATGATTGACCGAGAGGCGGATGGAAGCGACTCCCTAGAGGTGAGGATATCTTTGGCCGCCCCCAGTTATGTATCGTATGCTAACCACTAGATTGGTATGTTATACGCAGGGCTTCATGATGCTTCACTCCATTGCCGGAGGTACTGGCTCAGGTCTGGGATCGTTCCTCCTTGAGCGCCTCAACGATCGGTTCCCCAAGAAAATCATACAAACATACTCCGTCTTCCCCAACACAACAAATGCCCCAGACGTCGTGGTTCACCCTTACAACAGCATCCTTTCCATGAGGAGACTGACACAGAATGCCGACTCTGTTGTTGTCCTGGACAATGGTGCGCTGTCACATATTGCAGCAGATAGGCTGCACGTTCAAGAGCCTTCGTTTCAGCAGACAAACCAGCTGGTGAGTAGCGGCAATATATACGGCATAAGGCTTAAATTGCGGAGAGAATGGATGGCTAAATGACAGGTTAAATACAGGTCGCAACTGTCATGTCTGCGAGTACGACGACTCTCCGTTACCCCGGCTACATGCACAATGATCTGGTTAGCATCCTAGCCTCGCTGATACCGACACCACGATGCCACTTCCTCATGACGGCCTACACACCGTTCACCGGTGACCAAGTCGAGCAGGCCAAAACGGTCCGCAAGACGACGGTGCTAGACGTGATGAGGCGGTTGCTACAGCCAAAGAACCGCATGGTGTCAACGGTGCCAGGAAAGAAGAGTTGTTATATTTCCATCTTGAACGTAATTCAGGGAGAGGTTGATCCGACAGATGTGCACAAGAGTTTGTTGCGTATCAGAGAGCGAAAGCTGGCCACGTTTATCCCATGGGGACCTGCCAGCATTCAGGTGGCTTTGACAAAGAGGAGCCCATATATGCCCATGAGCCATCGCGTGAGCGGGTTGATGCTGGCAAATCACACGAGCATTGCTACGGTTCGTCACTCTCGACATTTCTCCAGTTGTTGTTCCCCCTTTTGTCTGTTTCTAGACGCTTTCTTTTCCCATGGTTGCTAACAAATTTTGGTGCAGCTCTTCAAGAGGATATTAAAACAGTACGACGGCATGCGCAAGCGCAATGCCTTTATCGAGGGCTACAAAAAGACGGCGCCTTTTTCGGAAAACCTAGACGAATTTGACGAGGCAAGGCAAGTAGTGTCTGACTTGGTGATGGAGTACGAGGCCGCCGAAGATGCGGACTACTTGAACCCGGACAACGGTGACAAGGCCACGTCTGCCGAGACGGATAGGCGAATGGCATAGGGTGAAAATGGCGCTTGTTTTTGCCATGTTATGATACGTCAAGGACTGTGTGCGCTGGATAGAGCGGACGGTTCAAACCCGACTGATGACGAGCTGGAAAGAATTGGAGCGGCCGGCGTTTTAGGCAAGGAAATGCATTGCGATATATCACTGTTTTTCTTGTTTCTGTTTTCTTTTATCAGAGTAGCCAGCTGGCCAAAGGCAAAATCTAAGCAAAGTTGGCATATTGGGGATTCGCTTTGAGTAGGATGATGCAGCCAATGTCAAATTCAATGGACCCTTTAACCCCCCTTTCGACGACTCTTTTTTGTAGAGCCGAGGAGAAATGCAGTACAACACATAGAGAGATTATTGCCTCTTTTCAAGTTTCCGAGCATGATGCCTTTTTTCTCGTCATTAACGTCGTTAAATCCAAATCCCATCAATATATATTCCTTTTTTCCCAGTCCTTTATTTTTTTTTATTTTTTTTACAGCTCCAACGCCTTGACAGCCATCTCCATAGCGCCCTCAAACGTCTTGTTACCGCCAATGAAGCCCGCGGCATGGACAAACACGCAGCCGTCAATGCCAGCAACACCATCCAGCTCCGCATCGCGGAAGCCGCGCCAGGCCTCGGGCAGGGGCTTCCTGCTGGTGAAGGAGTCCTGGGTCTCGGGCACGCACTGGATGCGCCACTTTGCGCCGGGCTGGGTGCTCTCGGCGTAGAGCACGTAGAGCACGGAGGGGTTGCCCTCGCCCTCGAGGCTGTAGAGGTGCTCCTTCCAGGGGACGCTCTGGCCCTCGAGGACGAGGATGCGGCCCTTGGGGTCGTGCTTTTGGCGCTGGTCAAAGGCCGTCTGGACGATGGAGCGGGCGGGCAGCCAAGCGGCCGTCATGAAGTCGAGGGTGCGCTCGAACTCGTCGCCGATGCGGGCGCTGGCCTTGAGGAAGAGCGCGTCCTCGGCCTGCTGGGCGGCGACGGGGTCCGCGGGCTTGGGGTCGTTCCAGGCCGGGTTGAGGCGGCCGACCATTGCGCCGAGGGTGAAGCCTCCCGTGCTGAAGCGCTGCTCGATGCCCGCGGCGGCGAGGGCGTCCCTGTCGTAGCGCGAGATGCCGTTGTCGTGGGCGTCGACGGCCTCGATGAAGTTTTCGTAAATCTTGTTGTACAGCAGCTCGACGTCCGGGCTGGCGTCGTCGTCCGTCTTGAGGCGCTGGGCAATCAGCTGGCGGCCAAAGTGCATGTAGACGAGCCCCGCCGACGACAGCTTGGTGTTCTTGCCGGGGAACGTGGTGTCGAAGCCGCGCTGGTGGTGGTCGTAGCGGTTGCGCTGGGCGTCGTACTCGCCGCCGACGTCGACGACGGTGTGGCACGTCTCGAGCGTCTTTGGGTCGCGCGTGCGCACGAGGGCGCTGTCGCGGTACGAGGGCAGCATGCGCAGCATGTGCACGGCGAGGGCCTCGTCGGCGTGGAAGTGGCCGTTGTGCGTGCCGACCAGGACGCCGGCGTCGGTCTTGAGTCTCTTGGGAGCTGATTCGGCCATTGCGGTGAGCAGGCGACGGAACATGAACTTGTGAGAAATTCTCTTTTTTTTGTTTTGTTTTGTTTTGGGAAGAGGCAGAAGAGAAAAAAAGGGCCCGGAGATGGTTGGGCACGGCTAAAATTTTGGAGGAGAGGCGAGGCTGTGAGGACGGGCCAATTGGGGGGCGGGCATCCCCGCTATAGCACCCCGCCGGGAGACGAGGCTGCCCCTCTTTTGCAATTGATGGCGGCGATGTTACTCTCCCAATCTCCCAAGTCTCCCCATACTATCGTGCTCTAGTGCTACCGTAATGTTCGCTGTATTGTATCTCATCCATCTCTTAGTTGCCATCAACGCTCTATAAGTACATTGAACTGTTCAAGTCTATATACGGCATCAACAGCCCTTATGTATTTGCCGAACCTGCAGCGCAGCAGCTGGATTCTACCAAAGTTTGCCATGTGGCTGCCATTGAATCATTGGCAGCTCGAGTCCAAATCGACGCACAGCACATACATCATGAATAGGTACACACAGATAGGTATAATATGTATGTAAATAGCAAGTACATAAAACTGTTAGCGGTTGGAAACCCTGTAGTAGCAGTTAACTACCTCATCTCGGACTCGCAAAGCAATGCGACACAAAAGTCGGAATAGATAGACAGGATAAGAGAAGAGAAATCCCCGAAAAGAACAGAAAAGAACTAAAAGAAAAGAGATCGCACGACATATAACAAACAGTCTTTTCTTTCCTCTTGTCCCCATTCTCTAGCATAGAAAGAGGAAAGAACTCAAAGCACGATGAAGAGAAGCAAGAACATGAAACAGCTCCAAGACGTAGTGTGTCCATTGGTACTTGAGGGGTTGATTGTTCGTTTGTGTTTTCTTTTCTTTTTTTTTTTTTTCTGCGCAAGATTCATGGCGCCCGAGATTTGATAATGAACATTTCCTTCCGCCCAGTCCTATTAAAACGCCAATAAATCAGAAGAAGGAAAACTGAAGGAAGAAAACTAAGGCTCGTGAAACAACAGAATTTTTTCTCATCCCACTTCAAATCAATCCTTCATCTCAAACTCTCTCCTCCCTTCGCAATGAGCATCTTCGTACATGAAATGTTAATCAAGGCAGAACGGAAAAAAAAAGGGGGGGGAGAAGAGAAAAATCTCATCCATGCATGTCTGATACGGCACACGTTGTCTGCGCCTCGTTTCATGTCGCCTCCAAGTAAAACCCCCATAGAAAGCATTCCTTTGGCATCTTATTGCCTCCATACTACATGTAGCCCCGTTACATTGGCGGGTATATATCGAGTCTGGTCATGCATGAGAGGCTATTGCCGAAGAGGCATGGCCTCTCCAGCAGCGATGGGCGCTCCAGACAGTCCAGTGACGACGGGCTTAGCCTCGAGGCCCTCGGTTGGCTGGTCCTTCTTCTCTTCGCCACTCAGCGTCACCTCGCCCTCAGCTGACGTCTCTCTGTTCAAGAAGCTGCCCTCCTTGATGGGACTGCCGGCCTGGATGCCTGGGATTGACCCGCGGTGAGTGTGTCCGGGGGTGTTGGGGCCGCCGTTGGTGGGAGATGTCAGGTGCGGGATGTTTTCGGGGACGGGGTGCTGCGAGCCTACGGCGCCAGCGTCGACGCCGTCGCCCTTGCCGGCCTTGGACATGGCATAGTCGCCCGAGTCGAAGTATTTGCGGTCCTTGAGGTGCTTGGCGAAGTGGTCGGACCGGGACGGCAGCTTGCCGTAGAGGCGGAAGAGACGCTGCTCATCCGGCGAGAGCGACTAAAAGGGCGCATTTGGCGGGTTAGCATACGTGGCCTTGAAGAGGATGCGATTTCCGCTGCCGACATGTCATGCTCCTTTGCATTGCTCGTGTGACTCAACAAGGGCGGTCAAAGCTGCCAGCAGCGTCATGGGCTTCCCATCTGGCGTTGCCTGGCAATTTACCCCAACGCTGGGCCAAGCGGAGGAGGGGTAACGGAATAGAATAGCAACGGGACAGGCGAGGTGGCTCTCACATTGATGTCGACCTTGTTCTTCTGGTGAGGGTTCATGATCACTCGAGAAAAGGGTCAAGCAGAGTATCGAATCGACTTTGTTCTCAGACCGCTCGTCGCACTGGCACAAACAAAAGAGGGCTGTCAAGCTCTAGGGCCTCGGAAAAGTCGACGAGCCGTTGTGCGTTGAGCGTCAAGAGGGGTGAATGCGGGGGGGGACAAAGGCAGTTGAGTTTGAGTTGAAGAGGGAAAAGAAGGAGAAGAGTAAGAGTCAAAAAGAGAGAATCGGGCGTCGTTGGATAAGAGGAGGAGGACAATATTGACGTGAATAGAAATAAAAATAAAATAAAATAAAAAAAATAGTCGGTCCCTGAAGGGTACTGTCTGCTGCATACAAGGTACCGGTCAATTGTCACAAGAGGGGACAAGGAGCAGGTGATCCAGTTGATCGATGGGCCTTTTTGGGGCCGCGCTTTGGTTGGCTCGGCAGTGGCTGAAGCAGCTGCAGCTGTAGCTTCAATGCTGCTGCTACTGCCCAATGCCGCTCTTCTTTTGGGATTGATGTGACCTGATTTACAGTGGCGATTTCTGTGATGGCTTTTTTTAATTTCCTCTTTTTCTTTCATTTTCTTCTTTTGATTTACATACTCTTCTTTTTTCGTTGTTCCTTTAGACTCTTTGTCCAGCTCTGTAACATGGGAATGTGTCACTACCATATCCACTACCCACAGGGTAGAAGAGCTACTACCTGCTAACCTATCGAGCTACCCAGCTGCACTTGATACCTGCCTGCCCAACAGTGGATTTTGGCTTGCAAATGCGGGCTGAAGTGTTCCAATGTTCTTTGCGTGACGGAGTATAGTGCATGAAAAACTACCCAGTAATTGCCATGTTAGGACGCACTTGGTAGTACTAGTACCTAGGTAGGCAGTACCTAGAGATGCTTGAATGGCATTGCTCTGTTTCATTGCATTGGCACCGACAAGAGAGGGGTTCAGCGATCGCCCTCCTAACATTGAGATTGTAGATTTCCGTCAAGAAGACGAGAGAAACACGGGTTCAGCATGCCATGTTCAACCGGATACGAGTACAAAAATCGAGACATTACAGAGCGCCATTACGCAAGCCAACCAACCAACCAACCTGCTACATCAGGGCACCAATAATTCAGCAACAGGCACAATCAAGCTGCGATGCCGTCACCACCCACCTCCCACATATTCTTCTCTCTGAAACAGACGGGGGTCATACACGGACGGAGAGGAGGTCATCCTGTGCCCACAAGGGTCCTCAAGTCCTTTCCGCCCACTCAATCGGAGCGTCTTACATTCACATGGCCATCTTGCCATCTCAGAACTACATACTGTACACAAGTCACCTCTACCATTGATTAGGTAGTTGCCTCTGTCGCAGCATTGCCGCCTCACTCATCAGCAAGTTGGTGAGCAGGCCGCGGTGACACCTTGTTGGAATATGACGTAATCAATGCCACGCTCTCCACCCGTCCAGTCACCAATCCGAGTGACGTCGTGGCCTTTTTATGACGCCGGTCTCCTCAGAACCAACATGCTCAACTCAAGACAAGATGGCTACTACCTACTACCTAGCAGTGCCTAGCAGTGCCTAGCAGTAGTACTGTACAATGTTTGATTCTGCACAACGGGGCCGGTCCAAAGGAATCGATACGACAGCAGCAGTAATTCACACTGCCACCATCTTTTATCTTTATCCAATTGTGCCATTTGCTTGCTCCGGCCATCATCTAAGCCAGAACGGGCCAAAAGTCAAAAAGACCCCCATGATCCGGGTTTCATGGCCAAACGCTCACCACGGCCGGGCCAGTCACAGCCATTCTTAGACGCAAATCTCGCTCTAAATCAAATACGACGGCCAGTCAAATCGCCCACAGCTGTGAAGCCCCTCCCTCCAGGCGCTCGCCCTCGCCTTGCGCCCTTTAGTCTTGGTCGTGCGTGTGCGAGTTTGGGCGGCCCAAAAGTCAATTGACGTGACTTGAACACCCGCCTCGTCTGCCTCTATCCATTGGACAACATCTGCCACTGTCCAGCGCACTGGGGCGTTGCAGAGCTGCCCACACTTGGTTGATAGAGTTTCATACTTGTTCTTGCACCCAGTTTGCCACACATGGCCAGAACTGCCGCATTCCTCGAATAGCAGGCAAGTATGCGGCAATGCCTGATTGGTTTCGTTGCGGGTAGGGCCAATCACGGGCAATGGATGAGAACATGCAGCCTTTATCTGCCACGAAACAGAATCATAGCAGCAACAATGAAGTGAAGTCCCATCCCACAACCCGTAGTATTAAAAGTATGTAGCAAGGTCCGGACCGTTCCTGTACTGTACCAACCCTGCCTTTGCTGTTCGTGCATGGATCGGATTCCTCTTGGTCATAAGTACTGCTAGTAGTGCTGGCTTGTTGATTAGGATTCCGTGCTTAGTCAGCTTCTCCACGTCGGCATGGCATGGCATGGGCATGATGTGCAGAGCGGAGCAGACGAGACGGTGAGGTGAGTGGCGGTGTGTTCGGTGTGCATCATGATCCGACTGCTACGGTAGACAGACAAAGGAGAGGAAGCCTTTGGATAGGCGTCTCGAATCCCCCTTGCATCGATTGCATGTTATTGAATGCATATTGTCGCAGGATCCTGATGAAAGTGGTGGGTGTCTCCTTTCGGCGTCTAGCGCGGCTTTCTAGATTCATTCTTCACCTCGGCTTCCGACTCGCAATGACATGGACTAAGGGTGTAGAGAGAGCCAAGCCTGCAGACGAAATCCACACGAAAAGCCTCGTGCCTGTGAGCCGTCTGCAGGGTTGTCTGGCTTATATGATACACATCACCTTCACCACATGGCGCAATGCATCCGTTGTATGTTGCCATCGCCAGCTAAAAGCTAGGTGTGTTTCTCCAAGGGATAGACGCATGGGGGACAGTTGGACAAAGGCAGAATTTCTGACATTTGGTGTTTATCTCTGCGTCTATGCAAAAATGGCGTGATTTGCAGGGCTGGAGACTGGAAGAATGGGTATTATGTGCTTAACTGTACGGAGTAGCTAGTATTAATTTGGTGGAAATTGAGGAGAGGCAAGCAGGCAATAACACCTCGTCGTAAGCCAGAAGAATGACGGCAACTGCAGTAACAACAGCGTCAGAAAAAAGGCATATTTACAAGCAGCATCTTACTAGGTATACAAAACAAAAGAAAATAAGAAGAATCATCATCGGCTTTTATTTTTCCCCATCCAGTCCGTTCCCGTTCCAGTGAAACGCTCCTTCCCCGACAAGCCGAGAACAAGGAAGCGACGATCCAGCTCCGAGGCGTTGGATTTCTAAGCTTTCACAAATTTTCGGCCACCGGGTTACCGCTTGGCTCCACTACTTCTTTCCATTACCTCTTTGGTTGGGCAAAGCGGAGAGAGTGAGATTTATTTATATCATTTTTGACATTATTTTAGTTGTTTTCATTTTTATTACCTTTTTTTTTTTTTTTCCTTCTCTTTCTTGCCTAGTCGAGGCACCTTCTATCCATACTGACTATTGCCGTATTACTGTATAATAGCTCTTCTCAGCCATACAGGGTGGGGGGGAAGAAGTTGAAGAAGAGACGAAAAAAGCAAGACACTTGATTGGGCCTATAATAAATCACCATCCCATCTGCAACGTGCTTCAACTCATTTCCATTATTCATCTTAATCTCCCCCGGATCGTCAATCGTCAATCGTCAATCGTCACGGGATTGGGATTCTCAAGATTAGATTCCGGCTTCGTGTCGCCATTCGTCTGTCTTACCCCCCCGTCCCGGCGTGGCTTTTGGCGCCCTTGTTTCTCCCGGAGTGGGGGCGACGGTCTTTAATAAGTTCGAGATTTTTTCTCTCTGCCAAAGTACATCAGTCCCGGCATCGCCAGAAACCCGTCTGTTGGTTTCGATCATCTCTTCATCGGGTCCAAGCTTGGCAATAGCTGCCGACCTGCTTACCGCTCCCGTGGCTCCGTGCCGATTAATAATTCAACCGCGTTGGTGCGACTCCAAGAGCACGGCGCTTACCCTGTGGTCGGCGCCTTTCCGAGGAGAAAGAAAAACACCGCTCGCTCATCTAGTTTTTCGTCCTCTTCTCTTCTCAGCATCTTTGTCATCATTGCTATCCCCGCCGTCACTAGTGGCATCCAAGGCAATCTTTTATTCTAGTTGAATTGCCCTTCAAAGCCCCAGAGCTCCAGAGCATCTTGCACCCAGCTCTTGCCAATCCCACCCACTTGTTGAACCATGGGTCTCTTGTATGTTGTGCTCCAAACTGTTTGCAACTGCTGATTGGCTAATGAGTGGTGCTTGAATAGAGCCCTTGGAACGGCACTAGAGTGGCCAGAGGCCAAGCTGCGCGCAAATCAAGTGAGAGAATGGGGCATCAAGGTTGGTTGGCTTCGCTTCTTTTGCCTTTTTGATGTGGAACATGCTCTGACATGACTGTAGCAACTCCTAGAGATATGGAACAAGGCCAAGGGCAAAGAACGGGATGCCTTGCTATGGGGAGATGAGGTTACACGCCCTTAGTTCAATCTAGCAGTGCGCTGCTCTCTATAGGGTTACTAACAATGCCTTAGGTTGAGTATCTCGTTGTGACGTACGCAGAGGATGAGCCAAAGGTGCTCCTATCCCTCCGACAGGCTGAAATTCTCACGGCTTTGGCGGCAGATAAAGAGCTTGCAGAGGCCGGTTGTGTTCCTGCGCTTCAAGACGAGCTGCCTGCCGGAAAGCCTACCGGGAAACCATGGTAAGGCTATCATCCTTCCCAGCGCCTTTCCCCATAATCTGACTCAAATGTTGTAGCAAACCCTCTAAAACATTGCCCGTCTTCCACCCAGAGTTTGGCCGCTTCATGCTTGAGGCCACACCAGGAAAGCCATGGGGTATTGGTTTGAAGGAACTCCTTGGCGTTGAGCCTGATATGAAGCTTCGGCGAAAGATTGCCAAGGAGCATATGCTATCCACTGAGTTCCCCATCACTCTGACGACTTTCCCTCAGATTGGCGTTCCAGGTCAATTCACTTACCCGTTTTACCCTCCCTCCGGACCAAAGTTGCGGTCACAGTTTGTGCCTGACGAAATCGCCAATCCTCACATCCGCTTCCCAACATTGGCCGCTAATATTCGCTCCCGAAGGACTCGCAAAGTGCAAGTCAATGTCCCCATCTTCCATGACAAGAATACCCCAAACCCCTGGAAGGACCCTACCGTCAACTACGACTTGCACAACTGGCCCGAAGACGATGACGTTCGCAATGGAGCTGCCCCGGATAACTTCATTCACATGGATGCAATGGCTTTTGGAATGGGAAGTTGCTGTCTTCAGATTACTTTCCAGGCCAAGAATATTGTCGAAGGCCGGGAGATGTACGATCAGCTGAGTCCTCTGGGCCCCATCATGCTAGCTTTGACCGCGGCAACGCCCATTTATAAAGGCTTCTTGGCAGGCACCGATGTGCGGTGGAACCAAATCAGTCGCGCAGTCGACTGCAGAACACCAGAGGAGCTCGGTGAAAAGGTAAGCAAGGATTCTTTCCTCCTATTTGTCAGAAAGAAATCTGCTGTGTCCTTCACACAGAAGCAAGTTATATCCGTAGTGCTAACTCGCATATTTACACAGCCCCTAGAGAATGATCGCTGGAGGATTCCCAAGTCTCGATATGCCTCCAACTCAACCTACATCTCAACAAATCCTCGACTCCGACCAGAGTACTTGGATCCCGACCTGGTCATTGATCCTGAGATCAAGGCTAAGCTAATTGAAGGAGGCATGGATGATCGTCTGGCCACTCACTTTGCCCATCTCTTCATTCGAGACCCCATCGTCATCTTTGAGGAAGATCTCCAAGAGCTTGACTTGACAAAGACTGACCACTTCGAAAACATCCAGTCGACTAACTGGCAGCACATGCGGTTCAAGCCTCCGCCAGCTGACAATAATATTGGATGGAGAGTCGAATTCCGGTCAATGGAGATTCAGGTGACCGACTTTGAAAACGCGGCTTTCTCTGTCTTCATGGTTCTGGTTACAAGGGCCATCCTCTCATTTGACCTCAACTTCTATATCCCCATCAAAAAGGTGGACGAAAATATGGAGCGAGCCCACGGCGTAGATGCCGTCCTCAAAGACAAGTTTTACTTCCGCAAGAATCCGTTCCCACCTCGGCCATCCCGCGCGAATACGGCCTTTGGCGATGATAGCCGGCCTGGCTCCGCGATGCCCAGTCGACCTGGATCGCCCGGAACCCTTCCTGTAGAGGAAGAGTACGAAGAGATGACGATTAACGAGATTATCAACGGTTCGCTCGACGGAGACTTCCCAGGATTGATTCCCATCGTCGAAAGCTACCTTGACAGCGTCAACGTGGATGTGCAAACCCGGTGTGAACTTGCAACGTATCTCTCTCTCATCAGCAAGCGAGCGAGCGGCGAGCTCGATACTGCCGCACGATGGATCCGCAACTTTGTCGATACTCACCCCAACTACAAGCACGACAGCGTCGTTGATGATGCCATTACCCATGACCTCATTGGATCCGTCGTGGCCATTGGTGAGAGGGAAAGCACAGGCAAAGGTTTCGCAGGGTTGGATATTCCCGGGTTTTCCAAGTTCCTGGGCAAATTTAGAAGCTCTGGCCGGGCAGTGAGCGGGCAAGATGCTAGTCCACCTGTTGGGACGCGGAAGCGAAAGAGTGAATGGATAGCCGGAACAACAGCAGAGGTTGGAGCATAATATGACATGAAGGCACGGAGTTTGGATATACTGCCTGCTGAGAGCAGGTCGTCTGGCAATTTAATCCACGGGATACCAAGCATATAATTCTTTCTTCTTGTTTTGTCTCAACGTAAATGACAGAGATTATCCAACCAGTTTTATCGTCATGATTTCTTTTCTTCTTATTATACAGATGGACTGATTTGGGAGGCATCAGATCTCTGGCTGCCCATGAAAATTACCAGTTGTTCGGTGGATTGAATGGACACTCTCTTCTGTTAGATGTACGGAGCGAAGTAGGAAAGCAGCGAGACGATGATTCACTGGCATTCGGAGCTATGATAATGAAAATGAGATGCGGTTGAGTGTGCTCAAAGTTTCGGACTTGGTAACATCTAGGTCATTGATGGCATGTACAAAGCCAAGCTACTTACTTATATACTATTATTTCATAAACTAGCACCCTATAACTATCTCTTGAACGATATAGGATTCCCTGTAATATGTTCCAAAAAATCGTGAACCCGACACCATCGTTTAGGTGCTGATTTGTGTGCTGAATAGCCCGAGTTAGAAGTGGTATTGCAGTTTGACCACAACTGTAAGGTTGCAATTTCTGAACGCTGTCGACGACATTTCAACGTTATTGACCGTGAAGATGCATCGTTTACTTGTTAGAATGTACAGATTCTTTGGCTGCGATTACATTGGGCTATCTCTCTCTCTCTCTCTTTCTCTCTCTCTCTTTCTCTCTCTCTCTCTCTCTCTCTCTCTCTATATATATATATATATATATATATATATACATATTTATATAATATTTGACAGGGATCCATCAGCGTCAATATTGATATCACAGATGCCACAAAAAATGAGTGGACTCTCCTTAGATGTACGAATCAACGGAATGGATTCTACAAAATCTTGGCTACGAAGATGAAAATAGCTGAAACTTCATGAGGACACGCTTCTACACTGATACTATCTCACATGTATTTCCTGTCCTTCTCATCCTCCTCGCACCCAGCATCCCGCGCAATTCTCCACAGCAACAAAACCATCCACTAGACCCTCTCAACATGACATTTCCGGCGGCAATCTCGCAAAGGCGGTGGGAAAATAGATCCTTGCCACTTGGCACCCAGTACGCGTAGTTTCCAACGGTAATGTCTCAGAGCTGCGTAAATCTACCCAATCTGCTGCGTCGACACCGTTTTCGACCTGTTTGTCTCACTTTTTTTTTTTTTTAGGTACCCGACGCCTTGGTCCAATAGAGAGAGACACACAGGAGCCGCGAGATCTACTCCCTGGTTTGGGGGGGAATCTACCCAGCTGACATCAGATCTCCTTGTCCCAGTTCTCGTTCCAGAGCGTCCATCTACCCAGAGAGATTAGTCTCAGAGCAGCAACAACAAAGGTTGGACTGTCCAATGCAGAGACCTTTTCTTTGTATCTCTTCTTCTCTGGCTATATCATATTGGTGTGGGTGTCAGGGAAGAAAGAGACAGGGGATTGCATTCGCCCACCGCAACAGTAGCGTGACCAAAGAGAAACTAGTTGAAATTATAGAGTGGCGGTATATTGTTTGTATAACGAATGTTTCAGTATCCTGGACGGTAAGTGCGAGAGCGGATCGTTCATCAAGACACTCGGCTCCGACAAGGTAGCCGAAGGGTGTCCGAGAACAAGATTGGGCCATTGGCATCTCGTTCAGCGATTCCCCCCTGCGACGAATGCTGGAAGCGACTTCGCCGTCCATTTGCTGTCAAACAAAGGCTGGAATGAGCCCCGTCAGGTGGTCTCCCCGGCCCATGTTTCGGAGGGGAAACCGATTTGTCGGTCAATCACATTCCGTGGAGGACCCCTTTCCCAAGATGCTTTTGTCTCGGGTGTGCTTCCCGCTCTGGCAGTTTCCCTCCTTGGTTCAGAGATGTGTCAGATAATACTACGATACTGGAACCTTGTTAGTGGAGAGGGAAAAACAAAAGTTGTCAGGGGTATCGGACGTCTCTCTTTGGTGTCTTACACCTTGCTGGAAGCGCGTGGCATTGGACACACAATGTTACAGACATATGAGTACTGACACATCCTGTCTTTTCTCTCATTTCCTCTTTTGGAACATTCCTCTGGGATGGGAAGAAAGAGAGACAATATTACGCTTTTGGTGGTAGCGCCGGCTGGGATTCATTTTGCCGGGCTGTCAGTGGTGTCATGGTAAAAACAGAGACATGGGATTGGGCACAACCCGAGTGATGCATATTGATGCCCACATCACACTTGTCTCTGTTTTATGCTATAAGCCCTTATTCACATTTGAAGCACACTCTTTTGATTCAGCTAGGTGGATATTCAGCGCTTGATTCTCACACGATGACTTACCTAAGTGCGGCATCATAGCCTATACAGTAATATCGATTATGAAAAGGGGGGGTGCGTGATAATTGATTCGCCTGAAAAATCTAGAACCCTAGTAGGACGATGTACATAGTACGCAGGATACCGCTATCGTTTGACGAAACCATGCTTCCGGGCACCTACACTCCCACAGTTGTGGACGCCAAAAGCTCCGTTTGCTTCCTCAGCTGGTGGACCATACTTGTGCATTTTTGGAGAAGGTAGACTGCACTATGAGCAACTAGTCGGCTCGGACGATTCCAGGACACCGTAGCGGTGGAAAGCACCAGATACCACCGATCGTATTAGCTCAGGTACTAAAGTGGGTGTGTGTGTGTGCGTGATGACTGCTAGATGTAGCTCGGCTGAGATGCGATCCATGGAGAATGTCTCGCCCATCAACTCCACAGAATGTCACAGGTGGAGCACAATAGCCAGCCGGTGGGGAGGGAACCGCAAACACGAGAGTAAGAGCCAAAAGCCAAGTGAGGAAATCAAACCCAAAAGAGCAGACGTTTGAAGCTTGCCGCAGGAAACCATCATTAGCTTGGCCGACAGAGCCAAACCACTGAATGTTGCGTATCTTGATAATTCATCAACTCGCAAAGCCAGGATCAGGGCCCAGAGGGGGCGTGAGAACTTTGCCGCCGGGAGAGATCTCGCGGCAACAAAGAGTGCCCTTCTGATCTGATCTGATCTGGCCTCGAAAATTTAGGGGCGATCTGCGGTCATCTATTGGGGCTGGACACCAGTCGCCGGGACAGGAAGGGCGTGCGACGTGTACTTATCATGGAGGCGTGCCTGTATCAATAATCCAATGCGGTGGAGAGGTCTCCTTGCAGGCCGCCTCACTCGAAAACGCATATAGTCTCTTTTCGTACGGCTGGAGCTGGAGCTGGAGCTGGAGCTGGACGCCGACCATCTGCCACCTCATCTCCCTTGCCTTTTGAAATGATGCCCGAGCGGAGAAATTTGTCCGGCTGGCCTGTTTGGCTCGGGCCCATGTCTTGGATTGCCTCAGCCGCAATCCCCAGTCGACGTCACCGACAAAGGGGATGCGACGGTGGCCACGTGCCGGCCTCGCTGTCAAAGAGAAGAGGCAAAGGAATGAGGATGGAGACGAGAACAGGTGCTAAACATAGCAGTAACACCAGTGATGCTTTGCCGTAGCACCTGATTGCATCTCCAGGGGCATATACGGAGCACAGTACTTGTATCTCGCACACTTGTGCAAGTAGGGGTACATGTTAGTGCGTAGTGGTATATAAATATGCACCTTGCTTTCGTCTCCGGGCAGATCCCGTTGGCCCACTGTGCGGCTGAAGGTGTTGGCGCGTTCATCGAATCCAAAATGTTTCGGGGATGCCCAGGCCGAAGCCAGTAGCTTATCTCCCCGAGCCTGCCATGGCTTGAGGAAATCGGCGAAGTAGCGGTCCAGTTTAATAATGTGGGTTGGTATTTTTCAGCGCCTTCGCTTGCCCCAGATATAGGACGGTCCCCTCAGGGATCTGAATGGATAGATGCACTCCATGTTTTTGTACAAGTACATCGCTCCATGCCTGACAGCCAAGGACTCTTCTCGTGACAACTGAGCAAGGTTATGGAATCACACTCTGTTCGTGCCGCAGCGCAACGGGCATCATCGGAACCCCCTTTCTCTTTGCCAAAACTCCGAATCCCCTGTCATAATCTGGGTCGATCTTACTTCCCATGTGCTCAAATCCCCTTGGACCCCGTGGATCGGGGCCCCCTTCGCAACGGCGTAAAAAGGAAAGTTGACTCAGTGATGCCACTCCTTTCGGGAAAGCGCCCACACACTTATGGCGTAGTGGTTGCGTGTGAAAAGGTTTCAGAAACGCGGTGTGCAATCCCGAATTCCTGTCGAGTGGAATCGGATGCGAATCAAGGGAAGCCCCCCTCGCATCGACCATGTAGTAGAGAGTACGCGTACTTGATGGCATGACTGTACAAGCATGCGATGCCACAGAACAGATGGGAAGGCACAACAAACGGCAACTGTTGGGTTGTACAACCGACAGATGCGTGGCAAGGCTTGCTCCGCTCGTCTTCTGCATCTATCCGCTGACCGGCCGTTTATACGAGAAGTCGTCGATTGCACGAGCCGGCGCGTGTCAATGTCGGCCACATCCGAAGCGCCAAGTCGCTCTCTGCTGTCAAGATGGCGTTTGCACATTGCATCCTTGCTTTCTTCCGAGTTGCTCTTGCTCGTACACCGATCGGAAGATGGAAGAGGCCGCCAAGTCGAGCAGACCAGGCCTTGGCTGAGACTCTGGACCCGCGTGGCTGGCTGCGTGCTCACATGAGTGATGAGAAGGAGTCGGCACCCAGCAGCTGTCGGTGACCACCATTGGCTGCAACATCCCAGCTGTGGCTTGACCGTTGAAGTCTCGATGCCATTCGTACCCAAATCTAGGGGAGATGACAAGGTTAAGGACGAGATGTGCGTTTTGTGTTGAGTGAGAAGGAAGCTGAGCTTGGATCTACACCCTGCGGTTCCTTCCCCGTCTTCCATCCATGCTACCTGGGACGAAGGAAGGAAGGAAGGGACCTTGAAGGTTGATCTGGGTGGTACTTGCCGTGCCGTTACAACAGCACTATTATAGAGCAGGTGCAGGTACTACCCTACCCTACTTACCCTACCTTAGTACCTCTAAATCCCGTGATGTGAGATGAAGCACAATTCAGGCAGGCAAGCTACTGTAGGTACCTGAGTAGCAGTATTTTAGCCCATCAATATCTAGAGGTAATTAGCCCGTACAAGTAATACTGGATATGGGAACCTGGAAAACATACTACTGCAGCTGCACGAATGTAATATATGAGCACTTAGTCGACGGGGGCCGAGGCGGAGCAGTGGATCACCGCATCGTAAAATGATCTGGTACATACTCGTAGTGCTGTACTGTACTGTATAGGCAAAGGGGGTGTCCCAAGTAACGCTTCCCAAGTGCCTGGTCTGGCAGTAGATCAGGTATGAATCGTGCTCCAACGGCAGATGCAAAGTGGAAACGGCTTGAGATGCCTCTCCGGCTTCTCACGAGGGCCAAGAGAAGGATAATCAAACACGGCCCTCAGCTCCGGCCCTTGCTGCCGCTGAGCTCGGCTCGTCACATGTGCTCACGCCCCCTGGGGTTGCGCAGCATGAGGCTTTGAAGCCATCAAACGGCCATTCACATGCTGCACACGCGCGCTCGTGCATATATGCTTATAGCTTACTTGCTGGATGTACATGTATAATATATTAATTACATACCTAGCCTGGTATATTGTATACATTACACACTCATGCACGCATAGCACAGGTGATACAGCCTCCTGGCGCTGCATATGCCATGATGCCCAAAGGTAACCCCAGCGCTGGGCAGCGGGCGTTCTCCCCGGGATTTGACGGAAATGAGATCAAGATTGACTGAGATCAAAGGCTGGGCTCTGCCGTTTTGCAGCAGCTAGTCTCTGCGTAACGAGCGCGATGCAACCGCCGTCGCTACGAAAACCAACGGCAGTCTGCGATGGCATGGATTTGCCGATTCTCGGTCAGCGGCCTGGCCTATGAAAGGCCATGGCGGTACCACCCTGCTATCTCAAGTAACCAAGGATGGCTGCCACGTAGGGACTCGCAATCTATCCAAAGCGAGCCGAGCAAGCGTCTCCTGCACCCCTTTGGATGGATGTGATGGGATGATGGGATGGGATGGGATGGGATGAGACGAGACAAGACGAGAGCAAGGCTGTGTCCGTCCAGAGTGGACACCCATGATCGCTGCAGGGTGTTTGTTGGCCATTGATGGCGATCGAGGCCAAGGACAGGGGGGCCTGGTTGGCTGGATTATTTGCCGACGAGACAAGAATTCAGCTTCGGGTGTAGGCATGACAATGCATGCTCTTTGTCTGCTGATGGATGGACGTGCATCGTTGGTGCTTGTTTACTCGCTCGACTCTTAAGTACCTTACCTTATGCACTCACTTCTACCACTGCCTCAACATACCTAGGCACTTATGGTATACATGCACGTCAAGCATACGATCTCAGTAATATTAGGTAGTGTCCATTACCATGAATCATATGTACATAAGGTAGTATATACTTACACCATCTACACGTTTCAACGTAAAACTCGCAAATATAAGCAACCACCTAAAATTAAACCATCTCAGCTCACCCATCCTCCCGTCTCCCAACGCTCCACTCCTCCAAGGGAGAACAGAACAAAAGCCGCAGCTACTCTGGCGCGCCACAAAAAGCCACTTGGACAGGGATATCCGCGTTGTGCTCGGTTTGGTTTGCCAAACCACACCGGGTACGAAGCTACTCGCGCACTGCATACCAGAAACGGAACTGCTTTTGCTGCGAGAAAGAGAAAACAAGACCCCTAGACAAAAAGAAAAAAAGGAAAGAAAAGAGCGCGCGAAACGAAGGAATGTGAGGCAAAAATAACTCGTGGCATTGCCATACTACTGTGCTTCTGAATGCCTATTCAATGAGAGAGCCTAACGCCACAGTCCGGCAGCTTTTCCCCCCCTTGCCGCTCAACGGATTTTTTTCAATCACGGCGGCTAGCACTGTACATGGATAATGCACACAACATGCTACCGAGAAGCATCTTTCGAACTGCCGTGGTTTTAGCTAACGGCTTCTTCCTTGGATGTTCGAGACTGTACCAAGTATATTGCAGACTTGAGTCGTGACGAGACGCTCCAACTGAGTTGCCTGACTCAACCCTCTCCTATCCATCACAGCCTGTATCACAAACTGCACAATGCCCCATTCCCAAAGTCTCAAGCACATCTATATCCAACTCCATGCATTTGCCCACGCCCTTGTTCACAGCTACTGTAGTGTGCCACAACGCCTCGTCCGGCGTCACTCCCTGTTTAGAAGTCGGTGGCGGCCGTAACACATTCTTGCTCAATAAGCCTTGTGGAAGCCAATGCACGAGCACAAAACGCACAGAGAGCACAGAGCACGAGCAAAGGCGTGCCACAAAGCACCCAGACGCAACACAAGAGTCAAGATTCCGCGTCTTGTGTCCGATGAAGTCCAGCAGGCTCCCCGCCTGTCCGATCTTTCCGCGCCCCCCTCTCCAGCCTCGTACAACTTTCTCAGATCAGGCGTTGCCAGAGAACGAGGCAGATCAAAAGTCGTTGGTTCTTTGGTTCTTGTCCCTGTTTCATGCATGCACTCCGTGCGGCGCCGCATGGAGCAACCGTCTTGTTTCCTCCATCTCGGCTCCTTCCAGCTCTCTAGCCACTCCCCCTCCCTCTCTCGCCATCTCCCTTGCATGTATACCGGACCTCCTTCCGGCCCGTGGCTTTCTGTTGCTGAGATGTGACGAGTTAAATGTGACGAGTCCTCTGCCTCCAACGCGGCTGTGAGCAACGCCAACGCCTGGGATTGGCGCCAGAGCAATCGTACGAGCAGTAGCGCCCACAGTGCTTCCTACCAAAGTCGCTCGAGCGGTTTCCATCATCTCCTTGTATCATGTCTCACTAAAATGGCCATGTCGTGGCTTCGTCCCCCTCCTGTACGCAATAGGAGTGGAGGGGATATTGCCAGCCGAGTAGCAGCCCCTGCTCTGTGCTCTAATGCGTGTAGTGTACATGGAGGAAACCCAGCCGTTGGGCTTCCATCCTTTCGACGCTCAGGCTTGGTATACACAGCGCACATGGCAGAAGAACCACAGCCAACACTCTTCGCACCGGATAGCCCGAGGCACGGCACGGCCACGAGAGACGACCGTGCTGTTACGGAGTAGCACTGCTCGGGCTTTGATCGAGATGAGATGATGTAGTGTAAGTCGAACCAACAAACGATCTTGTTGCAGGGATGCCACGGCTTCCAATCAAAACGCCAACGAGAATACAGAGTCAAGGAGGAGTCAGCAACCAAGAGAGAGGGGGGACACATGCAACACCAACGTCTCCCCGTCTCTCCCTCTGCGCGCGCCCACCCGCTCCTACCAGCAGCTCACCGGTGATGATAGGCCTTTGCCTCTTGTCTCCTCGCCGTGTCCATCATCCATCTTCCCAAACCGTAAGGCCATGCATATCCGTCACTGCGGCTACCCGGCTGCCGATCCGTCCGCCGTCAGTTCTCACCAGCCCGTCTGTGACTTGTCCGTGCAATAAGACCCAACCTCTCTTATTTCGAAAACGCACATGGCCGTAGAGAACTATCACCTGCATGAGAGCAAACGGTTGAAGGATTTTGTGACAATTCATGCAAGCGAGGGAGGAGAGTGCATGTACTCGTAAGCCTCGCTAACATTGATTGATCCCTTTCTCATCTTTCTCGGGTTAATCATCTTTTCTCTTTTATATGCACTCCATACCGTAGATGTAAGCTTCTTGTCTCACCGCAGAATAAAACGGCCATCTTTCGTGCGGGTTTCCAGAATCCATGCCAAAAGCAAAAAAAAAAAAAAAGAAAGAAAAAAAAAAAAAAGAAAGGAAAAGTGTCATTTTAAGCAAGGGAATGCATGTAAATCTCCGCGCAAAAGCAAGTCGTGGAGCAGGTCACGCCATATGGAACGGTGTTGGTTCAATAGGTACCAGTTCACACGTTTCTCTACCCGCCACAGAAAAAGCAAAAAGGGAGAAGAAGAAAAAAAAAGCAACACGACGCTAGAAGCCAGTTACCCCAGTCATTGCACAAACTACCCCGTAGTGTGAAAAGGAGAAGAAAAATAGATCAATGCCTAGCAAAGAAACAAACCAACCAAAAGACGCAAGAAAAGCGCGGTTTATTCTTATCTCCTTCAGCTTACGTCCTTGTCGCTTCTCCCTCTTTTCAAGCGGGAGGCGGTCGAAAACAGCCTCGCCCATCAGCACTAGCCACGGTATCGACCCTAAATTGAACGGAGTGCTACAACTTAATCTCACCCTCTCTACCCGAAACACAGCGTCACTTGATCTCCCCTCCCCCAAGATCTCATCCCTCCCGATCCTATTAGTGGTAAAGTCAGATGAGCCAATCAGCGCCATATTACCTGGAAAGCTTAGTTAGTCTATGACGCACCAAAAAGGAAAAGGGAAGAAAGAGGAAGAAAAATCACCAGCCGTGCGCAGAACTTGAGTGGATGGCTTGAATGCATCACGCGCACCGCGACCTCATGCACGCTTACGCCGGAGGAGAAAGGAAACAAAGCAGGCGTGTTGCATCGTGTGCTCCCCCAGATTCACTGCATTCATCACCATTGGCACCGGGACGAGCATCGTATTGCAAATTTCCTTGATTCCGCCTCTGCCAGGGCAGGCAATAATAGCAGATACAATAAAACTATTTGATCTAAAATCCCAAAGTAGCTCGGCATCATTGTTCCCAAGGCAAATCCTCATCATGAAAGGTGAATGTTGCCCAGACCCTAAAGTATATGTATATATATATATATATTGAACGCCTGCAATGCCATGATGATTTGCCGCCCAAATCCAATAATAAAAAGGGGGGAGAAAAAGGAGGAATAAAGAAATAAAGAAAATAAAGGCAATCCCCGTAATCAAAGACACATG